AAATGGGTCTGGGCTTAACCGCTGAACCCCTATTTCCCATGCACCTTTTGCCACCATGCATGCTAACCAGATTAACTTTACTGGCAGGATCCTTGCCGAGAACTCCTTCGTTGTGGCCTACGCCAGGAGCTAAAGCGACACAAACAGCTCCTATGGCACGACTTAAATGGGCGTTTGTCAAAACCAAGTAACAGGCTTCACTACCAAAGCATAACGCCCCGCAGGCCGCAGCCTACTGCAGGTTGCTCGTTTGTTACACAGGGCCAGTGAACTCGCTATTCATCTTCTTTCTACCGCTTGACAGATGATATAAGTCATTTTGGGCGGTGTGCTAGACGGACGGTTCCCGACCACGCCAGGCAAACCAGACCGCTTTCGCTGTTCAATAACAGACATGCAGATATTCATCAAGTTAACCTACTCCATGGAGCTCCGACTCTATTCCGCGAGTTCATCTTTGCTAGCAGATGCAACATATATCCGTAAGAAAACTACTATCACGAATAGCACTAGCGATTCCCAAAGATATTGCGCATATCAAGCCCCATTGGGTACGTAATCGCTACCAGCATTGTACGGATACGGCCTTGAAACCTATAGACAACATTGGGTCGTGTTTGCGAAGGGCAATCCTCAACTCGCGGTATTTGCAGTCCATTTCCCCAAAGGGTCAGTTGAGATTGAAGACGTCCATTCAAGCCATGCGCTTTCGTAACAAAGGTTGCTAGGTGTTTCCTGGCATCTTCACCTCAAGACCTCGCGCCGGCCACATGGCAAGCCTCAAGGAGCAACCAGAGCATTGTCTTTGCCTTGCATGGCTATTGGATATTGGGACTACGGTTGCACGATGCCGGGCCATGGGGACTGTCCAGCGTATCATATTCCAAGCTACCACGAAGGACCCTGCAGCAATAATTGACTCGTATCAGTCCTGTGGTCAAGACGTACCCAACCGTGAGTCGCGACTCTCAAGGGGTACCATCTCCGCACTAACCGTCCGCCAAGCCGTGACCCGGCCAGCTTCACCATTGTTCTCGACAGAAACTTTCTTGCGAAGTACCAAGCCACACACAAGTCTCCAACAGTTGATTCAAAAAGAAGATCGAGTGGGACTCGCCTTGAGACGGTCCTAGACAATCTTGGGCAACGGCGACTCCGTGAGCTACCAAACGGGACCATTTCTTTCTTCCTATAACGCTAAGGCTATAATGACTTTTTTCTGGATCACGGATGCGTTCGTCTCCCCCCACTGGTCGTCTCATCCAGTGAAAGGGCGAAGTATTGGTATCCTTGAACGAGATCGGGGGGCTCGGCACACTTGCCACTGCAACCCGCATCCACCAATTCATGGATTGCACGCCAGTCACCGCTTCAAGCGTACGTTTTATGTCGGCGACAGGTCGCTTCGCTAGCAGACGTCCCATCAAGTCGGTGTTAACCGATGAGAAGAAATGCAAAGCCTTCCATTGTCTTCTGATTGGACTGTTGGTCGCCCTCGTCGTTGCAGTTATCCTGAATGGGACCCGTAACGCTGGTCCAACCATTGTCCTGGTAAGGGTTCGTGCTGCGAGGTCCTCCAGAACAATGTCACGCTGTCGAGCTTCCGTTCCCATGACGGTGGATTAGATGCCAGAGACACGGCGAAAGCCTGGGACCAGCCGCCAGAGGGAGATGTAAATCCGCATTACCCTCCCTCGGCAGAACTCGCGGCTGTCATATCGACATGCCAGCGGTGGTTTTCTCGGCCGGCTCTTATCGGAGCTCGCTCGGAGCTATTGTGGCTTTGATACTCGCGGTCAGCCTCCGTCCTCGACCCGCCCGTACGCTCCGTCCACATCAAGCAGGGCAGCTATTGATTTACGGCTTTGCGTGGATGCTGAAGTTTCAGAACGCAGAGCGTGATGCAACGTGAGAGATGCATTACGTGCTGCCTGATTTGGTGGACAATGGGAGGGCTGTTTCCATTATGACTATCGATAAGTGGCGCTGGCCAACCGAGCTTCTCGCAATCGACAACTTCGCCCGAGTCAAGCTCTTGTCGATTGGGAACAGCAGCCTCACCCATAAACGTTAGGAAACCGTTCTCTCTTGTAGGAGGGGTCAACCGCTGCCGAGGGCGCGCTATCCGTCTACGGTCTGCCAGTGCGGACGAGGGTCCGTTCCTACGGTTCCCTATTCTGAGAGCAACCGCATTTCCTTCCGAACCTTGGGCTCTGAGCAATGCTTGGGCAACGACAGCTTCAACCTTCCACATGCCTTGAACACTACAACCTCGAGGCCCAATCACAGGGGATCATCCTAGAAAAAGAATTCGACTGCACTCCACACGCAGCCCCGACCGACAGCGAACGACCCAAGGGATGCACTCGTACGGTCTTCATGCAAGTGCAAATCGCGCGCAATCGCAAGGCAATCACGATCTTGCTCCACGCAACGTCATCGAAGAAGGAGCTTAGAGTTGCCATGACACAGCGGGCTGCCCGCTGGACTCGGAGAAAATATATCTCTGACCTGGCACAAGCTCCCTTTATATCTTTAACTTCGAGACCATGCCAGACGGACCCAGCTTCCCCAGGATTACCCAAGACTCGACAAACCAGGCAGTAAGCATGTACTCCGTACTGCCTATTAGAGCTCTCCGCAACCGCAGGCGTCCGGCCGTCCCATGCTATCAACTTACTTTTCAACTTCACCCCCCCAAACCCTGTACCCAACCCAAAGGCGGACGATCGTAATAACCCTTAGATGGCACAGGTTGGAGTTAACAACACGTTGAACGGCATTTTGAGTCGGTGACGTGTGGTTTCTTCACATGCGTGCACGCGACCATGGTTCGGTTGAGAGAATTGAGCCAGAGAGAGGGGGCGGCGCATGAGCGCTTCGCGATTCCTTCAGCCGATTGCGGATATTGGGCCTTGGAATATGAAAGCCTTTTTCTTTCTTTTCCTCTTGTTTTTGCGTTCACCCCGCATCAGAAACCAGGCCAGGGGCCTGTCTGATGGAACTGTTCCGGTTGACCCTCGCGGCGTTTGACTTGGGCATCGATGCGCCGGAACTTACCCCCGCCCCCTCCTCTAGGACCTCTCTACCTCTCAGGTCCGTTCTCGACCGTTTCTCGAACCCCTCCGCGGACGGCCGTCTTGCGGAGTCGTCTGTTGCATGGGCTCCGGGCCGTTCCCCAATCTTCGACGGCGCATACGGGAGAACGTGTGCGACGATGGTCGAGACCCCTCCGCCTGTCACTCCGTCATTTCATGTGCTTGTGACGACGTTTCTTGGCCTCGGGGAGCATCATATGCGATGGAATGAACACTCAGGAGGGTTGCGAGTACAAGCGTACCAAAATCTGGCCCCGGCTCGGTCGTGCTGCTACGATGGAATGACGGTACCTCTAGGAGAGCTGCGCCAAGAGTCCTATATCCCAGGGTCGCAGTGAAGCTCTCATGAAGCTCTGTTGTGATAACCCCTCCCCTCATCGAGCTAAACTTGAGCTCTAACACCTAAGACCTAAGGCTATTAAGCTTAGCAAGAGGTAGGTCCAGGAGGGTTGACGAACGGAACGGGTGTTTCATTCGTGATATATCCTAGCACCATCTATACTCGATGGCTGATAATGGTTTGAACACGGTCCCCCCCGGCAGGCTCCTCTAACAAGCAGACCGCCGTCGTATCGCATAGTCGACAAGGTAGGTTGCCGCCCCAAGGGCGGGGGTGCCACGGGGGGACCATAGACGTCATTGAGAACTTTCCCCCCTTCTACTGAATGGGATTTGGAAGTATAGCTCACGAATGCGTAGCTGTACGCTCTTCCTGAGCGCTGTTCTACGATTGCGCAACTGGAATCACGGCATCAATAACCCATCCGCCGTTGGAGATTTGATAAAGATTCAATGCTCTTCCAGTGGTTCGACACTCCTCGACGGTTCCATTTCCGTTTTCGCTTCCAATTTCTTTTCTTTTCTTGTCCCCCTTTTCCGTTTGGAAGCAGAGACAGAGACAAGGCTCGAACCTGCAGGACACAACTTTCTCTCCTAACAGCCCAATCTCAAGCCTGATTGATATCTTTGTCAGCCGGGGTCGCTGTCGAATTGATGCAAATCGAATGATGCAAAGAAACGAGGCGAGACAAGGCCGAATTAATGCAAGAGAATCAGGTTGCATACGGCATGACATGGGCCGCAGTCTGCAGAATGCAGAGCATTTTCCTCGTAGGGCGAATATGGGGGGAACGGGTGGTCGGTCATCACGTCGCCTTATTTTGAGGATACGCCTGGATTTGTAGATATTTCGTAGATGGTGACCGATGTTGAGGGTTGAAATCAGACCACAAACAAGACGTGGAGTTGGTTAGCATAGGAGATCTTCATAGACACGTAGACCACATACAAAGATGGCACTATACCACTTGTCACCAAGTTTGTTGCCATCAGCAGGTATTGGGAACCAAGACTCGGATTAACTCATCACTTCACCCCTGGAATCTTCATCACTCCTCTCTGGAAACTACCAATCTATCTGAACCCAACTCAAAGCAAGGCGAGGCCAAAAGGAAAGAGAAAAAAACAATAGAAAGAACCAAGCCCCTCGTTGCCAAAACCAAAACAAAGGCGCCGGCGAGGTTAATAACGTAGCTAAGGGGGGTATCTACATATTGCCCGTGATGCCGTCGAAACCATTACCAAATCTGCGTGCGTCAAAAAGAATAGGCCGTTTGTTGCTGTGTTTTGCGTTTCCTCTGCTTTCCCTCATTCCTTCCACACTCTGGCATCATGCGCTATTTCTCTTTCTCTGCTCTTCTCTGCTCTCTCCAGAATGGTATCGAAGTATGCCTCCCTTCCCCCCTAACTGCCCAATAAGCAAAACGAGATGAGCAAACAAAAATGAAAAGGTAAGAAACGTAAAAAAAAATTAAAAAAAAAAGGCCAGAGTCAACGCCTTGCCATGTCCGCCCTACTTTGCTGCTTCGCTGTGCCACGCCCGCCCCCGCGCTGTCGATCATCTCATCGTCTGGGGAGGTTGTTGGCCCGATAGGCTGACGCACCTCCAGTGTTCCACCCCTGATTGACGCTGTTCTTGACAATCAGCGCTGCAGCCGCGGCGGCCGCCTGACGCTCCTTTTGACGGTGTCTTTCTCTAAGATAGTTCGTTGCTTCGGGCCGCATGCGAAGAATGCGGAGGATCATATCATCGCTGGGATCCGCCTGGGCCTCCTTGCGCTTCTCTTCTTTGGCTCTCCTCATCGTGCCCAGGTTTCGGCTCATCATGATGCTCTTGCCACGTCGGATGGTGCCCATACTGGCGAAGGCTCCAGGTCCGCCGCTAAATGTTGGCCCAAATGTTGCTGGAGCCGAGAGTCGGTTTTCGTGTTTCTCCTGGAGGAGCATCTGCGTCGCGCGCTGGGCGTTGGCAGTGGCCATGCGTTCAGATTCCCGAATCAAGGTATCCGTTGGCTCAAAGTAGAAGAAGTTCAAGGCTGCCAGCTCGTGCCACTTGGGTGACTTCAGGACGTCCTGTGGCACGCCCAACTGCTCTCCAGAGTCATCCTTGGCATTGAAGAACTCAAAGAGAAGGTTCAACCATTGATAGACAATGTCGATCTCCTTCTGAGCCAAGGGCCTTTGCGAAGAGGGCTTCTCCGACAGCGGGGGCACCAACAGGCCTTCTATGGCCTGGAGGACTTCTTTCCATAGACGTGTCATGACCGCAAGCATCGTGGCGTCGGTCAGGGTCTGCTTCATGATGGCGAAGTTCTGGTCAAAGTAGTGGAATAGCGGCTGCAATGCTCCCTCGATGTCGCTTGCCGTAGTAACGACTGGCATAGTTGAAGCTCTCTTCTTCCACAGACTGGTCACCTGCGAACCGATGCCGCCACCTTTGACCAGTCTCCGCAGAGTTTCGAGAGAGATGGTGGTGCTGATTTGAGCTCGGAGCTAGATCAGAGTTAGAAGTTGTTCCCGAGTGAAATGGAACGAAGCATACCTTATCCGTGATCTTGCGGACCATATCTCTCTCTGTTCTCTTCAAGTGTCGGAACGCCTTTCCAAAATAGAATTGAATATCGTCACGCTCGCCTTCCATGCTCACGCGCAACAACACTCTACCCTGGGTGTCCAAATCCAGCCAGTATTCGCGAGGCAAGTAGTCACTGAAGTGAATGGGGTCAACCTTGAGCGACGTACGACCAACGAAGTCGTGTTCGCCAAAGGTATCGTAATCCCAAATAGTGGCGATAATGTTGAGCGGGCTCGACACCGTGATGTCAACGGACTCGTCCCAGCGAGGGTTGAGGTTCCTGTAAACAATGCGCGTCTTATAAAGACGCTTTTGGTACTCGTCACCGAGGACTACGTACGGGTCGCTGAAACCACCGGGATCGCAAGCCTTCAGGTCTTCGGCTTCCACAATCTTGATCGTGAAGACGTACTTGTTAGGTCGTCTTGGTTGCTGCTTGCCAAGACGCTCAGCCTTCTGCAAGACCTCGGCACAAGCATCGACGTTCATCGATTTCTCTAGCTTGTCCAGCGCTTGCATGGCATGCTCAATATTGTTGAGTTTGACGAAAGACTGAGAGAATGTTAGCGAGCTACTTGATATCTGGAAAGCTATACAAACCTCGGGGTAAAATTGGAAAGGCTCGGGAGCATCTTTGGTGTTCCAGGCATCTCGAGCATACTGGGCATACTGCATAAACTTCTCTTGGGTTGTTTGATTCGCAGCGGCTGCCTCCTGCGCCGTTGGCCGGTCCATCTCTTTCGCAAACCGTTTCTCAAGCTCTTCGCAGTATTGGCCAATGCCAGCTGCGTAAGAACGGGCCAGCGCCGTCATGAATCTGGCGTGATGAACGTCGCTGTCCCATTCTAGCTGATAGACCTGCTCCATGGTTTGATGGAACATGGAAAATATATCCACGACAGAGGAGCTGTGTCGCTCATTGTCTGAAGGAATGCCGTCGGGGTTGTGAGTCTTGACTTGGAACGGATCTTCGGCGATGGCATTGTCGACTAATTCGACCATGACGCTCTCGGCATTGCGAACCCATCGCCAAACGAAATCCACCAGGAGTTCTTCAATCTGGAACTCGAATGGCTTGTCGGGCAGCGCCGCGTGGTGTGTCCGGCGCATGTCGACGAGCTCTTTGTAGAGATCGAACCCATCCTGCATGTTGATCTCTTCACCACTCTCTTTCGCAACCGCAATAGTACGCTCGATAATGTGTTGCGCGTCTCGTTCGTAGCTGGGAAACATCACATCCACGAGAACATCCCAGGGTTTGACGCCCATGATCTCCGAGACGTTCTTGTATCGCTTTTGAATTTTATTCGAAAGCTTAGTGACAGCCCGACCGAGCTCAACAACGTGGGTAAATTGCCACTCAGAGGCATGGTTGGGTAGTTTGTCGTGCACAAAAGCATTGTACGCGTCCGTGGCAGCACGCCTCATGCCGTCGGTGAGGTGAGTAGCGAACTCCTGAGCCTGCTCAGGCTTGACGGAGAACGCAGGGTCCGATTGGATGTGGTCCACCAACAACTCCATCACGGCCGCAATGTTTGGTGGTTTTGATGCGTAACAGTTGAGCATCAGGTTGTAAAGATCTCGTAGCAGAAAGTCATGGAGGCTGTGGAGTGTTTGCTGGTATACGGCAAAATCATGAATTGTCCACCGACTTTGATCAATGTCCAGCAAGCCCGCGTTGTACTGGTGCAAGTGTGGCGGTTTCTTGACCTCCTCGCCCGACATCTTTACGTCGTTCATTGCAGCAAGAAGATCCTCGGCGGGAAGCTCTCCATCGAGGAACTTCTTGCCAATGACCTCGACAAAAGCAATGAGCCTTGAAAATTGAGGTAAGCGCCAGTACACGCTGAGTTCCATGAGCAGATCGCCAGACTGCTTCGAGATCGGAGTGAATTCTGCTGCTGGATCGGCGTGTAGTTGGTCGTAGGTCATGCAGTCTTTCAGGATAGCCTTGTAGAATGCCCTCGAGTCGTTTGGAATGAATGTGTAGACGGCCTCTTCGAAATCCTGGCTAGAGTCATCGAGCGATAGAGAATCAAAGTTGATGGAGCTGTCGAGGTTCAGGAGGGAGCCATCAGGGCTGGAGATTGCCTTGCTGATTTCCGAGTACGATTGCTCTGTCCCAAAGACTGACATGGGCCGCCCAGGAAGCGACTTGTCCATTCCGGTTGACGTCTTGGCCAACTCAGGGTTGACAGTCAAGATATCGAGAATGATTTGAGAGAGATGCGGCGCTTCAGCCCTCCTCCATTCTTGGAAGGCTTCCTCAACATCAAAGTCCTGACTCCTCAGGGCGCCAGGCGCACCCGAAGCCAACCTTTGCTGGTAGTTCTTCATGTCCTTAATCGCATTCTCCTCGGTCCAGATATATCGGCTGGCCTCGATGTCAGACTGTACTTCAGAGTTGGATCGACCAAATATGCGGGCCACAGTGAGGACTAGCGGCATGTCTTTGACGTCGGTGCTCGGAGGAACGATGATCTCGATGGTGTTGCCTTCGCCCTGAGCAGCGTCGAGAGACAAGTTCTGGTCCCTAGTGAGTAGCTTGTTCTCCAAAGTATGCAATCGGCTCATCAACTCGGGCCTGTCTCTGTCGTGCCCCTGGTCTCGAAGAGTCTGCGCCACTAGCCTAATGAACATGGCCATATGTCTGTCCGCCGTTTCCTTCCACGAGTCGTCCGTTGCCGATGTCAGCTGGGCGTACTTTTGGTTGGCCTTTGTCGCAGACGAGTAGAACATGAGAACGTAGGGCTCGAGCTTTCGGTCCTTCTCTACGGATTTCTGGAAGCCCTTTTCGGTGAAAGCTGTGTATGCTTCGGCAAAGCTTCGCTTCAGAGCCGAGTCGTTGAAGCCTTGCATGGGTTCCTTTCCTGTCAGGACGTTCTTAAGTCTCTTTTCCAAGGGCTTTTGGAAGCCATGGGGTAGCTTGATGCTGTTGGAACCCGATGAGACGAATTGACCGACCAGTTCGGTGACGCTCGTGTGGGTTCTCTGGGCTGGTTTCGGGGCGGCAACATATTGCTTTCGCTTCTGTCTCGGTTGGAGGATGTGGTTGAGGTATGCAACTCGCAATGCAAAGGTGTAGGCATCGTCATGGCTGACGACGGTGATGTTGCCCCTGGATGCTCCCCTCGGTCTCATGCTAAGCCGGTTGCTAGTTACTCGACGGCCCGGCATCCACGAGCTCCTAGAAGCGGATGACATGATCGCTGATCGTAACGGGTCCGGAGATGCGTGGGGTCGAAAGTCGGACGTGGGCGATAACGGGGCACAATTTATGAGAGAGCTGTCATTCTCGTACCAGCGCAGAATGGCCAGCTAGGTAGTTCGTGGTGGTCGGCCGTAGACTTTGTTCGTAGGCGTGACAGGTTCGATCTGGGGTTGTCAGGAAGGTTCTGGCTGCGACAGCGGAGAAGAAGTCGTCGGTAGGTCGGGGGGTTTGAAGGAAATGAAGGTTGCGGCGAAATGTGGTGGCCGTCGAGAGTTGGATGGTGGTGTTGATCGGTCAAGGACCCAATGTCAAGCAAGCACGCTGCAGCCGCTTGGGGACCCTCAGAAGGTTTGGGGGTGAATGTTTGGTGCAGCAGGTGACACACGTCATTGGCAGAAAAGGAGATGCGGTGACTGCCGGGACCCCTTGTACTTTTCAGGAAAAGGTGGCACGGTGGTACCTGCGGCCCTGCGCGGCGCTAAGCGGCCCTGTATGGACAGCACGAGGGACGGGAGGGAGGCTAAGGTACCTAACTTCCATGGCTGAGAGTGCACTACGTACCTACAGCAACATTGCTTCGCTAATGAGGTACTTGCCGCAGCAGGTAAAGTTGCTGGCATTAGTTGGTGGACTGAGGTACTCGCTAGAACCATAGGTGCTGGGCGTATCGGGTATCGATGATGCCTGACCGGCGGAGACCCGTGAACGGGGCCGGACCACTGGTCACTGCATTTCTGGCCTGACGATACGACACCTCAATCTAGAGAACTGCGAGGGAACAGATACCAACAACTGGCATCCAATGAGTCTCGGCGATCTGTTGCAAGCTCTGGGGCAAGACTGACTACCTTTGAGTTGCTCTGCGACAGAACTTGAGATGACTCTTCATCAAAACTTCTCCCTAACAGATGTTTGAAGAGAAAACCAATATGAGAATAGTTACCGACTATCAATGTTTCGTTTCTATCATCGGGCCGTGTAAGACTCCCTTTCAAGCTCTTGGGCCGTACCTAAGTCACCGTACCATACAAAAGTAGGCAGGCACTCACGATACGAGATGTGTCGCCGCCATGCTTGGCTATTTTGCCTTCAATACGAAGGCTTTCCACAGTCTAGCATTGGTCTCACTCTGTCCTCCTGCAGATCACCTTACTTTTTTACTTGAATGAGATCAAACCTGAGACTACCAATACCTACCAAAGAAAAATGATCGCTTGTTGTGTCACCAGCAAAGGCGGTATGGATTACGAACATGACCAGTTCCAAAGGGCCAAACGGTATCACCAAGTCACATGCTTCCGCGTAATGTGTCTTGGCCGCTTATTTCGACCTTTTTTTTTTTTTTTTTTCGCTTCTTTCGATTTTATTTTTTCTTCCCCACTGCATCCTCCAAACGGTCCAAGGGTATTTCCATGGCCGTTGTCCAGCGAATCAGTAGTTCGTCCGGACCAGAGATGGAGCGTTTTGGACGCGCATATCCGGTCCCTCATGCGCAGCTCATCATTTCCCCGTCCTTATCATATTCTGTATGATACTACGCGGACACTCATTAAGCCTTTTCTTTGACCTGACTGACAATTGCTGTCTCGGTCAAATTTCTTACCTCCCAGTCGCCGGCAGAAGCTCTGTGACCATGCCCACAGTATCCGTACCTCTGCGGAGCGCAAATAAAAAACGCTGGCGTCCTTGTAGTCCGGTTGATTTGATGCAGGTGCGATGACATTCTTATCATGATCAGGCCAAGCAGATCGACGATGAGTCCTGGCAGGAGCTGGCACTGGGAAAGCCGTAGTTCCAGACTGCAGGGCAGATGGGGCCAAGTGCCCAAGGTTGAAGGCTCAAGGCGCTATGTTCTCTGTGCCCAGTGCCCGATTATTCGTCCCAATTTTGTCCGAGGGATGTTCCTTGTCTGCCGCTGGGACGCTGGGGATTGCATGGTCCATTGTTTATCTCACACACACACGGTCGAGTCCGGCTATTGGAGCCGTAATAACCCTGAAAGGCGAAATTGCCCAATACAGCGCCAACAAGCCGGAAGGCCTGCGTTGCAGAGTATTTGACAGTCGATGACAGCTTACAAGTTCAATGCTGGCGTGATAGACGCCACCCAGGCCGTGAGATTGTCTCCGTAGGAACAAAAGGCTGCTGACGGAGTCAACGGGGCCGCCGCCACAATCGAAAAGAGTCATGATGGTAATAAGTATCAGGGCGCGTATGAGATCCTCTTAACTTTGCACCGACCAGACAGCCACGCCGCGCAGGCCATGACGGCTGGCGTCCGTTAACTGTTGACAGGCGCACTGCTTCTTCGAGAGCAAGTCTGAAACGGCTCTCCATCCTCTTTTATCTGAGAGTCGCGGAATCGGCTGGAATCTGCTTGGCTCATATCCAAGGTAGAGAGGCGTAGATGCTATCCGGGACTTTGGTAGGCATGAGTACAATATGAAGAACCCATCACTGAACCCGACTGGCTAGGCGAGTAGTTCGATCGACGTAAAGACTTTGTTCGTTTGATTCGAGAGAGCTTGTTGCATTTGGTTCTTGGTAGGAGAGCGGCGGCCGATTGACTTTCAAGGCTGTTCAGAGAACTGGGGAGCCCGTCTCCAAGGCCCCCCCTCAACAGCTACCTACCCCTTTTCCTTGATGCAATGCAGAGGCATAATTCGTAACCTGCAGGTGGTGTCGTCGCAAGTTGACGAGTTGAATCCCGACTCTCTGGAATCTTGGACAAGGAAACGGGCGAAAGCGCCATAATCAAGCGAACAGTTTGCAAGAGCCGCTTTGTTGATGTGAGGCAGCGGCCAACAGAGTTGAACAAACAGGGCCATGTCTCCACGCAGAAGAAACTTGGGGACGGAGACATAGTGTCCGAGAGGGTGTTCAAGATCTCGCGGCTTGCCGGGCTTTGCTTCGCTTCCCCAAGTTGGGAATTTAGGAGGGGCAAACACCTAGGGTGGAGGTGATGCGGAGGCAGGAAAAAGGACGGCGGTACTGCGCGCCCAGTCAGCTTGTTGCTTGTTCGTGCTTGTCATGAAGACATGGTAATTAGTGCCAAGGTGCCTTGCTACGGCCCAACAATGTGTGGGATGGGCAGGACCAGGTGGTGTGGTGATCCCATGCGCTTTGGTCAACTGTCAACGGATCTTGAGCTGGTGACCCCACCAGAGATGGCTAAAAAAGTGAAAGAGGCCGCCGTTGTCCCTGGAACGAAGGAGAGACGTGGATGCTGTTCAGTACCCTAAAGAGGACCTAGGAGGACACATGAAACCCGAGGTGAGATGGCTGGCGGTGATGGTGTTGGTGGTGGTGGTGGTGGTGGTGCTGTTTTTGTAGTTGACAAGGCTATGGAACGTTTTGTGTTGGTTGGTGGTGAGGTAAGATGGAGGTCCGCGTTCCTGAATGCCATGGACGTTGATTCCGAGGGGGTAGAGCTCTTTGCGTGATACTGTGGTAGATATTGTCATTGATGCAGCCCGGTGCTTGGTATTCCATTGGAAAGGCTTGACGAAGAGAGGTCCACGGGGTGGATAATGGGAATTTGAGACCGGCGGGCAGGGGTCGGGATAAAAGTGAAATCGGCGCCAATCTCGTCTTTGCCAACCCTGGCGCCTGAAGACCAAGTGGGCTTGATTCAACGTCACAACGGGGGAAGCACCAGCGCTGTGGACAGTATCTGTAGGTACTCGCGGAGCACAGCTTTCCAGTGGCAGCGGCTGCGCGTACCTTTCCAATTCAGACGAGGTGGCATGGTACCTTACCTTACTCCAGACCACCAGAGTGACAAGCCCAGCCTGGCCAAGTCCAGCCCACATGCATTTGTGTACATGTACCTGGCTGACGTGTGAAATCTCCGCGGCGACACAGGTATCTTGAACCGAATGCGGGCCTTGACGACACTGGACCATGAAGGAGGGGGGGGGGCGGCGCACATCAGCGGCAGCAGGCAAGCACCTCAGCAATAGCAACACAGTGACAGCGACCGACAAGCAACAGGCCTCTGAGGCAGACGTGCCGCAGCCCAGCAGCAGGTTGTCCTCCTTCGACATCGGATCGCAACATCCAACCTTTTGCATTTCCATGACTCTCTTATTCATTTCCCATCCGTTCTACACTACAACAACCCACTGCTTCTCCGGCATCTTACCTCTCATTCCCATTCCCATTCTCCCTCAAATATTCCTCGACGTCGCCGGTGCCTGCCAATATTGGTTCCCCGCAGCTTTTACTTTAACCCCTTCGCTCAGGCCCTCGTCGCCTCCCGCAGCCGCAGCGTCTCGATCCTGGCTGCTCAGTCCACGCTTCCGTACCGCCTGCCCGTGGCTGTGGCTTGGCCTCTTCTTGTGTCGCCAAATGTTCACGATCCTGGCTAACTTGCGACCCCGCGCTGCGAAGCCCGCCGACCACCAAAGAGGCGCCCCCTCTGCCTCTGCCTCACCTGCGACCTTTTACATCTCCATGCGCCGTTAATACCAGCTTCAACATCTCATCATGGGCATCGTTAGCAGCAAGCCCGATGACGGGGCTATCCTCTATCTTAGAGACCAGAATCGACGTGCGACCTCCCGCCCTCTGCTCCCCCTGCCTTACTCTCTGCTTGCCTGAGCCTCTGCCTTGCCTGTTCATGCATGCAGCCTTGCGCACCCGCTTGCTAACTCTTCGTCGCAGTATCCATATCTTCTCTCGTCATCTCCAACCCGCGAAGACGCTCTTCCGTAAACATCGTTCCCAATTCATTCCCCGCCACCAGAGTCTCGGCCTCTCGTCCGTTAGGTGACGGCAGTCCCATAGAATTTGTTCAGGTTCGTCGGCGCAAACAGCAGCACCAGGCTCCCTCGGCTCTTTCTACTTCACAGTGACATGCGCTGATCATCGCATTTACAGGACACCGAAGTCGTAACGAGTCCCGGCGGCGTCCCGAATTTCATACTGAAGCTCAACCAAGACGATGAGCTCGTCTTCACCTTTACCTTCGTTATTCGTCAAGGCCAGCAGTTTGTCACCAACGGCGGCGCTGACACCGTAGCAACGACCGACACTCAAATCAGCGGGCTGACCTATGTCTATGCCTCTACACCCCGCGAAGTAGAGAATCTGGTGACCCGCGAGTTCCACGCAGACCCGAACCTACACAAGAATTCCAACGTTGAGTTGGTAGGCGACTTTGCGACTGGTGGCACTCCCTCCGTTTCCTTTGAATGGACCTGGAAATGGAAACCGCCAAAGAGCATTGAAGACAGGGGTGGTGGATGGAGGAATTCCTGCAGCGTACGTTAATTACGGACCATGGCAAAGAGCATTGCTGACCCCGTCATAGTTCGTCGAGTACGACCCTCGCGCTCACTGTCTCCATACTCTGGCTAGTTTCTCATACTGGGTGTCGAGTAAGGCTTCGCTCGCACTTCTTCATACCTGCGGCCCGCAGCTGACTTCTTCTAGACCCAGTCTACCCACTCAGCCACCCAAATTCGCCATCCCCTCCCTTCCTCCTGACCGCCCCTCCCAAGATCCGTGTCGCCTCGTCTCAGTCTGTGGATTCTCGGATCAGTCATGCCGAATTAGACGAGCCCTTGTCGCCGTTGCCGGGCAATACATCATCGACCACTATACTCCCTGTTCCCCAGTCTGCATCGGAGCCGATCAAAGTAGACGTCGCATGCCCGAAACCCACCGACGATGTTCTCGTGCCAGACGATGGACCTGTCTTCAGGGCGACAATCAAATCGTTGGAGCAGAAGACTGGTAACATGCGGACACAGATGAAGCGCGTGCTCAAGATGGCCAAACAAGCACATGAGGCACAGCAGGAGGCTAACAAGAACTTTTCCGAGTTTATTGATACTCTTCGGGAAGCCTCTTCGACAAACGCCAATGCTGTCCAGCCAGCGATTGAACACTACTTTGACAAGATTGCCCGGGAGATTCTTGCTTATGAGCGGACAAACACTGTCAACCTCAAGCGGATTGTGATCGATCCACTGGACAAATTCTACACAGTGGACATCAAGCAAGCCGAATCCAAGAAGCGTGACTTTGAGGAGGAAAGCAAGGATTACTATGCTTACGTTTCAAGATATCTCGGACAGCGTCACGATTCCGTCAAGGCTAAGAAACTGGCAGAGAGTGATTCAAAGTATCAAACTAAACGTCGCAACTTCGAGCTCAAGCGCTTCGACTATTCGAGTTTCATGCAAGACTTGCATGGCGGTCGGAAAGAACAAGAAGTTCTGTCCCACCTCACACGGTATGCCGATGCTCAAACGAAGAGCTTCCTCGAGGCAGCGAAAAAGATTGACACTCTTCTACCCCAATTGGAAGCACTTTCAAGCGAAGTACAAGAGGCCGATAAGGAGTATCAGTACCAAAGGCGGGAGCGTGAAGAAAAGAGACGACTCCTCGAGAAAAGCAACCAGCCATACAATGAGCCTGATCCCGTCCCAGTACCTGGTACAAGCAGTGGTCCGGTTGCGGGTTCAAATGGAAATGTGTATGTTTCCGACAGTGATCTAGGTCGTGCCGACAGCACAGGATCGCAGTTGAAGGTAGCAATGTCTTCGGGTTCGAATCCTTCCCTCTCAATGGCTTCCCCTGAGCTATCTCGGTCCCCGGGCAGTCTTGGTAATTCTTCTGTTGGAAGTCCTGCTCAAGCCTCAAAGTTCAAAGGAATTCGTGACTTGGAGGAGAAAGACTACGGACAATCGTCCGACGCAAGCAGCACTCAGCGTAAAGAAGGCTTGCTGTGGTCCCTTAGTAAGGGCGGAAGCAATCATGTTGACCCGCGCAACCTGAACAAACAGGGTTGGCACAAGTAAGTTAACCTGGGAAACCGCAAAGCATTTTACGTTCTGACAAGCCGCAGGTTCTGGATTGTTCTCGATCAGGGCAAGCTCTCAGAGTACAGCAATTGGAAACAGAGGCTTGACTTGCACAATGATCCAATCGACTTGAGAATGGCATCTGTAAGGGAAGCACGGAATGCCGAGCGCCGATTTTGTTTCGAAGTCATTACGCCCCAGTTCAAACGAGTCTACCAAGCAACATCAGAAGAAGACATGAACAGTTGGATAACGTCTATCAACAATGCGTTGCAAAGTGCGGTCGAAGGCCGCATCATGAGAGACAAGTCGGCGCCGAGCGATTCAGGGTACATCAAGAGAGATATTGGCTCAATCCTCACCGGCAAGAGCCCATCTGTTGGCCACAATAGCCACCATCACAGTCACGCGAATTCAAACAGCGCACCTGTACGCCGAATTACTGTGGGCGCTCGGCCCAGCACGCATCGATCGACCAGCTCGAGTTTCGACGAGAATCCCGACAAGCTGCTTCAATTGCTGCGCGACAACGACCAAGGAAATTGCTGGTGCGCCGATTGCGGGTCGGGCACCAAAGTTGAATGGGTTTCAATCAATTTGGCCATTATTCTATGCATTGAATGTAGTGGCATTCATCGCTCCCTCGGCACGCACATCAGCAAAGTGCGGTCCCTGACCTTGGACATCAATTCCTTCACCTCCGATATTGTCGAGCTATTACTCCTTGTTGGAAATAGAGTGTCCAACATGATTTGGGAATCGAAGCTCGAGCCTGGGTTCAAGCCGACACCGCAGGCAACTCGAGAGATGCGGTTGCGATTCATCACAGCAAAGTACGTGGATAGGGCTTACGTTGAGCCGATTTCAGCCACACTTTCACGCTATCCAAATCCCGACGACACCCTACTGGCGGCTATCAAGAAGAATGAGATTCAGCAAGTGATATATGCTCTGGCTCTGAGGGCAAGCCCCAACGTCACGGACAGGTCTCGCGGAACCCACGCCGTTTTCCTGGCGTTGGCGGCCGCCGATCCTGCGTCACCTTCTCCCACTCCTGGGCAGCCCCCGGAGACGGACAGAACGGTGCCATTCCCGGTGGCAGAGATGCTGCTACAGAATGGCGCAGAAGTTCCGTTGACAATGCCGGCCTTCCCCTTGAGCCGGAGCGCGCAAATGTATATTGAAGAAAAACGAGGGCGGAGCACTGGGTTCTCAAACGACAGCGTCGGATCACTGCCCGGCAATCTGAGTCCCAACGAAAAGCTGCAGCGGGAGAGAGATGCCCGTTTACAGAAGAGAGTGAGCGCGGGAGGACGTCTGGCCAAGAGCCCGATTCCGGAAAGGTAGCGACCTACCTGTCTCGAGCGGCTGGGACAACTCAACATGTGCCTTGCCTTTGCACTGCATGCGAGACGCAGGTCTTCTCTTGAAGTTCACTTGTCAACAGACGATTATGATGACTCTGGGTGTGACGACGGATGAAAACATCTTGGCACTGGCAATGAGGCGAAGATGGAATGCTTGGCGAGCTTTGACACTGTCATTACGAAGAAGCCATGTTGCTTTTGAAGGGTCTGGTGGTCTGTTTTCTACCGGGCGAGAGGCTATCTGTTTTCGTTGCCGACCATGAGGAGAGTCACGGGACCATGTCCTCACATATAGCATGTGTACAGAGTTCTCTTTTCGATGACAAACGCCAGCGACGGGCCGGTCAGGTACATCATTGGAGTAGTCCTCGATTGGAAAAGGCCAATGGTTGGAGAGTGCAGAGACGGCCGTTGTGTGCGCGTGCTTGTCTGTGTGTGTATGGATAGTAATAGTAATGAAATGATGAATACAAAGTAAAATAGCATATTTCGGCTGGTTGGTGAGCCATACGGTAGCCGGAGTGAATGAGGCGTTTGAGGCCGAACTGTTGTTGCCACTGACAGCCAGGGAGACGGAGAAACCGAATCGTGAGTGAGGCGTTGGGCGGCGGGTGAGCCACTCACGTGTGGGTTTGGCGGGAGATGAATCACACCTGCGGTATACCTAGCCAAGCAGGCGACGGGATGCGCACCTATTCTTACAAAGTGACCAAATGGGCTGGGCAAAGGGGGTTGGAGGGGAACGTCACTAAGATGCTGGAGAAGGCACATGATGGGGATGTCTCAATTTTGGGCACTCGAGATGGAGGAAAGAACGGGTGTTTGCATTAAGCTCGTTCGACAACCCGCATGTCAGAACCAACTTTGACGAGGTGCGATGAGTCGGTGACCATGGTATCGGGAATCTCGATCATGGAAAGTAGCGCACCTCAAAGTATGGGCAATAGCGGCTGTATGATTTGTGAATAGCTACTTACCAGTCCTGCCTTAATCATCTGCTTGTGGTTTGAGTGGGCCCCTTTCCCAGGCGAACATGGCCATAGTGTGCAGGTGAGATTTGCCGAGGAAAGAATGGCTCACATGAGACCTGGTTCTTTCCGCCACATGGTTCGTGTTAGTGTTAGAGGCGGAGTGCGGGAGGGAAGGGAAGGGAGAGAGCTATCAGTCTCACGCGGGCGCGGTTCTCTTTGCCCACGCTTCTTGGGCTTGGCAGTGTATTCATATGGAAGGGGATGGGAGTCATTTCCATTTCCAGAAAACAGATCTTGAAGTGTTCTGAAATTCAGTCTCTTCCATCGTCGTCGTCCTCGTATTACGGTATTCTTGGTTGCGGAAGCACCATTACGCTCGTCGTTTCGATTCACAGCGACCTGGTGAACAACTACCTTACTTCTTCTACCTTGCCTTTAAGAAGTACTTCACATCATCTCTCTTACCTTATCTATCGTATCTGTGTACCTACGTATCTGCCAGATCTGCATACGCCCTGCGGCACTCGAAAAACGAGAAGGAACGAAAAAAGGACTGAGCAGGGAAAGTCCCCTTGGATCCCTGATTTTAGCAGAGGGCGAGAGGAAGAAGAGGTCGCAGGAAACAGCCGATGACTGCATGTCTAGGCTGCAGCGCACCCAACTGGCAACTGCTGCATCCCGTCGCTGCAGTCATTCGATCCTCGAGGACCCACTTGCTCTGGCACGGTCCTCGATCCAAGAAGAGGGAAGGCCCTGTCAAACAGTCACAGTCAACTTGCCTCCAGCTGTCTGAGGTGACTCTGGGGCGGTCCAGTGTTCACAGTTTAGCCCAGTACCTTCCGGGTGACGGATCCAATAAGCCCCCAGCCAGCCCAGCCCAGCCCAGCCCAGCCCAGCGGACGGGACTCTCCCCAGGACCAGGACCAGGACCAGGACCAGGATACAGGACACCCGTGGACAGACCAAGCAGGACCACCACCAAGCACCAGCAACCGGCACCAGGACACAGGGACAACCTGACGGCACCCGGCAGCTTGCACAGGTCCATTGCCAGGGGCATTTGGTTGGTCCTTCCACTTTTTTGCCTGGCTTGGCCGTAGCTTGAGCACCACTGCACTTGTACTTGCACTTGCACCTGCACCAGCTCAACACCTCGAGGCACCTCACCTTTCCCCCCTCTCCACTTTGGGGGAACTGACTTCCCGGTCCGTCCAATACGCAGGCCGCGGTGCGCAGTAGCTCCTCCATTTTCCAGGCTGCACTCCACGCTCACTCTTCGGGCCTTGCCTTTCCAGGCTTTCCTGAGCAGCTGTTTTACTAATGGGAAGAGCCTCGCCATCCTTCACATCTCTCCCTTAGGCAACACTACCAACATCCAATCTTCTCATCACCCAATCCGTTACAACATTCACAATCACCCACGTTACACGTTATCCCAAGAGCTTTTGTCTGCACAAATCGTTTAGCCGAACAGAGGGTTACCATACCGTACTAGCTTGTCATAACCAGAGATCGACACATACCTGGTATCCATTAATTCACCGACGACGTAACCATTCCCACCTTACCTTGCTTTACTCGCCTGCTGCCTTCGACATCCCACTCCGCGAGCCGAATCCCGTAAGACCGTAGTCTTCACCAGATCGAGGCCATGGCTCCTCCTCAATCCGAAAAGAGTCAATTGAAACGAACTAGAGTAAGTCGTCTACTGATTTGTCCGGCCTTCTGGTGTGCAATCCTAAATCGTCTTTCCCTTCCAAAGGGTTCTCTGCCAGAAAACGAACTGGATGCGAAGAAGCCCCGCCGCTCCGACAGGCAATCACCGGAACCCGAGCACAAGACGCCAGTCTCTAAGAAGCACCAGCTTCCCTCGCCAGTCACAAGGTCTGGCGACTCGGATGAGGTCTATAAGGAGCCCACCGCCACACCCCCGGAAGGACGCCCCAGCCAGGTGAACCACCACGATAAGGAGGACGCGTCGCAAGTCGTTAATAACATCTCCTCACCGCCGCAGGAGGCTACCCAGGCCTTCTCGCAGTATGCCCACGAGACCAAGGAGGCCCTCTCGGACGAGGTCGAGGACGAGGTGAGGGAGGGCGTATGGGGATACTTGTTCCCGCTCGATACCAAATATGGCAAAGTCGTCGTCATGAAGAGGCGAACTGCTTGCCCCTTGCCAGATGCTCTCGAGGCGAAAGAGTCAGCGAATAAGGGTCAGAAGGGGAAGTCGTCCCTGCAAAAGGAAGAAGAGGCATACGAGCGCACTAAGATCAAGGGAGTTGCCTCGGGCGGATACTTGATTGGCCGTCATCCCGAGTGCGGTAAGCCTGCAGTCCGTTCTCGAGCGTAGCCGTGGTGGTGCTGACAACCCGCAGACATCGTCGTGGACGATCCCATCATTTCCAACAGGCATTGCCTAATCTTCACGGAGAACAAGGGCGGTGACACTGTCGCGATTTTGGAGGACTTGTCAAGCAACGGAACTTTCGTCAACGAAGCTATCGTGGGCCGAAACAAGCGGAGAGAGCTCCAGGAGCAAGACGAAATTGCCGTCATCGACAAGGCTCGTTTCATCTTCCGGTACCCCAAGAGTCGGCAATCTAGTGCATTTCTGAGCCAGTACACTCTGCTCGAGAAGCTGGGCAAGGGTCACTTTGCTGAAGTGTTTTTGTGTGTCGAAAAATCTACTGGCCAAAGGTACGCCGTAAAGATCTTCACCAAAACGCCCGGCATGGAGGAGAGATCGAAGCAGGAGGGCTTGCAGCAGGAGATTGCTGTTCTCATGGGCGTCAGTCATCCCAACGTCCTCTGCCTGAAGGACACGTTCAATGAACGTAACGCCGTTTATCTGGTCCTCGAGCTGGCTCCCGAAGGCGAGCTGTTCAACTTCATCGTCATGAGGCAGAAGGTGAGCGAGGACGAGACGCGCAAGCTCTTCAAGCAGCTTTTTCAGGGCATCAAATATCTGGTGAGTCTCACATCATGGCAAATACTGAGCTGGACGCTGAAGTGCAGCAGCACGATCGCAACATCGTTCACAGAGATATCAAACCTGAGAACATTTTGATGGTCGACAAGGAACTCAATGTCAAGCTGGCTGATTTCGGCTTGGCAAAGATTATTGGTGAAGAGTCCTTCACGACCACACTGTGCGGCACGCCGAGTTACGTGGCGCCGGAGATCCTCGCCGAGGGCAGACACAGAAAGTACACCAAAGCAGTAGACATTTGGTCATTGGGTGTTGTGCTATACATCTGCTTGTGTGGCTTCCCGCCCTTCTCGGACGAGCTCTATTCTAAGGACTTCCCTTTCACGCTGTCGCAACAGATCAAAAGCGGTCGGTTCGACTATCCCTCGCCCTACTGGGATTCTGTTGGCGACCCTGCCCGTAAGTGTCTTGGAAGTGCATTTTCTCTGTACCACAACTGACGCTGCGAATTAGTTGACCTGATTGATTCTATGCTTGTCGTCGACCCCGAACGTCGGTTCACTGTGGACCAATGTCTCAGCCACCCGTGGATGACTCAGAATCAGCCTGGTGTCAACGATAGCACTGATGGCCTCGTTGGCGGCATTCAAGGCTTGGACGTTAAACGACGAGGCATGGCCAGAGAACGTACGCTCTTGAGTTCATTGAACTCGGTCCAAGTGGCTACCAGAGCGCCTGTTGGAGACAGCAAGAAGCCCGTCAACATTTATGCTAAGAACACGAAAAAGATGACGCCGAAGGAGGTTGACCCCACTTCGCAGAGGGCCGTGGGTGAGTTCGTCGAGATGGGCGGCAAGGGCGACGAGGCACTCTTTGGGGCTGATGGGGAGAGCATATACTCGAAGAACGACATCGCCAGTGCCGAGAACGGTGGGAAGTAATGCTGTGTATAATTTCTTGTCGGTTCGTTTTTTGTGGGAGCATGGGTTACGAGGTGCGTCTGAGGACCGCATCGGCGATGTTTTGGGTTTCTTGGCTTTCCTGGTGCCATGCAGGCATAAGTACACTATGCTTGCGACACCAACAGTCATTGTTTTCAGTAGTGTCACAGGCTTGGGGAGATAGGTTGTGCAGTATAGCATTGGACGACCTCTACAGATGCGCGGGAATGGACGGGCAAAAGTTTGGAGTTTCATGCTGTTTTCGATCGAAACACCGGCCCAATACAATAATAAGCTTAAACAACATACAATACTCCCTGTGGAATGATGCTCTACTAACGACAAGTGCGTGTGATTGAGTAGACTCGCAAGAGCTCGGTAAGTGTGCAGCAAAGCTCTCAGCACTTGCAGGGGAAGGAGTGTAAGTAGATAGGCGGTATGCCGGGCACAAGGACCCAAGGGGGCGCGATATCACCCGCCAGCATGTCGGCTCCGGGAGGATACAGGGTGGCCAGGCTGCTGCGGGTCGCACCGGCGGACCAGATTGACGGGGTGGGGCCGAAACAACGACATGTCTTTCTTTACCGGGTCCTCACCTTGTTTTCTGCCACGTGAATGCTTTTCGACTTTCCCAGCAAGATCATGATATTAGTTTTAGATTGTATGATTGGACTATGTTGCTGAATCGAATTTAACCCGAATTCCAGCAAATCATGGTGAACGATGTGATGTTGATGGCTATTGGCGTAACGCCCGACGTTGAACACTGTCACCCCGCTTTCCTCACCCTCACCGCCTTCGCCTAGGGCCCCAGTTACGGTTTTTCGCACAACTGCGAAAGTGGCAGAAAAAATTGCTTACCACCACCCCTCCATCAACGACGACGCAGAACGAGTCGGCCTTCGCAAATCGAAGCAGTAGGACTCACCGCACGACAGACCGACCCCCTGTCTCCGTTTTCTCAAACGACACGCCCCCTCTCTCTCTCTCTCTCTCTGTCTTTCTCACACTTTCGGCCGTCTGGTTTTTCCCGGGTTTAGAACCTCCTCTTTTTGGTTTTTCTCTCCAACCCCCCGATCAACCGCATAAACCACCGACCTCGAAACCCACCCACCCCCTCTCTTCGTCGTCGACCCTCCAAAAAATCCCGAACACCACATCGGAAGCAATCATGGCGGCGGGAGCGAAGCAACAACAGGCGCAGCCGCAGCTGCTGTTCGTCGATGGTTCCTTCCAGGAGCTGGCCCGCGAGATGGCCGAGTACCTCCACATCGCCGACGAGATCAAGCCCCTGGTCGAGAACGAGGCCAAGAAGGAGGAGGTGCTGAGCAAGCTGGTGGCCAAGTCGGCGGCGCTGTCGTCGGTGCCCGAGAAGGAGTTCACGGCCGCCTCGAACCTCATGGTCCACCTCGTCCTGCAGTCCGAGGAGCCCAAGAAGCACCTGCCCGCCCTGTGCAGCGCCTTCAGCAAGCCCATCGCCTCGAGCCCCGTCAACGGCGTCGGCCTGAGCCTCAACGCCCTCAGCACCGTCTTCAACCTCATCGCGCCCGAGAACCCGATCCGGTTCAACGTCTTCATGGCCATCCTGCGCTTCCTCAAGTCCCACGCCATGTACGATGCCGTTCAGCCCTACCTCAAGCACCTCCCCAGCTGGTTCGAGGAGTGGGCCACTGGCGAGGAGTTCCAGAGACAGATGTACGAGGAGATTGCCGAGGTCGCCAAGGAGGCTGGCAAGGAAGAGTGAGTTTTTGATAACCGGAGATTTTGGACGAGACACAACAGATGTGCTGACAGCATGTGCCACCCCTGATAGGGAGAGCTACGAGTACATTCTCAAGGCCCTGCGCACCTTTGACGCCGACGAGAAGGAGGAGATTGGCTCCGAGGACGCCCAGAGACTATCCCTCCGCGCGGTCCGCGACGCCCTCCTGTCCAACACACACTACCTCTTCACGGACATCCGCAGCATACCCTCGGTCCAGAACCTTTCCGAAACCCACCCCGTCTACTCCCAGCTTCTCGACGTCTTTGCCGAGCAGGACCTCGAGGACTACAACGACTTCAACGACGAGCACTCTGGCTTTGTCGAGAAGGAGGACCTCGACCACGACAAGCTCCACCGCAAGATCCGCCTCCTGACCTTTGCCTCTCTCGCCGCCCAGACGACCTCGCGCCGCATCGAGTACGCCGCCGTCGCCAAGGCCCTCCAGGTCCCCGCCGAGGAGGTCGAGATGTGGGCCATTGACGTGATCCGCGCCGGCCTCGTCGAGGGCAAGCTCTCCCAGCAGGACCAGGTCTTCCTCGTCCACAAGGTCACCTACCGCGTCTTTGGCACGCGGCAATGGCAGGAGCTCGCCACCCGCCTCGACTCGTGGAAGGGCACGTTTTCGAACCTGTACGACGTCATCCGCAAGGAGCAGGCCAACGCCAAGGCGCAGAAGGAGCGCGAGGCGCAGGAGGCGGAGCGCAAGCAGCAGGGCGGCGGTGAGGGCGGTCGCGACGGCGGTCGTCAGCAGAGGGGCCAGGGACGTCGCGATAACAACCAGCAGCGTGAGCCCAGGGAGCCCAGAGAGCCGCGCGAGCCCAAGGAGCGGACGGAGGATGACGACTAAGCGGGGAGGCATAAAATCTAGTCTGTTGATGAGGAACTTGCCTTTTTTCGCTTAGTGTGGCTTTTCTCGCCTCGCAGAATCCACGCGGCTTTTAAGGGGATTCAAAGCGGGACGTGAGAAAACAAGAGCCGAAATGAACACCAACTTTTACGGCGAAAGAGGAAACAAAAGGATTTAGGGGGGCCAAAGGGGAGAGAGAGAGGAAACTTCGTTCGTGTTTACTGTAATTACGGCGAGGAGAGAGAGAAGAATAGGCGACCCTGGGACCGTACATGGGACCCGCACGGATTCCCATACCTTAGAGCTGGGGACAACGCTTTTTTTTTGTCTTCATGGAACAGTGGTGGGGAAAAAGGGATGGTTTTTCCGAGTTTTCAACGCTGGCACCATGACTTGCTTTGCTGCTTTGCATCGCGGGAAAGAAGAAAAGCAAAAGGTCTTTTTTTTTTACCACTTATTTAGGGAGTCCCCGAATGAATCCGGCGTAACGAAGAGATTTACGATAAAGACGTCTTTTTATCCTGCTTGATCTTGACACTATCTTGCTCCGTTTGTGGTTGATGACTACCTACTATTAAAAAACTGACGGACTACTATATACGGAGAGCTCTGATATATCCACGACTAGTCACATCTACTTGTTGCCCAGACATGTGATGGTAGAAGCCGTAAGACCATCACGAGGCGATGAGGGCTAAAGAGGGTGTGAACCAGCAGCTTCTATTTGATACTCGAGTCTTTTTTCTTTTGTTTTCGAGGGTTGGATTGAGAACCTCAATAGTACATGTCTAGATATACAATAGACCACAAAAGAGAAAGGAATCTTCTTAGACTCCGAAACTTCTTATACAAGCACACACAGCGAGAGACCCTCTTCTAGAGTCTACGTAAAACAAAGTACACCCTCTCTACCACTCCTTTGGCACTGATTTTGTCTTTTTTTTTCTTCTCTTACCCTTCCAGGTTTTTCCATCTGACGTTTACTCATTCCCTAGCAGCCAAAAGGAAGGTGCGCGTAGTCTCCCGTTCGTCGAAGCTGTCTGTGCCCGCAACTCTGCTACTGCAAAGTAACAACCAGTCCCCCCCCTTTCAAGCTCAGAAACCCAAGCGCTTGGAGAGCTCGGAGCGCGTCTTGCTGTAGACGTCCTCCGGCGAAGGCGTAGCATCGAGCTTGACGACGCGGCCCTCCTTTTCAAAGTAATCCACGACAGGCATGCTCGTCTCGACAAACGTGCGGAAGCGCTTGCGGATGCTCTCGGCGTTATCGTCAGCGCGACCGCTCGTCTTGCCGCGCTCGAGCAGACGGCTCTCCATGACGTCCTCGGGGCAGTCGTAAAACAGCACCAGCTTGGCGGGGCAGACGGCCTCCTCGAACTTGACGGCCTGGTCCATCTTGCGGGGGAAGCCGTCAATGAGGAAGCGCGCCGCCTTGCCGGCCGGGTTCTCCTTCATCGTCTCCGTCATGGCGTTCTCGAGCAGCTGGACGGTGACTTCCATGGGCACGATGAGGCCGTCCTTGATGTAGTCCTTGATAAGCTGGCCGAATTGGGAGCCGGGGCGGTCCTGTTCTGCGCGGAGGAGGTCGCCGGCCGAGAGGTGGGTGAAGCCGTAGTCGGAGACGAGGCGGGCGCACTGGGTTCCCTTGCCGGCGCCGGGGCCGCCGAGGACGAAGAGGACTGTCACGTCGGCGGGGGAGAAGGTCGGGGTCGACTTTGTTGGGGAGGGGAGGGCTTGCTTTGCCTCGGGGGCGGGGAGGGCTGCCATCTCTGTTGTTTGGGTTTTTTTTGTCAGTTGCGTCTCAGTCTTGTGGTTTGCACAGGTTGGAATGATTTGTTCAAAGGGTTGAGGGTTGGGTTTCGTGCTCGTTTTGTTGATGAAAGGGACTCAATATTGTCGGGAGGGCCAAGAAAGCTGCTGCCTTGGGGGGGGGGGGGGGGGGGGGGTGAGGGTTGGACAAAGGATAGCTTACCTGCTCTTTGATCAACGAGGAGCTTGTAAGCAAAGCTACCGGCACCAACAACAGCGAGGAAAGGCCAGAACTTGACGCCAGCAAAAGACTTCTTGGGGGGTTCAGAGGAGTAGAAGCGACGCGCCGGGAGTCGCTGTTGAAGACGAAGAGAAGAGCGAGAAGTGGAAGTGAGGATATTAAAAGAACGGATTGGGGAAGAAGAAGCTCGGGAGAGTAGACGGGGCGCGAAGGAGTGCATGATGACGGTGGATATAAGGTAGCAAGGTAGGCGCGAATTTGACGGGCGGCAAGCGGCTAGTTCGGGGAGGGGTGGGAATGAATAGGCTTGTCAATGCAAAGTGACGAGACGGGCTGCGGATACACCAAGGACAACGAGAGAGAGAGAGAGGGAAAAAAGAGTGACAACGTGGTGGTGGTTGGTGGATGGTGGTTTCGAAACCTGTCCTGCGTTCACGCACTGCTGCCAGGGTCAGCTAAGGTAGGGAAGTGTTGGCGTGGCACAATTTTGGACGGTCCCGTCGCCTCCTGAGAGTGGGGCAGATTTGGGGGTGAATTGGGGATTGGGATTGGCGTCTGGCATCTGGGCTTCCAGACCGCCCGGCCTCACGACCCCTGACCACCCTGACGTATGCCCACTTGGCAACAATGCTGGGGTTCTGGCACTATCACGTGGGAGCATCGTTGGGTTAAGCTTTCGTCCGTTGATTGAAGTCGTCTAATTCCTCCATGTCTTCGGCAGCCAAGGGACTTCTGTTCTTCCCGTGCGCTTCTTCCGTAAATGGGACCAATCACTGACCTATCATTCTTACACGTTGAAGACGAGCACTGCGCTCGGCAGACTAAACTCTCTAAGCTTACTTGGGTAGAGATTCAAATGTCTTTCTCGCTTCTGTCATCCTCCCTGACACCCTCAATAAATGGCCAAAACGTTTCTTCAAAGGCCGTCTCACTTGGCTGCATTTCATGCTTTGGCTCATTCAACGGAACTTTGTTTCACTCATGCCACATAAACAACTCCTGCTTGAACATATCACAGTCGCTAATTACAAGGAGCTGTCAGGCTAGGGTACCCTGATCACATGTTCGAGCTAGGAACGTAGTCATGCCGCATAAAACTTGCCATGAGTCTAGGTTGGTGGTCATCCCAGCTACTGGATCATCTCGTGACGGAGGCCTCGCCCGCAGCATCCGATCACAGCTTTGCCGACGCAGGCGCGGACTCGGGCGGATAAAAGTTTCGGGCGGGCAACTTCATCAGAGTGACTTACGGTGCGAGTAAGGACTCGATGGCCGATCTTCGTAACCGCGACGTGCCTCCGAGGCCTCCATCGGCATAATTGACAATATGTGAGTGTGCTTGGCTGTCTCATGCTCTTCATGCTAGCTCGAGTAAGTCGATATCTTACGCGGCTGCGGAAGCGGTCCAGCGGGACGATCTTGGCTCGAACCCGCGACCTTAAGAAAGAAAAAAACAAGCTATCCATGGCATTATGTAGGACCGTGAGCCAACATATGTTCTTTACTAGAATCATACCGCTCGGCCATCGACTACAACGGACGCTGCTTGTTGACAGCTCCTCTATCTTTGGTACCTATGAGGGGACGGAGATCGGATGAGGGTTCATCGAGGTGCGCGTTAATCAGGCTCCAAGCTCGAGGTACGGGCTGGATGGACCGCCCGAGACGACGTAGTCAGATCATATTCATTTCTGAATACTGACCTAAGACTCACTTGCCTTTGTACCTGAGTACACCATACTAGGTAGGTGAAAGGATGGAACACTCAATAAGTGTAGGGTTTAGTATCGATACTCGCAACCCTCATACTTGTGTGTATTGAACAGTATGCTAGATAATTCTTCCACGGGTATCGAGAAAGCCTACAGCTCTTGCGTATCACAATACATTGTCTCGGCCCATGCTCACACAGGCCATCGTGAAACCAATAATTGGCGAGAGGGTGACCACCCGACCGAAAGGATACATCCTCCAAAATCTGGATATGTTCCTAGTCAAAAGCTCCTAACCGGAAGAGCTCTCGATATCATTCCGGGCAAGTGAAGGTTCCAACTGCGCTAAGTGAGCAACACCATTCGACAAACTAAGATTGGCATATTATTGCGGCCGACGACATCCATTGGAGAAACATACGAGAGGCGCGCAGCCCAACACCTATCTAATATGGCCAGATAGCCGTATAGCATACCCTGCTTAGCACATCACTCAACACCCAATATTGGCTGGTATCCGGACACTCTTGAGAGGGTGTTTGAAAACCTTCCTCACTCAAGCCTATCAATGAGAGTCGACCAAACCTGCCTATTTAGGCAAGTCTCGTTTCCATTCCATTGGAATCCACGAAATGCTTATGCTGCCAGAAGTTCTAGGGAAATAAGCATAAGGAACCTTTAGCTGAATCCTCCAGATTGCAATTGGAGAAACGCGAAAGTTGGCATTTGTCAGCATCATGTCGAGCTCGAATTTGGCGTAGGGCTTACATGCGGCTTACCCGAGAAGCTGAGAGGCTGAAGAAACTAACAACGAGTGGCTGCAGTCGCGAAAAGAGTAAGACAAGATTGGCGACGAACGAGTTCTACTTTGTCTTAGCTGCCCCTCACGAAGCTCCCCCAGCTCCTCCTGAGGGCACGCTAGACGCGGGGTCTTATTGATAAAGACGTCGGCATCCTCAAAATGGCCCAATGGTCTTGAGTCCGCGGAGATATCAAAATACCCGTGTTCAATACTTATCACTTATACACAGCTCAGTCCTTGCGAAATACTTGTCAAATATCCACCGTAGACCAAGCTTTGACAATGCCCGTACTCAACCCCAACGCTGAATTCGGGCATTGCGTGCCACCAGAGACTCAGTATGGGATAACCACCTACGCCCCAGGATGGGAAAATGCAATCAAGTTTCGAGAAGGAGACCGAGCCACCATGGCTCGCGTGGTGCACATATATCCGAGATTTGGACCCTTCGGGCCCGTCTCCAAGGTCAGTCTTGTTCATCCATGAAAACCCCCCCTGAAATCAACAACACCACTCTAGACCACAGATGCGCAGAACCCACCATGTTCGGGTATATGACTGACAAACGCATACCAGGCACTCATGGCCATCTGCGCAAAGATCAAAACCCCCGAAGGCCACGGAGCACTCTTCTTCACCTCACCAGCTTCCTTCGCCACCGTCCGCGCCCACGCTCTTCATCCTCACCGGAAGCAGCTCGTCTTGACTGACGAGGACCTGGGCTACCGGTGCGTCGATGTCGGTGACGTGCGCCTCTACCTCGTCACCTACCCGATGCCCAAGACCCCCGGCGTCATCGGCGCCTGGCAGAACCCGGGCATAGGCGTCTCAATCCGTCTGGCTGAGAAGCTCCTGGAGGATATTGAGTCTCTGAAAGAAGTCATGTTCGACGGCGCGGGAGACTCGCCTCCGCCTACGGAGTATCTCCCCGAGAGTGAGGCTCACGGTCAGCTGAGGGAGCATATTATCGGACTCCTTCACAGGGCCACGATCAAACCGGACCAGGTGAAAGTCGAGACCGGAGATGTCTTCTTGTACCCAACGGGCATGGCCGCCATCTTCGCCGCTCATAGGACCCTGCTCGAGTACCGGCCCGGCAGTGTCGTGATTCTCGGCATTGCCTTCCACAGTACCGTTCACTACCTCCAAGACTCCTCGCCGCAGGGCTGCAAGCACTTTGGCCCCGTCGACACAAAGGGCCTCGAGGACTTCGAGTCCTGGCTCGACGCAGAAACGGCATCCGGGAGAGACGTGAGCTATGTCATCGCCGAGTTCCCCAATAACCCTCTCCTGGCTAGCACTGATATCCGCCGTATCAGAAAGCTTGTAAGTGACAACAACATCAGATATCAGGGATCGATGTACCAAGTTAACGCCTTCTTGTAGTCCCAAAAGCACAACTTCGTCCTCGTGCTCGACGACACAGTCGGTTCCTTCAGCAACATCGACATCCTGCCCCAATCCGATGTCCTAGTCTCCTCGCTCACAAAGTCCTTCTCGGGCTACGCAAACGTTATGGGCGGCAGCATCGTCCTCAACCCACTCTCACCACACTACTCCGCCCTCTACCCCCTCTGGTCCAAAACGCACCACAACGAGCTCTTCCTCGCTGACGCCGAGGTCCTCCTCTCCAATTCACAAGACTACCTCCCACGCACCGCGATCCTGAACCGCAACGCCGCCGCCATGGCCGCCCACCTCCACGCCGAAGCCTCCAAGAACCCCGGATCGGGAGTCGTCAAAGTCCTCTACCCCTCCGTCCTCCCCGACTACGAAACCTACAAATCATTCCTCCGAAAACCGACCCCGGAGCTCCCCGAACCGGGTGCGGGATGCCTCCTGAGCGTCGACTTCGACTCCGTAGACGCTGCGCGCGCCTTTTACGATCGGCTGGCGTTTTACCCGGGCCCTCACCTCGGCGCGCACCGCACGCTGTCTCTGGCGTATAACACGCTTGCGTTCGGCAAGGACCCTGAAGAGGCGGCGTTTCATCGGTCGTATGGCATCTTGGAGGAGACGGTGCGTATCTCTGCTGGGTTGGAGGATGTGCAGGACCTTCTTGACACGCTTGATGATGCGTTGGCTGCTGCGAGGGAGGTTAAGGCGAAGTTGGCGGAGGGACCTACGACTGTGGAGGCTGCTGCTGGTCTTGGTGTTTCTGCCTAGTGATTTGCCTTATTGAGATGAGCTGATGTTGAGGCTCTCGACCAATGAAGTACATCTGGAGGTTATTCCTTCTACAAATGATGCTAGATTCATGGCCCGTATAGTAGGTCTTTCTCCAAAAGATCTGGCATATTGCCGGCTCTCCGCGCTCTCATCAACGCTAACCTAGAAGACTGAAGTCATCTAGGCGCAGCCTGAGATCTACTCCTCCCTTCCAGTGAATTTCAATATCGTAAAGGGATCTCATAGTCGCAGTAGTATGGTTGGCGCTTAGAATGAACCCCTAATCGTCAGATGAGTCTGAGTTGCGGTCGGCAGGAGCTGCTTTCTTCACTTACTCACCTTTACACGCCTAACACGGTTTTCCGACGGTTCCGCATGTGATATGCCAACCTATTCTAGTCTCCGAATTCCCAAATGCGTCGGCCTCCAGACGAATTGGGCGGGAGAGAGCCAAGTGCACACGAATCAAATCCGTAGAACGCTCAGCATGCTCCATGCTGCTGCATCAAGGCGCTTACGGCCACATCACACAACTAGAGCCCTATCTCACGCAGACAGGCAGCGAAAGGGTAGTCTAACCCAACGAAGTACTGGGTAATTTGTTCTTGCCATCGTTCTTCTCTTTATCGTCGCCTTGGTATTTCTTCTCGTTCATCGTTACCTCAGTATTCACCCAAGTATACGTGCTCATATATCACCCATACCCGATGGTTACGACTTTACCCATCCCGCCTGGAATACCAAACAAGGCTTGGCACTGTTGAGGATGATCACACAGCAGCAGAGGTAGCCACAGTTCCTGATGCTCACCGGGACCCCGGTCTCCAAGAGCCTCAAAGATCTTGATCTCGTCAGCGCCCCTCTCATCGGTACCCACACGAAAGAGAAGCTCATCAGTCTCGGCGTCGAGCTCAGTACGGCCGATACCGACCTAAAGAAGGCCAGCTTACAGACAACGGTAGAAAACACAGCCTCCGACCCGGGTTCGGCCGACGAGAAACCGAGGGTACCTAGCCCCCCATCGGCAGTGAAGACGCGGCTTGCCGGCTTCGTTCCCGGATACATCCACAGCGCAGACGACTTTATGTTTCTAGGTGTCAACATCATGCCGGAGCTGATTTTTTCTTTCTTAGAGAGGGCCATGAGGCATTTCCCATGTAATCATTGCTTTGTGGGTACGACTGCTTGTCATCGTAGGCCTGCTGGAAGATAGCCTCCAACGCCCGGAGGCGGGCGTTGTCCGACAAGACGTCCTGGATGACGGGCGCTATATAGCCGGGTAGGTATTCACGGAAGGCTCGTGGCTCTCCACCGTCCGCCTTAGCGATGGATGGGCCAGACATTTCTTGACGGGTCTCTATCGGTGTCTTTTTCATCGCCTCGAGGAAGCCGGGCATCTGGATGGCCAACGCAAGGTTCCTGATGCCGTCATTCTTAAACGCAAAAGATTCTCAGCTAGAATCCGTAAGACGTTTGGTGTCGTTTGACTTGCACTGCCGGAGAAGGCCCGCTGCCGCCGTTTTCGTGAAGGCCGTCATAGAGGCTGCAAAACGGTCGTCGATCGGGCACTCGACGGTTTCGGTACTCGACACTCGCACAAAAAGCCTCAGTGATGGTTGTCAATTAGGGCCTAGTACGTTCTGGCATATTGGGTCACCGTGGTCCAGCTGTTCTATTCCTGGCCATGCGCGTATTCGGAAGGACAATTCACCGTACAAGGGACTCCAGTACATATCAGTAAAGAAGGCTATGAAAAAACCCTCTCCGGTATTCTCAGTCAAAGCTACAGGTATTATAAATACTAGTGCCATTGGTTCTGGTGCCGTTGATACTAGTGTCGTTGATACTAATGTCGTTAGCACCGGTGTCGTTGTATTCGGAAGAATACATTACGAGAGAACGAAGTGGCTAGAGAAATTTCATTGGCCTTAGACCAGTTGAAAATCCATTCGGTCAAAAAAATCGTTCTTTCGGGCGTCATCTAGGTACAAGTAATGTTCCATGTTTTTTGTAGGACAAAAAGACTACACATCAGGCCTTGCGGATTGGCGAAAGTTTACATCTCAACACTGGCTCAAGACTTTGAAAAGGTTGCTACGACGTGCTTTGGCTTTGTCATAATTCTCTGTATGTAAATGGGCTCATCGTCTGACTATGACGAGGTACAGCCCATACCACTTTTGTGCCAGTTTTGTATTGCTCTTCACAAGCTGGGTGAGTAATTGCTGTGTCACAATCCTGCTCTTCTCTCCATTATTTTGTCTCCAGCTTGACTCCGTCTACAAGTCCCGAAAGGTATTTACTACAGCCGTCTTTCCAGCGACGAAATCGGCCCAGCACTAAGCAGAAGCTGCGGCCTCTTCCTTCTCGGGCTTACGGCCAACAACGGAGTAGCTAACACCAAGTCAATCAGCACAATTAGACTTCAATAGGCTCGTGTCAGAGCAAGAGTAGGACTCGGCACTAACATCGGAAAGTAAGCGTGGTAGCTCCTATTCTTCAAGTCCTTGCGGACATTGACGAGAAACACGTCGACTTCGTTGCGGGACCAGCCGTGGACGCGGGTGAGCAACGCCATGCACACGGCTTCGAGGGCGCTGGAGAAGTTCTCGTGGCACCAGAGGCCAAGTTTCTTGTACCTATCGTAAAGTAGTGCCATTATAAGTGAACTGCCCGCCTTGACTGTAGACGAAACACGTTGTCTCCCGATAGAATAGGGAAAGGGGGGGGGGCAGACGGGAGAAGGCATGGCATGACTTGGATGTACATACTTCTCATCCTTGGGCCAACCGTTCATGGGCCACTTGAAAATACGAAGCTCGACATCGACAAATCCAGCCTCGACAACGAGACCTTTGAGAGTAGACACGTCGACGAACACGCGGCCCATCTTCTCGGACCCAGACCGGATGAGGTTGACGTACTCGTGTATCGAAGAGTCCTCGGGAAGCGTACCGTCGTCGGATACGGGGTCAACTTGGTTTTCGAGAAGCTCGAGGTACCCGCCTGGCGCAATGTTGCTGAGGCCAATGTCAATAAGAATCAAATTTGGCCAGCTGATGATTATTATGCAAAAAGTACTGACTCGTAGCATTTCTCGAGGTATTTTTTCCAATTTGCGATGCTTGCGTTCATGAAGCGGCTGTGGATGTAGTTGAATGGCTCCGAGTACGTCCACTCTTCTTCGATGTCGTCTATCTCGAACCTCACGTTTGGAGGCACGCTACATGCATATATATCAGCTACGGTTGGACTGGATGAGTTCCTAACCTGATATGTAGGTCCGACTTACAATTCCTGTTGAGGAGCAGAGAGGTCGATGCCGAGAATCTGGAAACATGCGAGAAAAGTGTGTCAGATTCGATCGTCATCATGTCAAAGAAATCCCATCGAGTATCAACGGAAAATTGCCAAAGGCGTACCTCAGCTTCGGGGTGCAAGTCTCCGAAATCGACGGCCCAGACCCCGGTTCCGGTCCCGACGTCGAGAACGCGGCCGACTTTGGAGTCCGGTTTGCAGGGAGGGGCTAGGCCGAGTTTGCCATCGAGGGTATAGATGAAGATCTCATGTTGTTGATCTGATTCCCGAGAAAGAGGATGAATCTAGTCAGACTTTGTGCTTCTTTTGAGATGGGGTGAAAGAGTATTTCAGGATGAGAAACAAACACACCTAATCTGTCGCTCTCTCTTGCGTCGTTGGGGAAGATGTATTCTGCGCGGATATTAGCTTCTTAAAACGTCGACCATGGCATGAGCCTTCAAGTAGCGAAATATGTATCTTACTGCCGTCCTTGTATCGGTGATACGTTCTGCCATTCTCGACCCGATAGTCGAGGATCGACGCGGTGATGCTCGTGCTTGATGAAGCGATGCTCTGTTGGGGTTCTTAGACACTGTCTGACTTCATACCACCGCACATAGATGACGGTAGCCGTTCACAAGGTAGAAGTTGGCCTACCTCGAGATCCGACCCATCGTGTTCAGAAGCCTAGCACGAAGAGAGAAGGAGACAAGGGTTAGTTTCGAATTCGCAGGTTTTTGACAGCTATTGAACTTTTGTAACATATATACCTCATATCCTGGCACAATTACAACTCCATGGATGTGCTCAGCCATGTTTATAGCCTGCGATTGCTCGTTGACTTGTTTCCGTGGTTTGGGACTCGGTTGATGTCTGATAACTTCGACTATGCTGCTATGGAATCTTTATACCAGAATCGAGGGCTTATTCTACGAAAAGTAGAGGGATCGAAGAAATTGAACGATGAAACGAAGACAACTGTCCCTTTTGTCGCTGTATGTATCGGAAATGAACCCCTCTTTCAAGGCGGATGGTTGGAACCATGCGCTCGTGATATCAACCAACATGCATATGCGTGTCGACGGCTCGGTTGCCCCTTTCTGTCCACCTGCAAGGATTCACCTGTGGAGATATTCCCAGAATGGCTTTTGTTGCAGGAGACCCGCGATCAGGTCATTCTGTAGCAAAAACCCTCGATGATGTCGAGCTAATTGAGTTGGTTCTTCACATTGTCCTCCATTCAACCTACCACTCCGCCCAGGACACCGTGCAGTTGAAAGCAAAGAAGGCGATGAGGTTAATGCAAGCAAAATGGAACTCTGTCCAACCCAATCAAGCTCACAAATCAAGTGTCTTGGGAGCTCGCGTGTCTTCAGAGTTGCCGCTATTCTATCACGAGCATTGTCGAGGCAGTTACCGGTTCGAGGCCTTGGGCAATGATCTTAGTTTGCACCTTAACACTTGCTCATAGTTCAAAGTCTGCTATATCGTGCTTTGGCTTCATTATATTCCTCTGCAAGCAATCCCGCGGCTTGTCAAACGGAAGAGAACAAAAAGGACCAACGCCAAACTTTCCTTTCCTCACCGGGCCCAACGTATCAGAAGGCCACATTCCACATAATCTCATCTACAAGGACGTCACACCGTTTTCTATTCCCCCCAAGATTGCTCTCTTACACCATTGCAGTTACTCTTCTCACACTTCTCCTCGCGCCTTCACCGCTAACCATGATAAGTCCCTCCATCTCCAAGGTCCGCATCGTCTCGTTGAAGTCGCTCTGCTCGACAGGCATGCTAGCCGACTCGCTGAGCCTCCGTGCAACCTCGGCCCACTTGACGGTCTGTCCATTGCTGGTAAGCTCGTCGAGCAGGTGAAGCACGGCGTTCTTGATCTCCTCCTTCTTGCGGCGATCGGCGGCGCTCGTGCCCTCCGTCAGGAGACTCATGTCGATGCGGCCCTGGGAATCGGTGGCGGCAGTCTTCAAGGCAGAGCGGATGAGGCGGGCGGCTTCAATGACGTCTTCACGAACAACGGTTGTAGACAGACGCATCTTGGCGTGAGCTTCGGACAGACGGATCATGGACTCAAGTTGACGCGTAGTGGCAGTGATGCGCTTCTCCGCAGCGCGAACATCCTGGCCGAGTCTGCGCATCTCAAGGTACTGGTTGACCAGCTCCTGAGCAGCATCTTGGGCGATAGTAGGCTGTATTTGCGAGCGAGCGTAGGAGATGTAGGTGGTAAGGAACTCAACAGGCTGAAGTCGGTTAGCAATGGTGAAAATCGTGCTAGTCATCGGATACTTACGAGAATATCGTCCTTCTGCTGGGCAGACTCTGGGTTATCTTCCAAGTACAGGGAGAGAAGATGGCGAGCAAGACGAGCATCGCTCTTCTCATCCGCACGATCAAGAATAAGGTAGACCAAATCGAAACGAGACAGCAGCGTGGGGGGCAGGTCGATGTTCTGAGGTACGGGTAGGTCAGGGTTGTAACGACTGCCAACAGGGTTGGCAGAAGCCAAAATACTCGTCCGGGCGTTCAAGGTGGTAATGATACCGGCCTTGGCAACGGACACCGTCTGCTGTTCCATCACTTCGTGGAGAACGGAACGAGTTGAGTCTGACATCTTGTCGAACTCATCGATACAGCAGACACCGCCGTCTGACAAGACAAGGGCACCAGATTCAAGAACGAGCTGGCGCGTCTCGGGATCTCTTGTGACGTACGCGGTGAGACCAACAGCAGAGGAACCCTTGCCACTGGTGTATACACCACGGGGAGCAATCTTGTGCACGTAGGAAAGAATCTGTGACTTGGACGTCGAAGGGTCACCACAGAGCAAGACGTTGATATCGCCTCTGTATCTGGGGCTGCCACCCTTGGTGAAAGTCTTGTTTGTGCCACCAAAGAGTTGCAGCAAGATTCCCTTCTTCACATCGTCCATCTCGTAAATAGATGGAGCGAGTGAGCGGGAAAGAAGATCGTAAATGTCTGGTCTGGCAGCGGTCTCCTTGATCTTGTCTTCCTCCTCAGGGCTGATCTTCTTGGTTTCTTCGAGATTAGGGTCGTTGCCAGACTCTTCTTCTTCACCTTCGAGGCCGAGGGTAGAAGAATCGACGCCCATTCTCTTCTTGTCCACCTTTTGGACGTGCAACACATCGACATATGTCTTGTAGATGCTCTTGATGGTCCTTTGGCGTGGGTTCACACGCACAGGGTTGACGCGGAAAATTCCCGTAAGCTCAACACGGTCACCGGCTTTGCAGAAGTCCACCAATTCGTTGTACACGCAGACTGAAACCGAGTGGGGCGTTTGTCCGGCAGGAACCGCATCGGGGGTCTCCTGAAGCTTGATCACCTGCTTGTCATCGAAAACGCAGCGGTTGTGGATAATCTGCATGGAGTTCTTGGAGGCGCAGCGGGTACGCGGGCACTCAGTGGGCTCGCGGATTTTGCCTCTATCGAGACCAACGTTGACCGAGTGGTTGCAAACACTGCACCGGAAAAAGGCATCCTTCATGTCTGGGATCACTGGCGTGGTGCGGATGACAAGACCCTTGATGGTGATGAGTCTATCCATATCAGAGGGGTTCAGGTCTCGAAGGTTGGTTGTCTTGTCCAGTCCGAAAGGTCGGACCATGTACAGCAAGCCGGAAACCTCGTCTTCTTTGGAAGGGAGGTCCATAGTAGGTCGTGGTGTCGGGGCATCAGAGCCGGCATGGTCTGAGCTTGGGAAGGCAATCTCGGAGCTGGGTGCAGTGTTGCTTCGCCTAGCCGCATCGCCGGCACTGCTCTGAGACGCACGTTGTCTTTGGTCTTCGGCTCTTGCCAACTCAACCATCATGTCGCTCACAGACTGATCCATAATGGGGACGATTTCCTGCGGGTAAGCTTGGAGGTGATACCAGAGCTTGCGCGTCGGGGGGTAGGTGTTCAGATCGGCGACGTTGAGATGGAGCCTGGCGGTACCGAGAAGAAGCATGTTTTCCAGAGCCTCCCAGTATGGTTTGGACTCGGCGTCAGGGGCATTTTGAACTTCTACCTCAGACCAGCCCTCCCTGTACAGCTGGTATTTCCGTGTGAAGTGCCTGAGGAAATCCTTGAAGGCTGCGAAAGTGTCGTCGACGGAAACCGTGGTACCCCAAATAGCACTCTCTCCTTGCCCACCAAGACGATCTGCCTCTGACGTGTTGGGGTCTGGGTTGCTGAATGAGAGCGCATCGGAGCCCGGTGCATCTGTGGTCACTCTGCCTTGGGGATCCAAGACAATGCGGCGGCGGGGTGTTCTGATGCCTTCTGAGTTGATATCACCTCTGCGGGAACGAGAGGCTCTGTCAGAGACGAAGAGACCACTACTTTCACTGCGCAAGTCTGACTGAGGCGCCCGCATCGGTCCCGGGCTGGAGCTGGCTTCGTATCGGATTGGTGACGATTCTGGGGATACAGGTCAGTGATTTGCACGCATATACACTAAGAAGGCCCTCACCTCTCATCATGCCGCTTGCACGCGGTGTCCTATCTCCATCGCCAGTAGATTGAGTGTCAATGTCTTGACGCAGCGGTGAGCTGGGAGCAGGCCCATTGGCGGTGCTCTGGCTGTTGCTCATGTTCCGCAAGGGGGACGACACATCGCCATTGGCAGGTGTATTGCGACGACCATTGGCAGACTGCGCCGGGGAAGATTCGTAGAAGAGAGGGCTGGATGCAAGCTGGGACCGGCGGGTTGTGCGAGGGGTCTCTGCAGGGCGTTGTTGCGCCTCTTCATCTGCGGGCGCGGGGGTGCTGCGATCAGCGTCCGGGTTATTTCTCGTAGAACGGCGGGGAGTTCCACCAGCCGTCGAGCTTCTCGTCGACCTTTTCGAAGGGGAAGACATATTTGTTGTGCTTTGACGTTCGTAGTCTTCCTTGCGGTTGTTGATCGAACGGGGGGAAAGTGGGATGCGGGATGCGACTGAAAGAATATGTGCGTTGCTGGGGAGAGGGGAGGTGTGGAGAGGCGTCGTTCAGGAGCAACTAAAAGGTGGGCTGCATTGCAATCTTGAAAAAGCACTTTACGCGCTCACCCAGCCAGAACGCGTCCCAAAAAGGAGTTTCGCGTTTTCCACTTTACGCGCTGGGAAGCATTGGCCTGTGCGCTCCATCTACCGCCAATGTCACTGGGGCCACCTATCTGATGGGGCTCAAGGTCGGGTGGGTCCGCACAATCCCTGCTATCCGGCCGTCGGCGAAACCACCCACCGACTTGCACCGATTCTGGGATGCTGAGGTGGTCAATTGTATCCCGCCAGAGCTCCCTACCAGGCACCGTTGACTAAAGTGACATTACCCAGCAACCCACCAACAAGCGCAATCCGGCGCAACAAACCCCCCAAACGACCGTCAAGATGGCTCCCGGAATGTCCCTTTTCTCCATCAATGCGATCCTCATCCTCAGCATTGAGGACGGATCGCGGTTATTCTCCAAGTACTACAGCGCACCCCACCAAGGCACACAAAAGGACGGTATGCGCTGGCCTCCCCCCCTCCAAAGCGAGCTCTGGAGCTCCATGACTGACAGAAACGATCCACGATAGGCCAGACAAACCCTTACCCCGATGTCAAGTCGCAAAAGGCCTTTGAGAAGGGTCTCCTGGAGAAGACGGCCAAGCAGACTGGCGATATTATCCTCTACGACAACCGGATCGTTCTGTACAAGATGGAGTCGGACGTCATGATGTACGTTGTTGGAGGCGTCGACGAGAACGAGGTTCTCCTTTACAACGTCATTTTGGCCCTGAGAGATTCCCTGCACCTCCTCTTCAAGTAAGCTATACCCCTCCATGTCCCCTGGGAGCTACATGAAGCTGGTGATTCTAACAGCTCTGCTAGGCAATCTGTCGACAAGCGCACAATCGTCGAGAACTACGACCTCGTCTCCCTCGCTATCGACGAGATTGTTGACGACGGCATCATCCTCGAGACCGACCCTACCATTATCGTCCAAAGAGTCAGCAAGGCGCCGGCGCAAGACGTCGACCTCCGCCGCATCGACCTCAGTGAACAAGGTGTCAACAACCTGGCCCAGCTGGGTAAGTCGAAATTGGCGGACTGGCTGCGGCAAGGCTTGTAAGGGGCTTGTGGTGTAAGGGGCTTGTGGTGTAAGGGGGAGAGAGAGAGGATGGAGATATAAACCAGGGATGGTTGTGCAAATGGGAGTTTTATGGTGGCTTTCTAAAGGGAACGCATCATTAAAAGTATAGTCCTCTGAAAGGGGGGCGTCATGACGAATGCCTCGAATTTATGCTTGATTCTATTTTTTTGGCCCAAAGACCCTGTCTATGCTCGAATCTCAGAGGCCGCCTTGCGGAGCCTGTTCATTACCGCCTCTGCAATGTCATTCCTGTCGTCGATGCCGTCCACGAAGATGACGCTGGCACCTCTTCTATCCAGATCTCTCAGGGCTGAGAAAAGCCCCTGAGCGATCCCCTTGATGTCGTCGCCTAGGTCTATGTCGAGGATCTTCGCCATGGGCCTATCCTCTGCATCCTGAAGCTCGCCCTCTTGAACTTCGTACGCCGCTTCGTCCCTCGCATTCGCCGCCACAGCCCCGTCAACGTGAACCTTGGAGACCTGCAACGCGCCGTGATGCAGACCACCCGCAATCTTCCACCGTCTCGTGCGAATGATGCCAATCTTGAGCGACGTCGGCCCCGCGCCATTCGTCGCAGTCACATCGCCGTTCTGCTGAATCAGCGCTTTTTGCAGGTCCTCGGCAATGATACCCTCAGCACCCGCCTCGCAAGCCCACTCATACAACACAACCTTGGCTTTGGGGCTATAGTGCTTATACTTCATCCCCGGCGCCCGCGGCGTCGCCTTGCCCATCTCGCTCTCATCCTTGTACGCCTTAACGACGCCCTCCCAGCCGGGGCATCTCCGCAGCTCCTCCATACCCACGCCGCCCGGTCTCAGGACGACGGGCGGATCGCACAGGCCGTCGACGACGGTGCTCTCCACGCCGACCTGGCACGCCCCGCCGTCCAAGATGAGCTCGATGCGCCCTTCCAGATCGTGGAAGACGTGCTGCGCCGTCGTGGGAGACGGTTTCGTGGACGCGTTGGCCGAGGGTGCGGCCAGGGGCACGCCGGCGAGCTTGATGAGCGTCAGCGCCAGCGGCGAGGACGGCATCCGGACGCCGAAGCTCGGTAATCCCGCCGTGACTTCGGGCGCGAGCTTGCTCGGCTCTGGATTCCTCAGCAGGATCGTCAGGGGTCCGGGCCAGAACTTTTCAATGAGCGGCTTATAGATTTCCGGGATCGGGTCCTTTGCTGCGTCGCCGTTGGTCTGCTTCTCTGACCGCAGTAGGCCTCTCAACATGTCTAGATCACAGACGTGCGATATCAGAGGGTTGTCTGATGGCCGGCCCTTGGCTGAGTAGATGCCCTTGACGGCGCCGCTTCTCGTTGCGTCGGCTCCGAGGCCGTAGACGGTCTCGGTCGGGAATGCCACGGGCGTGTCCTTGCTGCGCAGGTATTCCGCGGCATCTCGTAGGGCGGATATTGATGCGCCACAGGCCTCATTGGCGATTTCCCAGTTGCTTAACCTCTCAGGTCCCTCTGCATCTCTGAAATTCCCCAGCCCTTGGGCCTCGACTTTCACTACTCGGGTCTCCATTGTGACTCTGTTGCTGTGTTGTGATGAAACTAGTCGCTGATAATTGTGGCTTGAAGTTGCAATTTGGCGACTTATACGACGTATGAGAGGTAGTGCAAAAACATACGAGGGTTGAAATTGCATAAAATTCAAGGGTGGGAGGAAAATAGAGTTGACAGAAGAGGGTCTATCTAGATGGCTTTCTCCGATGTCAAACGAAGAATCTAGACCGTCGTCATAAGAGATTAATTGGGTATCAACAAAAGGTCTTCATGCAGATCAAGTGGATGAGAGGGATGGTCAAACGAAGTTGAGTCATATGCGGAAAAAATTCTCTGGATGAGTGAGTGAGGTGAGTGGCCGTTGTTGGTGCGCTTTAGCGGCGATATTTCCGAGTTTAGGGAACCGGCGGTCGGGTCTTGCCCGTCAGCAGCAGGGCAGTGACATCTGCCGCTAAGGTCACTCCGCCGATCGGTTTTCAGTGGGGCCTGTGATGTGATTGTAGTGGGGGTTGAGTTTGCTCTACCTTAGGTACTCGCCACGCGCTGACTCCCGTGTATGAAGTTTGACATAAGGTAGATAGATGCTCATTAAAAGCTTCGGTTTTGAAGTTGCGATCTTGGCCTCTTCCATTCTGCCGTTGAGCGGCATTTTCAGGCTGCATGGGGCCAGACAGTGATCAGTAGATTAGGTATCCTCCACTTCGCAGTTATATTCTCAAGGTACTGTTTGTGTAACATGGTATAGTTGTAGCTGCACAAGTTGCAGGTTAATCTTGTGACAATTGCCTAGCCACGAGATTGTCTTCGAGAGATCTTTGAGGTCTTCCAAGCAACCTGGTCTTTGTGTCCAGAAAACACCCTCGACTTTCCCATTCTCTGTCCCTAGGAGGTGGCCGCATCAATGTAGGACCATGCCTACCACGGAATGAAACCTCCCGTCTCAGGCCTGGCTGATCGGAGCAAGTCTCGCCATGGATTTCACAGACTCAACGCAAGCATTCGAGTAGTCATGCGGCCCTGTATCTCCTACACGGCTTTTTGAACAGTCAAAAAGATCGAACCTGCGTTCTCCTGCATCAGCCCCGGCCCGAGTCCGAACTGGACGAGTAAATCGCGTAGCCGTCGCGGTAAGATAGGCGTATGCCGTGGGATGTGGCGTGATGTCTGGATCTGTCCTCGATCAGCGAGGCTTTTTTTCGCCAGCACCAGAGCCAGTTTGGAGTGTGCTTAATCGTAGGCAGGTTGGCCTCATATCAGCGCCTCGCTGTCTTCTGTCCGTAGGATTCAAGCCACTGACCAGTGCCGAGGCTGTCCATTTCTTTCTGCAACTGATAGGGGGCATCAGACAAGCTCAGCGTTCCCGTCGTCAACAATTGGCTTTGCGCTGGACCATCTCAAAACCAAAATGTCTCCCGTCATCGCCAGCACTGAGTCGTCCGCGTCCGTTCCCTTTCCTTCCACTTCTGTATCCCGCAGCATACGGATAAATACTGCGGTATCGAGGTCCGGCCCGTCGATCATGCTAATGTTGCCAGCGGTATCGTTGAGGTTCTGTAGGTTTGGCGGGAAGGAGGAGAGGAAGGAGGAAAGATAGTGATTATGCAGTAGCGCCTGATGGCGAGTTGCGTATGCGAGTTCTGTTTCGGAAAGACGCGCACGAAGAGACGGAGACGAGAGGTAGTGGAGAGCATGTTTATCGATCTGCAGTAGCAGAGTAGACGGTTAGCCACGCTAGATGCCAATGGAAATGCGCCGGGTTCGGTTGAAGAGCAGAGGAAACTGGGTACCTTTGCAATACGAGCGCGAAGAAAGCTCCTGACGAGGAACTTAAAGCGCTCAAGCTCGGTCTGAATGACGATGAGGGCGAAGTTGGTCTTGGGGTCCATGTCACCAGTCATGTCCTCGACCTTTTCGATCTGGCGCTTGATGCGGTCGTTGACGCGCTCAAAGAGACCACCGGTAGGCCATCTGACGCATCTCATGTCAGCATGACGTGAAGTATACTTTCGTATTTTGGGAAAATGCCGAGCAACAGGAGGTAGGCACGCACTCTAGAAGTTCTGGGGCGGACCGCTCTGCCATCCAAGCACGCGTCAGGGCCTGTAAGTCGCGTGTCTCAGAGGGAATTGAGTACGAGACCGGGTCGACCTCGCGTAGAATATCGTCAATGTCCATCGTTGCTGGCTTCTATAAGTGCATGAGCTGTAGCGGGTGCTATAACATGGCGGCACTACGTTCAGCTGCGCGGTGTTGGTGACGCGAGTTCGAACTTCGAGGTCGATTTTGGATCGCGGGATGCTTGGGGGAGGGAGAATCGCGGGGTGCTAATTGACTTCAATGGTGGGATCCTGCTGGATGTGGAGCCACGGAGCTACCTTGGGCACGGGCAGTGTGCTAGGATAAGAGGGTACGCGCAGATGCAATGACAAGAAGCCAGGGTCGAGGTATCTTTCTATCTACTTGATCCTGTCGTTTTCATCATCTTCTGTACAGAGCTTCCTTGTGACCAACATGGCTGTATTCTGGGTTCCTAGAGGTCAAAAACACTGACATACTGTTTTTTTTCTTCTCTTTTCTTTATACCTTGCTTGCAAATATTCTGCCTTGGGATCCTCGAAGACAGTCTGTTTGGCGGTCGATTCGCAGCTGCCGCGTTGCAGATTACATGAACGCCCCGACGGACAAAGCTTATTTGCTGATGTTACTATGGAGCTTGCGGATCTGACACTTTTCGGAGTATCTCAAGACGCCAATGCCACCCCCGCAATCCTTGGATCTTTCCAAGTTCATTTCTAGACTCGTTGAGATAACACAGCACACGAATGTCCGTAAGAAAACAACTTGCTGCGAAGGACGCTATTTGCAGTAACTAAACAGAGCGAATACCCTTGATCTCCAAATCTCTACGAGCTCTACACTCTTCACAATGGCAGACTCTGGCGATGGCGATGAACGGACCCCTTACTCGGCCTACGCCGTCAGCATCTATCAAAACGGCATTATGGCAGGTCAATTGCCCATCGTAACGACTGATCCCAACGGCTTGCAGGCCCAGGCCCAAAAGGCCATGGGCCCCGAGTCCTTCAACTACGTCTTCGGAGGCGCCGGCGAGCTGTCCACCATGGACGCGAACCGTCTGGCCTTTCGCCAGTGGAAGATCGTGCCTCGCTTCTTGAGACCCAGCAATCCTCGGGATTTGACAACTGAGTTGTTTGGCGTGACTTATGGTACGTTGCGGATGCCAACCTTATCTTAAATGAGACATTGCTCTAAGACAACAGCTCAGAGTCTCCCCTTTTGATGGCCCCCATCGGGGTCCAGAGTATCTTCCATGAGGACAAGGAGACAGGTCTGGCAGCCGCTTGCGCTGAGCTGCAAGTGCCGTACACGTTGAGCACGGCGGCGACCTCGACCATTGAAGAGGTCGCCAAAGTATGTGGCGACCAGCACCGCTGGTTCCAGTTGTACTGGCCCATGGACGATGACATTACGGGTTCGATCCTCAGACGTGCCAGGGCCAACGGGTACAAGGTTCTCGTCGTGACTCTCGACACCGTGACATTGGCTTGGCGGCCGGCAGATCTCGACCAGGCATATCTCCCCTTCATCACGGGCACAGGGAACTCGGTCGGCTTCAGCGATCCCGTCTTCCGCAAGAAGTTTTCCGAGCAGAACGACGGCGACCAGGTAGAGGACAACATCATTAGCGCCTCCCGGTACTGGATCAGCCAGGCCTTCCCCGGCGATCACCATTCGTGGAAGGATCTGGCGCTGCTGAAGAAGAACTGGGACGGGCCCATCGTTCTCAAGGGCGTGCTGAGCGTCGAGGACGCCAAGCTCGCCGTCGAGCATGGCATGTCGGGCATCATCGTCAGCAACCACGGCGGCCGACAGCTCGACGGCGGGGTCGCCTCGCTGGAGATGCTTCCGGAGATTGTGGAAGCCGTGGGCGACAAGCTCACGGTTATGTTCGATTCCGGGATCCGAACTGGGGCGGACATTGTCAAGGCCATCGCGCTGGGGGCTAAGGCTGTCTTCGTTGGCAGACCCGCCATCTACGGCCTGGGCATTGCGGGTAAAGAGGGCGCAAAGGCTGTCATTGCTGGACTGCTTGCTGATCTGGACTTGACAATGGGACTCTCCGGCTTCAAGAGTCTCTCCGAGCTCAAGCCTTCCATCCTTCGGCAGGTTCGGTACGGTGGGGACATGAAAGCTAACTTGTAGTTATCAGATCGTTCGCTTTCGAAATGAGGGTTTAGCAGGACGGCAAGCCGTTGTGCCGGGAAATCCTGTGCTGTCAGCGGTCGCTTTCGCAATTACGCTGGAAGAATACAAGCTTATTTTCAGAAATAGTGTCGATCGTAGCCCCATTCCTTTGGTCTCATCACACCTTCTCCACGACTTTATTGAGATTTGATCAGCGTGGGAGCCGTGGACTAACATAAAAAAAAAACACCCATATTGCGGTCCAACCTGTTCCCCGCACCCTACCAGCGCCGGAATGCTCGCCATCCGGCGTGCTTGAAGCCCGGGAACGAGGAAAGCCACCGAGCTAACGATCGGCTCCTGTCGACTGTCTTGGGCCCAGACAAGCCAAGACTATCAGATCACAAGTGCCAAACTTCCAAATGTTCTTCGCGTCAAAACATGCCATTGGGTTCTTTGCTATTCATTCCTCACGTGGTTTGGAATCCGTCCAGGTGCAATTCGACCAGCCCAGGCTTTCTCTACCTAGCGAGAGCCTCTCTCTCAGCACGCTAACATCAATGCAGTTGGACTAGGACAAACACTGAGTTCTTCTTCGCAGTCAATTACAGTCAATTATTGGGCCTTCCGGGTGTCCCACCGCATAGCCACAGCGCGGCTGGTACTCCCGCCTGCAAGAGTTCACAGGCCTTGCCACTGTTCATCTCTTTCCATGACGAGATCATCATCTCTTTCTGGAGAATGTTCGTGATCTTCCGATGTGCTACCACGGGCTAGCGTGCATTCGTTCCAGTTTATCCTTTCCAATAGCTCCATGGGAAAGGGTCCATCCGAAGGAGCGGGATTTAGAGTGCAGTAAGCATATTCCTGCGGAAAGCGGGCTTGTCTCTGAGTAATCTCGTTGCGAAAGAGTCTCGTCACAAGGCGTCATGTTAGGCTGTTGACAAAATGGAGTGCTCACTTAGAGTTATCTGATATATAAGACAGCAGCTGGGCTGGTGATATGAGAGAAGAGAAGAGAAGGAAGAAGCCTCAGTAGATACAGCCACCTCGCCAACAGTCCTTCCTTACCAAACCATCAATCAACTCTTCTCGTGAATCTATTACACATAAGCACATAGTCGCTTCATATCTTACAACTCCACCTAATACAGCCCCATCAAAATGCGTACCTCATCCATCATCCTCGCGGCTGCGTCCGCCGCCTCCGTCCTGGGCGCCCCTCTCGAGAAGAAGGCCAACTACGACCCCCTTCCCGGTGGTGATATCACCATCTTGAAGTAAGCCTCACTAAGCAGCAAGTTGTTTCAATTCTAACAAGTGTCCAACAGCTATGCTCTTACCCTCGAGTACCTCGAGCGCAAGTTCTACGAGGAGGGCTTGGCGAACTACACCGAGGCCGACTTCTGCAAGTACGCCGGTGAGGTCGGCGAGAAGTTCTACAAGAACCTCAAGACCATCTACGAGGATGAGAAGGTACAGTTCCTACCCCCCCTCCCTCCCCTCCCAGCATACCAATCTCTAGACAACATGGCCTCTGAGCCACCATCACAACATACACTACCCTAGAATACTGGCAACCCATAAACTAACATCCCTCACCAAACACCCAGACCCACGTCGACTTCCTCAAGGGCGCCCTCGGCGCCTCCGCCATCCCCGAGCCGACCTTCGACTTCCCCGTCTCCGACGCAGACTCCTTCCTCGCCCTCGCCTCCGTCCTCGAGGGCGTCGGTGTGTCCGCCTACCTCGGCGCCGCCGCCGTCATCGCAGACAAGACCTATGTCCCCGTCGCCGGCTCCATCCTGACCGTCGAGGCCCGCCACTCCTCCTACATCCGCGCCGCCCTCCGCCAGAAGCCTTTCCCCACCCCCTTTGACACCCCTCTCGACTTCAACCAGGTCCACTCCCTCGCCTCCCAGTTCGTCGTCGCCTTCGCGCCGGGTACCCCGGCCTTGCCCTTCAAGGCCTTCCCCAAGTTGACCGTCTCGCCTACGCCCAGCTCCCACGGCGCGCTGTTCGAGGGTGCTTACAAGGCTGCCGTTGATGCGCAGACCGTTCCTGCCGGCGCTACCGTCTACGCTGTCTTCTTCTCTGGTCTTGATACCTACTACACCGAGGTTGCCATCAGCGGTAACGACGTAAGTGACATCCACCTGAAACCGCCTCTAGGTCCCAAGTGCTATGCTTACCATGTTTCCCGCAGTACATCGTCGAGCAGTTGCCCGAGGGTCCCGAGGGCCAGGTATACTGCGTCCTCAGCACCGCCAACGGCAACAGCACCAAGGTCTCTGACGAGAACACCGTTGCCGGTGTCGCCATCCTCGAGATCGAGGAGGCTGACTGGTAAACAAATCATGACAAAAGGTGTTTGGTGATAAATTGGTTGCATGAAGCAGTCTAGGGCACTCGTGATGAATATCTGTTATGGCTTTTTATTATCATCTTAAAATATTCTTTGTAATTATTGGAATCTTAGCTCGAACTGCGAAAAACCCACTTGATAATCAATGCAATATTGTAACACAGTTTGTATGTTATGTGGCATGGATTTATAAGATTACATCCCAGGCATAACATGGCACCTGAAGTAGAATTTTTTCATCCATCCATGCAATCGAGGTCGTAGGTCACCTCTATAATGATAAGTGATAGTGAGATAACCTAAAAAGGTGAAGGGGAGAGGTGTTAATCTAGCCAAGTCCTTTCCCCTTTGATCAAAGATGGAATATCCATCTATAGGTAAGGTAGTAGGTACACAGCTGTAAGTATGAAAGAAGAAGGCACCTCCTCACACGTCCCTTCCTTCCTCCAAAGAGATAAACCCAAGTCACCTAACCCCTCCACCTGTCCTCCCCCCCTTAGGGTATATATCCCACCCCAACCTCACTTTCCGTCACCAGCACAGCAGCGCCCGTCTAGGTCGGCGAGGTCAGGTCAAGCTGTGTGCGAGGTGGTCGAGTGGTTAAAATAAACAAATACTCCCATGAAGTCAGAGTCCGGGTTGACCGAGGGGCGCTGTTCGAATCCGGGCAGGGGCGTGAATTATAAGGTCAGTTATCACCCTCCCTCTCCTCCCTTTTCTTTTTGTTACTTCTATAAATTCTTTGATCTTCATTCTTTTCTTTTCATCCTTCCGTTTCTTTCCCTCTGTCGCTGGAAATGTTGATAGAGGCATTCAGAATAACTTGTAGTTAGCGGCGTGATTTAAGCCTCGCGATAGCTCGTCAGTCATGGACAGATTTTATGGTGTTCGCCGTCCGCTCTAGGGAGGCTTTCACTTCACCAAGCTACAAGTACCTGTGCCGTTTTATCAACAGCCAATTCCACATGCGAGGCCAATCATCAACTTGCACGTACACGGCCAACCATCTGACGAATCCTGCTCGGTAAACCCGGCTTTTGCTTATACGTTGGGATTCGCTTATACACAACTCTATTTGACTCACCAAACATCACCCCATCTACCAGACATCTTACCACCGCACAGTCAGACCATAATAGCCGTCCCTAATTCATCCCGGAAACCCCATCCTTGAACTTCTTAAACAGCGACAGATCGATCCCAGCAGCCATGGCCTCATACCCAGCCGGATTCAAGTGCAGATGATCCCCCGTATCATACTCAGCCCTCAACTTCTCCGGCGCCGCAGGGTCCCTTACAATCGCATCAAAGTCAATCACGGCATCGTACCGCACGCTGCTCCGAATCCACTCATTCACCCTCTGCCGCGCCACCTCCCTCGTCGGGTCAGAGTACGGCTGCCCGTCGCCCGTAAGCGGCGTGATCGTCGCCCCGAACACCGCGATGCCGAACCGGTGAAGACGCGTGATCATCTGGTCGTACGCCGCCACGAGCCGGTCGCCCACGGCCTCCTGCGCGGCGGTGGTGTTGGTCGCGGTGCCAATGTCGTTGACGCCGATGAAGACGATGGCGTATTTAATGCCGGACTGCGCGATGACGTCCCTGTCGATGCGGCCTAGACCGTTGGGACCCAGGCCGTCGGCCAGGACGCGGTTGCCGCCCGCGGCCTCGTTGACGATGGCGATGGCGTTGGTGGAGGATTCGTTTTGCATGCGCGCGAGGAGGCGGTCGGGCCAGCGGTTGTTTGCGTTCGTCGTGGAGCCCCGCCCGTCACTGATGGAGTCGCCCACGATGGCGACGGCCGAGGCGCCCTTGGGAACCCAGCCCTCGAGGGCGCTAATGAGGTACCAGTGATCCGTCGTCGTCGCGGTCGCATTGGTCCCGTTGCCGGCGGTGGCAGCGAGGTCCTGGTCCGCGACGTGGTTCCCGCTCTTGAGGAAGGACGTGGTGCGGCTGCCCGGGTGGCCGGTGATGCTGTTCGTCGTCTGCCCGTCGGCGAGATAAATCGTGATGGAGACGATGGACTGCGCCTCGACGGGGAGGTCGATCGGGTCCGAGAAGACGATGGCGCCGTTGGGCACGACGAAGCCGCCGCTGCCCGAGAAGGTGACGACTTGCAGGGAGTCGGCGTCGACGCCGCTGGTGCCGGCCGTGTTGGTCGCCGTCCGGGCAATGGTTACGGCTGTGATGGGGAGGTCTGAGCCGCCAAAGGCGTTGCTGATTTGCAGGCGGAGGGTCGAGGTTGCGAGGGAGACTTTGACGGTCTGGCGGAGGGTTGCGTCGTGGAAGACTCGGCCTGTCTCGTTCTGGGTGGGAAGTTAGGGGACATTGCTTCTGATAAAAGCCATTGAGACTTTGGGAAGGGAGAAGAAGACTCACAAATGGCGCTGGGGGTAAGTTGGCCGGCTCGACCAGCTGAGGCATTGTTCCCCAGACGGTGACCCATTCGCTCTCATCCCGTGTAGGATGTTGAGGGCGTGCTTCTGCCAGAGGCGAGAGGAAGAGCAAGGCCGTGAAGGCCGTCTTGAGGGAGGCGATCATCATCGCGGCGAGCTACAGAGAAACGAGAGCTGGCTGCAGGTCCGCCGCTCTTGGGCCCGAATCAAAAGGGGGCCATCGTGAGCCTTATAAAGGCACCCAGAAACGGAATTCGGTGCTTTCATTGCGTCGTTTGCCCCTCAATACAACATGGTTCTCCAATTGGAGATTTCATTGCAACGCTCGCTATGTGGGTAGCCGGTGGGCAAGGGCGAGAGGGCATCCGGCAACGCGGAACCTGATGGATCGCTGGATAATGGCATGAAATGGATTCAACCCGGTTGAAGTTCAGGCTAAATTCAAAGTTGTCATGGGGAAATTTGGAGATCAGAGTTGAAGTGGGTGCTGCGGGAGATGAGATTGAGCAGTTCGTCCCGTGCGATGCGACGCCGTCCTCTCCAAGTCCCGCACTGGGGGACCGGGGCCGCTGTCTTTCCCCGCATGGGTACACTCCATTGGTGCCGCCATGGCCTGGGGAAGATCTTGGGGTCGGCGACGAACGGGGGGAGGGGCCCGGAAGGGTAAATTAGGTGGGTTAGGTGGGCTAGGTTTATGAGACTTGGTCACGGGAGATAATGCAACGATGACGAGGATGGGAGCGTAGATCAATGATTGGCATTCCAAGTGTACACCCAATGTGCACCTGTGTACAAGAAGAGGGGCGAGCGGCTCAAGTCCTCCAAGAAACGATCGTGGTTCATCCAAACAATTCCAACGTCAAATCAACCAAACGAACAAGTAGCGAGCGACATGGAACGACATCCATCGACCCAAGTTTTAAACAGAAAGAAATGCCGAGCTATATGGATGGCGAACGAAAGAGGGAATCGAAGTGTGGCCATGATCAACCTTTTGCGATCTCTAGCTTCCTCAAAAACCTCGGCATGTTATGAGGAAAGGGAACGAAGGGAGGGGGAGATTGAGATGCAAGGTAGTCGGCAAGCCGTAACGGACAAGAAGAAAAGCTAACAAGACCATCGCACTAGATATCCAAGTGGAGTGCCGCGGGGGCGGAACCGGCAGCAACGTCGGCCCAGTCACCGGCGCAAGTGATGAAAGCTTCGGAAGGATGGTTGGCCATGCCATACTCGTTCTCAAGGGTGTCTGTAGCTCTGCTAACACGCGAGTGCGAGATGTGGACCTTCATGCTGTCCTTGGACGAGTTGTCCTTGATGTCGAAGCCACCAGGGCAAGCCTGGCCCCAAATCCACCGATAGGTGCTCATGGTACCAAGGGGCAACTGTGTATCGAGGAGGTTCATATTGTCCATGGTCAAAGCAGATCCGGTGACAACTGGATCTGTAGCCATGGCTATAGTAGCGAGTGAATTGATGACAGTGTCGTCGGATCCCGCTGTCTCCGAGGTAGTCCTGGAGGCAGCGACCTCACCGTGAGAGATCATGTCGAAGTCGCCATCATCGTCAAGGTCCGAGGTATATGTTGGCTCGAAGTATGGCATATTGGGGGCGACCCGGCGGTCAGCGATGGAGGAGGAGGGCTCGTTTGAGACCTTGTACTGCGGACTACGATGTTCCGAGTAGTTGTCCACGGAGGGATATTCCAGCGCGGCGCTACGGAACTTAGGATGTGAGTGCTTGTCGTCTTCTTGTTGTGCCATCATGGTAATCTTGGGGAAGACGAAGAGGGGGGAGTGTATCGAGTGTATATGAGCTCGGCGATTCAGCGACGCAAGCTGGTGGTAGATGGGCAGAACGACGCTATTGCAGAGACAATGTCAGACTGTGTCAAGCGGCCAAGGGGCAGGATATGAGGAGGAATTACTCACCACAAGTCCGGCAGGACTAGAAAAGGCCTTAGCAAGGCATAGCGGAGAAGAGTCGAAGAGAAGTGATGGTATGAAGCTGGTCAGCGTTCAGCTATGAGAAAGGCCTCTCGATGCTTTCGTCTCAGAGAAGCAGTGTTGCCGTCCGTTCCAGGATAGCAACGGTCAAGAAGTCTGATACCTGAACTGAAAGAACAGGATAGAATGGTAAGGTAGGTTATAAAGTTGTTGTACACAATAATATGTTTATTATACTGGGAGTAAATGGGAGAGGGCGAGGAAAGATGGAGGGTGGATGTTGAGTGCTTTATACAGAGTACGGGCGTCTGACTAGGTAGGTAGGTAGGTAGGTAGGTAGGTAGGTAGGTTGTGACAAGTAGTGGCAGGTTGGGGTGTGTGTCGACCGATGCCCGGAGTGAAAGGGTCGGGTCAGCCAGACTTTTTTCCCTCCTGAATTCCCCCCTTCCCTTTTTTTTTCTTGCTTCCCCCTCGGACCCTTCAGTCCCTCATCTCAGGTACATCGATCCCAGCGCCACTTGGCTGCACCGACGGGAGATGCAGCTCGCTGCATAATGGTGCTGCAGCGGGCATGTAGGCGTGCAAGCCGGTTAGGGTGATGAAGCAACGTGAGTGGGAACGGGGACGAGGAAAGTGCCCGGAGGAGGAAACGTAAGGAATTTGGGGGGGGGGGGGGGGGGGGGGCGGCTGGAGTTCCAAGTAGCCAGGAAGACATGGGCAAGGAGATGTGGAAGGAAGGACGAGGACGGGGGAGGAGGAGGAGGATTGGAGTTGGACTGCTGGAGAGTCGGATGCGGGGCACTAATGTGAGGTACTTTCCCAAACGGTAAACTTGGGATTCTAACGCAGGAGCGTACGGTTACAGTGAGAACCTCGGACTTTCGCTTTTCGACTTTTTTCTTCTTCTTTTTTCTTCAGTTACTCCCCGCCCGCTCCAGACTTTTTCAATTTGCGTCCACGGGTGAACTGTCACTTCCGGTGTAAGGTACCTAGGGGATTGCGTATCTATGCGCCTATTCTCCTCACCGGAGGTGGAAAGAACGTACCTTCTTCTGTTTCTCAACTGGCAGGAGGTTGAATTTGGCCTCAGCGTTGGGCTTGGGTTGGCGCTGGCGCCATGGCGTTATTGCCGCGCATGCCATTGCCATGCCATGCCAGGCCCATGACACACTCCCGATCTCATACACATTGAACTTGTCTCCTCTATCCACCTTACCCTCCTCGAGAGTTCTTTGCTGCTCGCCTCGTTTTTCCAATTTGGCTAGCAGCCCGAGTGCAGTACCTCAACACTTCTACCAGTCCTTGTTTTCGTGTTTTCGGAGCAGATGTTTATGTTTGTCGTCGTCGCTCTAGCTTCTTTTGAGACCGACCAATAATTACCCCGCGTAGCTACTGGGACTTGTTCGTCGTGAGACATGACAGATGACAACCAAGACCGCCGCCAACATCAAACCTCGACAAAGTTCTGGTCTTCGCGGTCCAAAATCAGAAATCAGAATGGACCACCTGAGCGATGCAAAACGGGAAACCCAACGAACCGTTGCCAACCCGTCCGCCCCGTTCTCAAACCGAACCTAGACGCAAGCCACACGATGTGCAAATACACCTACGGAGTACAGACACGGATACTCTCTTAAAAGTCTGCGAAGTCTCGATATTCTTTCATGGCAGTGCCAAGCCACGCTGGCTCGCTGCTGGTGACTTACCCCGGGGCGATGTCGCAAGCAACCTGGAAACAAGCATAACGTGCTTCTCCACCATCGGCCAATGTCTTGCAGAGCACTGCCCACGCTGGGTCTGCTAGCAGTGGTCAATTGGCTTGCATCATGTTACCGCAGTGCCCATGTGCCCCAAGAGATCGTCAAAATGACGCTCATCTACACAAGCTTTCTCACCGAAGAGGTGAGCTTTACCTCCCGTACGGAAGCAAATCGGACATCATCAAGAACAACCCGTCGATTACCCCCGCACAAATCAATACCGGGCAGTACACCATCAACGTTTCTCGGTTCAAGGGGCTCGCGCGAATAGGCACCTTCGCTTTTGATTATCTCCCGCCGCTGTGTGACACAGCCCGCCGGCCACCCACCTGCAACACGATTGCACACGACATTGCCCTATAGCCCGTCATTTGGGCCATTATCAAATTCAATCTTCAAATCACGTTCGCACACCTTGGCCTTTCACCGATTGCAAGGCCGGATAGGCGTCCCCCGGCCCAATCACCCATTCTCGACGAGTACAAGATTACCGAGCAAGATTTACCTGAGCTCGTTAGGTTGGGCGGTTACTTTCGGCCTGGGATTCCCCAGATTAGTACCATATGCCCCTACTCGGCGCCATCATTGGTTCGATACCGAAACTTTATTAGCGAAACAATGACATCTTTTGTTCCGCGCGGAACCCGCTCCTAAGGTTGTGTGCCGGCGGCCAGCCAGCCGGCTCAGGACCTTTCACGTCTCGCAGCAACTTATCAGGCCATCCAAGTATCTTCGTCGGATCTTGGGCTGTGACTCAACTTCGCACTACTATGTATCCGTAGGCTCAGACGTCTTGGCGCTCTGCCATCTGATGTCTCGCATGTCTGTCAGTCACCGCACAGGGCCCGACGTCGGGGATGGACTCCGATCAGCAACCTGCCATCATACTGGTCCTGCATTGCATCAGCACCGCAGCAGCAATGCCAGCACATGCACCAGCAACTTTTCAGCTGTCTTTGATGGTTGGGCCAGTAAAGAGACAGGGCCCAGCGACGTCACTACACTAAGCCCGAGTGCTAGACGTTACCCCCGGCCTGTGTCATTTGTCCCCGGGCAGCCAACCATTCTGCCGGTTGTTTCCCCGTCTTTAATGCGTTCAAGCTCCCCGCAGTCGGTGTTGCCGGCAGCATGCCTAGGGGGAACAGTACCGGTGCAGGAAGAGCATGCAAGCTTACACACCACGAACCACCCTGAGAGCCAGGCTATATCAGTCTGCTATAGGTACGATAGCATCCAAGGCCCGAGGGGGCATTATTGAGTAAATAGGAGCCTTGGAGAGCACCATGGGGCCCAACGCCGACTGCTACGGGAAAGATCTTCGATGCTGTCCTTCTCACATGACGGCACAGAGCCCGGACAGCACCGAACGGCAACTTCTAGCCCCGGAACCACAATTATCGGGCGCGAGTCCTGGACTCTGTCCCATTTTGCGATATGGGACCCAAGACACATGCAGGACTCCCCACTAAGTCCTACACGTTGCAACGCTGTATTTGGCATTACACCGACCACCTTGTTGGATTGTCCAGCTGCTCCCAAACCGACGCTCCAAGAGAATGAACGACGTGTCTGACCCGGCCCCTTGAGATCGATGTGCTTTTGGGCAGCCCGGAATACTTCCCCGAACCCCTTGGCATGCAACGATAAACACGGCATGAGGATCGAGGACCGTCAATCGCCAACCAGTACCCTGCGAACAGCCAACGCCCTGCTTGAGAAGGAGGAGGTCCACGCACTATCCGCGTCCCTGTGACCTCTGCGCGAGATATTTACCTACCCTGCCTCGAAAGCCGTTGTGCCGGTTCATCCAGGGAAAAGGGCCGCCAAGACCTCAAGGATCCCCGATTATGTTTGACCAGCCCATCGCCGCCAGCCCTGCCCACCAATCCTAGCGTCGGTCTTCATGGGCCCCATATCGAACTTCGAGAAGGCTTCTAGCGTGCTGGTCTCTCCTGCGCCGGGCCCCTGCCGGCCGCGGCACCGCCCAAGACATGCAGGCCGTCACTTCCTCCTTCACTGGCCATTCCGCCAGCTCGCCAGCCCCCTTTCCCAATCGCTCACGCTCTCGTACCTTGATCTGCTTGCTGGCCAGGTAGGATGTGGCCGTTCCATGCATGACGACTTGCACGGGGAACCTCCGCCTGGCCATCCGGACCATTGGCAAGGCTCACAAGCGTCGAGGGGGACAACTGTAACTCTGATGAGGGATAAATGAGCATGCAAGCACCTGCACGACGAGGGCGCGCGGCAAGGCGTTCACGGTTCCGCCCTTGCTCATGCTTCACACTCTTGGTATGGATACAGCAAAAAAAGGCTCTCGTGAATTTGGGTCATCAGACTCGTCACTGGACGCGTCTCTTCGTCATACAAGCTATTGACACCCATCGCACCTCCCCTCATCCCGGCCGAGCTGAACCTCCTGCATCTCCTACACCTCGCGGAGCCCACCTCCAGCGTCTGACCGACAACCCAAACAGGCAAGCTTCGAGAACATTTTCTCCTCGATCGTTACCGATGCGAGGCGTAATCCCCGTGTTTGCACAACCCTGCGCAGTACACGCATAGCCTCGAGAACACCGTGTCGTTTGTTGAAGCTTGCATGCCCGCCCCGCCTCGGCCAACCAGAACCTGCTTGTATCTGTACATAAGCCGCCCCCAGTTGCGATGTCGCCTTGCGGAGAGGGCAAGCCTGCGTGCATTTGGTCTCAACGTGGGCGTTGCATGCTCCAGGATCATATCGGATTACTCAATTCGTAGCTCCTCTGTCGTCTCCTGTGACGAGCTGCGATTCACAGCCTGCTTGCGGTCGACGCTATCAATATGCGGCCCCAAGACTACTAGCCCTCCGTTCCTTGTTGTTGATGTCCATCGATGCCGCTGCCGCCGTTGAACCCTTCCTCCTGAGCCCGCCCGCCTTCAACCTCCGGACAGTTTGATAGGATCTGTCCAGCTCGTTCTCAACCGCGCAACGAATACGAAGCGCAGCGACGGCGGGCCATACGCTCCGCTCCCCCCTCGAGATCCAGTAGTCTAGTGTTTCCCTAGTAGGCGTCTCGAGTAGGCGCACAAAGTCGCCAGCAGTCACTTCTGGGACCAATGTCATGGACGCGCCTGGTACTTGTTCGTCGACGAGGAAGCGCCGGATACCTGCCGGAAGGAGGCGTAATGTATCGAGCTGGCGCAGCCGGTGTCTGAGCTCCAGCCCGACCATACGAGCTAGGAATGCTGTAATTGACGTCGTGCTGTTACGCGTCTCCATGAGTGATGGGCCATGCATGTCGCTCTGAAGGAACGGAATAAGGTAAGGTCGAGCCTGGCTGACGATGAAGTGGTTGACGTTGAACAGCTCGGCAATTCTCAAAAGGGGTGACTCGCGGTCCGAATAAGATACGTGAGTCCAGTGATGGAAGTCGATTGTGTTTGCGGGCGCCCATGGGACGATGTTGCCATGGGCATCTTTGCAGAGAACTGTGGTTTCCCGGTGACCGTAAAGTGTTGCAGTGGAAGCATTCGAAGCTACTGCGGCAGTCCAGATAAGCTTGTAGGTGTTAGTATGCTGCCGCTTCCTTTGAAGAACAAGAATAGTACTCACCACGTTCGGTGCCGTCAAGTAGTTAAGCAGCGTTGGAACGCCGCCTTGATCGGCGGTTGCAACAGTGATATTCAACACCCTTTTGCTTCGATTGTACGCTTCCTCAAAGGTCAGGTCACCCACATTGGCTCGCACGCAGTCCTCTAACACTTTTACGTCGAGGAAATAGCCTTCACGAGTGAATCGCTTCAGCCTCCGCAGAAGCGTATTCCATCTCGTTGCGTAGGACTGCTCCTTTTGCGGGCCCTTTTCAGACTTGGATTTCCCAGAAAAGGCAGACAGGTTGATGCCCTCTCCCTTGAGAACGTAAGGAAGCTCCTCTTCAGTGTGGATGGCCACCAATGCGGCAATGAGAGCCCCCGTTGCGGTTCCAGTGATGATCCGCGGCAGAAGACCTCGAAGAAACAGTGCTTTCACAACACCAAGATGGCACACTCCGAAAATGGCACCGCCCTGCAAGACGAGCGTGCTCCTACCGAAAGCCTGCCTGGTATCGTGGATAAAATCCAGCTTCATCTGGTTTGTTAGTCCGACAGGCGCTCCATGAGGGTCGGACCCAGGCGTCGTTGGCAGATGGGTGATGTCCTCGACCGCTTCAGCAATCTGCGTAATGTATTCCTCTATAAGATATTTGGTGCCGGCGAAGGATCGGTTGTAGAGCGTCGGGGCAGTGATGTTACCCAAGTTGCGGATCAGGCCGGAACGAAGGAGGTTGACCAGCTGGTTCAGGTTCCCATCTTCTCTTGCAGTGATGAGGGAGTTGAGGCGCTCGTTGATCAGACGGTAATCGTAGTACTTGGACGTTGGGTTATTCCTCCTGTTGCAGCATGAATGCCTTTTAGCATGTGCTTGTGAGACACTAACACGAGGTTGACGGGTTTTCCTCACCACAGGTCCAGTCCAAGCAGGTTATCTAGATGCAGGGCCGCCTCTTCCCAGTCTTCGAAGGCTTCGGCATGGCGGAGAAGTTCGAGCCATAGTTCGATGGGGGTCTTGCGTGTATACCAATCGCGGAATTTCTGTAGATGTGCGCATTCAAGGTTAGCCGCAGCACTTGGTAATCAAGCCAAGGGTACTTTTTGGTTGCGAACAAGTCCGAGTCCAAACGCCCCCGGGGAATTTGCAAGAAAAAGCACCATACGTACCCGTTGCCAGAATTGCGTCACATCTACGGCCACTTGCCAGAGCGCAACGACTACTCCCATGGTTGCGCGACGGCGACTGTGGTGGTGAAGACCATGGAGGATCCCAAGCTGGCGGGGGATATTGATGCTGATGAGGATAATGACGGGTAATATTGGGCGTTCATGGCAATTATGGCATTATGAGCGGGTGGAGTGAGGCGAGCGTCGTGTCTCTGATTAGGATGTTGCTTGCATTCCAGTTCCTAGGGAGAGGGCTGGACGGGCAAGACAGGTTTGGAAGATGCGTAGTAGATCAAGTAGAAGGATAGATATACAGAGATAACGATAGAGAAGGACGGTGGGTTTGCGATGTCAAACTAGGGTTTTGGGGTGAACTTTCGCTGATTCTGACGAGATCGATCGGGATCCAAGGAGAGAAGAGGGAGAAGAAGAGGCGCGCGTGCGGTCGAACGAACGAGCGGGCGAGCGGATGGTGGACGCTAAGATGGAGAGAGGGAGAGAGATGCGAGAGTAAGGTAGAAATCGTATCTTCGAACGGTCCTGCGGCTGCGGAAGAGGAGGGACGATGAGTTGACTCGAAGGCCGTGTGTTCTTTCTACGCCGGATTGGAGAAGGAAAGGTACTTGTTGACTCGACTCGAACCACCGTGCCGACGATGGGACAGACAGACAGCTGTGAGGTTTCCGTACGGATACGTAGGTAGGTCCCAGGTCCACGGGTGTCTGTGGTTTGGCTCGGCCCACGGCAATAAAAGGGCTACGGATATTAATATTACCTTTATGTCTGCGGCCTGCTGCACAGAGGAAGGACAAGGTAGCAGCGTCCGGATCTGCCGCCGATTTCCCACAGCAGCTTCCATTTGCAATGTTTCCCATGGATGCTGCCGGACGATCTGGGGCAGGCTGCAGCAGCTTTCTTCCCCTCCCTCCCCAGGATTACCCCCCTCCGCAGTGAGTGGTGTTGCTGCATTTGTCCAGTGTAACTGTAATGCCATGGTTCATGTTGACCACGAGACCCCAAGGGGCACCCCATACACCTGCGCTGCCGCTGCTTCCCGAGCTGCTGTAAAGTTGGGGGTGGGCGGGCAAGCTCCGTCAGCTCCTTGGCTGTGCCGCCCCAATGCCGCCCCATCCCTGGCGGAAAGCTTCGACATGTGACAATGGATAGCAATTTGGCAGTGCAAGGTAAGGTAATTAGCTCTGCTGTATCCAGGCTCCACGGCCCTTCACGTCATCTGTCATATTCGCATTTGTGGTGAGCTCCAAGAATTGTCTTCACGTCCGAGCAATGTTCTCATATCAGAGCAGGCTGCAGGCTGTAGAGTCCGCTACATCATTGCCACAATAAGTGATGTGCCACTTGCTCAGTTCCCAACAAAGTCAAATTACCTTAGCTACCAACGGTCCGGTCTGAGAGCCATGACAAAGAATTGGGTTAAACACTGCACGTGTCGTGCCGCTTATTCGCGCCAGTCTCAGTACGGCCAAGACTCGGAGGGCAATTGTCATGAAGCAACCCTCGTGGAGGCTTCAGGTTTATTCGAGATACCGAAACGCATTGAAAAAGGCTCATCTTCCGCATGCCAAGTCTTGATTAGCATGTAATAGTAATTGTCGCCGCCCTCGGCGCGCAGCTTGCACAGGTGAGAATGTCGTGCTATAGTACAAGTCCTGATCATCCCTGACCACTCTAAAGCTGCAATCAAGCACCTTTTGTCGTTGTCGATAACCTCACTCCGAATCGTCGTCGTCGACAACGTGACGACGTCTTCCTCTGCCACTTGTCCCCATGTTGTCATCATCATCTCCATCAGCATCCTCATCGTCCGAAACCCGTCGCTTTTTGGATCGTGGCGCCTCGTCGAGGAGCTCCTCGTCGTCATCGTCATGGTCGACCTCGCTCACTTCGTCGTCACTGGCCACAATGAAGTCATCTTCCATGTCGTACTCGTCTCCTCTGCGTGCGCCACTAGGCAGATCATCGTCAGAGTCATACTCGGGACGTCTTCTCTTTTGCTTCGGTGCGCCAGGCATGCCTCTCTTTCGCGAACCACCACCTCGTCGTCCACCCTCGAGGTCGCCAATCGAGAGGCCTCCACTGCGGCCGAACCCGCGGGTAGCATCCATGCGTGCAGTCTGCGTCTCCCGACGTCTTTGCATTTTCATGCGCTCTTTCTCCGCCTGCTCCGCTTGTCTCTTGCGCAGCTCGGGGTCTTGGATGGTGTTGATGATCATGTCCTTCTCCTGAGGCTTTTGCGATATCGATGCCATGCGCTCAGCAAGTGCAGCGAGCGCATCATCCGCCACTTCCTTTCCGGGCCGGACGATGAACTGATCAGTGACATGTCCAACGAACATGAGGAAGTTGCTGGTCAGCTCCGCCGCAGCGGCATAGTAGTGTCCATCCTGAAGCTCAGAGTATGGCTGGTCAGGTCCAGGAGCCAATGCCTTGGTAGAGACTTCAAAGTGCTCGTCTCCGACTGTCATAGTCACAGAGCCGTCGCTCCATCTGTGAATCATGGTGTTGCTCTGCAGCTTATTTCCCTGTCTTCGGACGCGGATGTCGGCCTTGGGTACGTCGGCCCTGGCATTCTCAATATCGTGTTCAGTAGGCTCGAAAGTCTCGGGATCGTAAATCGTTGGAATGATCTTCATGAACTTGGGAACGCGCAGAGATCGTAACTGGTCATTGTCAGCGCACGTTGGATGTATCAAACTTTCCATCGACTTACTCTCTGGTCTTTCGACTTGGGAATGCGATGACGTTGCATCTCAACGGCCTCGATGACCTTCGTCTCATAATCGGTCGGCAACGGGGCCTCGTCATCTCTACCGTAGCCATCACCTCCATCACGGTTCGATGCGTCGTCGCGTTCGCTGCCAGCGCGACTTCGGTCCTCCTGAAGATCGTCTGCTGGCGCGTCGCCGAAGAGGTCCTCCTCCTCATCCTCGGGAAGCTCGTTCAATTCTTCTTCGGAATCTGACATGTTGACGATTATTCGTGTTGCAGGCGATGCAAGGTATTTGATATTCAAAGGTTGGCGGCCAATTGAGCATGCGTGGTTGGCAGGTAGGTCGCCTAGCTTCTTTCCTCTTGCGCGGAAGAAGATGCAGAGTGAGGCTTGAAAGACCCCTGTCCAAATTCTGACCCACCTAGAGGGAGGCTGATGCACCGCCACATATGCTCGAAGCCACTTCGGACGTGTAAAACTGCCGAGCGGGGATTTCGGCACATGTCCCAGGTGTAGTGGATCTTGTTCAGGGGACTCGGTGGAGGAAGTTGGTAATATCTCCAAATCGTCTTGTTTCTCCTTATTATTGAGGAAATTACTTCGTACAGAGCACAAGTTGTGCAACTGCATCGTCACATCACCCCCCAACCTCTTGAGCGCCACACGAGGCTGAGAAACGTCGCCCTTCCTATGCCTCTAGCGTGAGCCCAATGGCGATGGAGCGAGACCATTCGGACCAAAATGCTGTGGGGATCAGGCCCGTGCACTCGCTTAATGTGACACTTCAAGTCTAGCGCTTCTTATGCCGCTACTCCTCGTGGATGCAGGAGCGAACGTAGTCTGAAGAAGCTCACCTTCAATCGCCCCTTTTCAGCTTAACCCTCTCTCCTTGCTCGATATCCGATCATTTTCGATTATCAAACGGACTGAACTCGAATCAGCAGAGCTGAAACTCGATAGTCCCAGCCTCTTAAGTCTTCCCAGGAGGTGCGCCGGTCGACCCAACTTTATAACCCCCTCCGATTCCCCCTCACCGCGGTACCTCCTCCTACCATGTCGAACCTCTTTTCAGGAATGTGAGTTTGCCTTTTATTGTCTGTTCTGTTGCTTTTCCATTTTGCGAATTGCTTCTTCTTCTTATTCCTTACCCCCACTGTTCACTGCATGATGGAAAGACCGAGAACCTAGCGGGCGATCTACGGTGGCTGCACAGCAGACAGCTGTGAAGTTTGGTTCCTCGGCTAGTGCCGCGGCAGCCCGTACTTTGGTACATGCAACACGGGCCGGCCACCACCCGCCGAGACATGGGGTGCATTATCACACATGAAGGCATTTCCAAAACATCCGATATGAAGAGGCGAACCAGTCCTGGGGATTCGAGCAGCATGGTTGGGCAACTTATGAGGGCTACTTGTCCTTTTGATGATGAGGGGCTGTCGGATTACCTACCTCGGTTGTGTTTGACGTCGCTGCCATGGCCAAATGTCAGGCTTGGAATCATCCTTCTCGGAAACATGTGAGGCATCAGCGGGGACTGGATGATAAGGTGGCCTTTGGCTACAGCATCACCCTTTGCCAGATTTTCAGCTCAGCTGCAAAATGCATCTTCAACTTCGAAAGGAAAAGAGAGACAGGTGGCAACAAGAACCCAGCAACATTCGAAATCGTCGACATTAGGACAGTCAACACAGCACGCATGCAATGGGCAACAACGAGTTCAAAGCCATAAAACCACGCCAAAGACTGGACGACCATGATTTGCCGACTTTGATGCTGTGCTGAAGCCATCAGCACGACAGCCAAGTGAGCTGAGCTGGAAGCTTATCGCCATCCCCATGTTTTGTTCAAGGGAGTCCTGAAAGGATCTCAATAAGGAAGAGAATCGATTACTATCGGGAGCAGGACGGAAGTCTTGCGCTTCTTCATCGCCTCTACGACAAAGAAATCACCGCAAGATACATCATGATCCTTCACTACTCCACAGCCCCGGACCATCGTCTTTCTTGGACCGTGTCTCACACACATGTCCAGCCTGATGCCTACCTTATATGATCATCTCCATCGACAACAGGCCCTCGAGCAGGATATGATTATTGCCATCCAAGCGGGGCAATATGAGCCTACTTCCTAGGAGCCACGACACTTCCAAGCCAAAAAAAAAAAAAAAAACTGGATTCTTTTCCTTCCAAACAAGCTCATCAAACACGAACTCTCGCCAAACAAAACACCCCCGAAACATACTCTCAGAACCCCAGTTGTGCCTTGTGGCCTAGTCGACACAGGTCTCAGACAGACATCCCTTCCATTACCAGAAGAAGCCCTTGGAAGTCCCAGATGCTGTGTCTCACTCAGCTCGAAACAACATGGCTGGTGCAAACCCTTATGGCCTGGTTCCCTCGGGTACCTGGTCTAGTGGTTGGCTTCATCATGATGTTGGACCTTGTTATGTTCTTTATGGTGCTCATCGCGGTCGTGAGATACCATCGGCTAATCAGACTACGATAAATAGCAACGCCCGCTTCCGGGGCCAAGCCGCCAAACCGCCAGGCTCGAACAAATCTCCTACGTCCTCAACCGCCGGTCAGCCTACGTCACCGACCGTTTCTCAGGGAAGCCAGTCATCTACCAACTTGGCTCCTAAAGTTCCGCCTCTGCCCAACTCGCCTTCTCTCGCCCACTCTATTGGCATGGACGATCAGGGTGGCTTGTCCGACGGCGACGGCCTTCTCGGCTCCTACCATCTGCCACGCCCTATGCCCATCTGGCTGAACTCCAACTATGGCAAGCACATTGTCAAGGGCAACTTCATGACTCTGAGCGCGAGACCCAAGACGGTCGAACAGGGCGAGTGGATCGCGCATCAAGGTACGTAGTAACTCTTACTCCTGAATCTCTGGTTGCTAACTCTTCGCAGTGGTCGAGCACTACCGTAACCTCTGGAACTTCGTGCGTGTTCTCCACGAGAAGGAGGAAGATGGCTCGACGATCTGCAACGGCACTACATGCCCCAGAATGTCCGCCGGAGCGTAAGTTTTGCTGGCCTTTTCATCCTTCACGATCTGACATCCTCGCAGGAACCACTCATTCACTTGGCTTAACAACCGCCGGGAGCCTGTCGAGCTTCCTGCCGCCGAATACATGACTCTTATGCAGAGATGGATCTCAGGCAAGATTGACGACACCAACATCTTCCCGACCGACCCCTCAGGCGTCTCGTATGCGCACAACGCAAACATTACCACCACGCCCCTCTCACAGCTCACAAACCCTGGTGAGCCCGACTGGATCGGCAAGCGATCAGGTTTCCCGCAGAACTTTATCGACGTCTGCCAAACCATCTTCCGACAGATGTTCCGCGTCTACTCCCACCTCTACTGGGCTCACTTCACCGAGCCCTTCTACCACCTCAACCTCGAGAAGTCCCTCAACAGTTGCTTCAGCCACTTCATCCTGACCGCCACGGCTCTCGACATGCTCAAGCCTCATGAGCTCGAGCCCATGCAGCCGCTGATCGACCTTTGGGCCGCCAACGGCACCTTCCCACCCGAGTCCAAGGCTTACGAGTATGCCAACCTCCGCGCTGGCGAGCGCCTGATGCAACTCGCCGGCGTTTGATTAGACTTCTTATGCAGACGAGTCGGGCACGGCAGTCAGGGGCATCGAACCTGAACAGATGATGGCCGCTCTTGTGCCTTTCAGCCCTTCCGAGTTCTGGAAAGCCTGAGTTTCCTGAAACTTTTTGGACTCATCTGATAGGGAAATATCTGACACTCTTGCCATCGGAACCTTGGCTCGTCAGACTGGAAAAAAGAAGCAAATGGGGCCCCAGAGCCAAACACAACAACAAGAGGGAAACGCTTTTTTTTCACACACGCACGCACGCATTGCATTTGCAGCAGTCCCGGGAGAAAAGAGAAAGAAACGGGCTGTATGTTGGAGTTTTCGGATTTGCTATGAAGGCCAGGCAAGGTCTTGAGACACACCCGTAAGAGAGACGACCAAATCGTCTCGCATGGGAACGGCCATGGGGAGGGAAGAGGAATTATTGGTAGACGACGATTCCATAAACAAATCACAGTTGACTTGACAGAACGATGATTTCCTGCTTGATTCATTGAGTGTGACTGACCGAGTGATGCTCGGATGGCCACCTCTCTGATCATCGATTCGACCTCTCGCGAAACACCTAGACGTCCCGGAGAGTCCTGGAATGAGACGGTGGGCTGATAGTAGCTTTGTTTAGCTGTGATGAAGACTTGCCTACAGATCGCTTATTCATATCACAACGTTTGACTCCTCGAGCCTACGTGTAATGACAAATCTGTCTTCAACTCTCTGGAACTCTCACGTTCGAAAGAAAACACATAAAAAATGCTACAGACCACTTCAAAGTCTCTATCAATATCGTCTCATGCATCATTGAGATCTATTTTACGCCAGACGAAGAGGCTCCAAGCTCGTCTATCAGACCTTGACATAGATACAACGGATTGTATGTGAGAATTTCGCAACTAGAGTTTACCTGCTCGCCCTGGACGCCTACTCCCCGAACCCAAATAGCAGGACGGTTTATTCGAGCTTTCATCCAGAGACCGCCGGGATGTCGGTAGATCTAGATCACCTGAAGTTCCCCAATTCTGGAAATCATCGAGGCGGCTTATGTTGGGGTTGCCCGCAGGATCCTAACGGACTGGTTTCTCTTTCATCTCTAGGATATCCTCATCTAAAGGGCCGAGGGCTGAAACTGCTGATATCCTTGATTCCAATTGAATGCTAGACTGCTAATTGGAGACACGGCGGCAAGGTTGGTCTGTTCAGTCCGGTCTTCCAGAAGGCTGAACAATCCATCTCCGAATACTCAATGGCTCATAGTTAGAGGCTTCCCGAAAAATAAGAGCAGAAAAGACTCAATGGCAATGTCGAAGAAGCGTAGAGAGTCAGAGCTGTGAACTCTCTGGCTTACGGGTCCTGCTGCAACCCGAAATATCTCAACCTTACTGAAACTTACATAGAATCCTGCTTTTTCCCTATCAGTCAAGTCCTTCATGGCGCTCGTCCCGTGAGACGGTCAGACATTGTCAACTGCAAAATGGACCATGCGAAAGTACCGGACATGACGGGAACCTAGAATTCAACATCAGACGACGAAAACGTTTTCACGACGGTGATCCGGGTTTCCTCATATTTACCCATATGGAGGCTTGGCTACTCATGACTGAGAAGCGTTCGGTGGAGTTTATCTCTTCCCTCACTGTATTAACGCCCTGCAAAGGACGTGTTGAAACCTATCCAGATGCCAAAGCTGTCATCAAATTCAAAATGATCGTCAGATCTAAGACGGGTCTGGGCCGAACCTCTCACCAAGACTGCCACCCGTATACCTAGCTTGAAGACTTTGTGTGTTTCATGTAATATTCTGTCCTAGACTTCCGAACGGCAGGCCTTGCTCTTGAAGGTATGAATGTCCGGGGCTCGCTCGACTTGAAGTTTGCATCATCACATGGGAGATTCCAGGAGATAATTCACCCGTTAGAAAATGCCATCCACCTTTGGACATGGGCTGAGTAAAGACAAGAGGCGATCCTGGCGTCTACTTCCCCAAGTTAATCCTGCCACATCTACGGAGAGTCGACCACGAATAGCCCAACTTGCACAAACTTCCGCTTACTGAGAGCATACCCAAAGGCTAAACCACACCCTCATCTCGGTTCCGGATCCCGCCAGATCGACGTCTTCGTCAAAACCTTGTCCCATGGTCACTTCATAGACTTCGAGTGATGGATGAAGTCTGAAGTTCGGACGACATATATATAGAGCTCCGGGACGTCTGATGTCCCCCGCACACAGACGACACGCTTACACTGACAGAGTTCCGTCAGACCCAGACATCCGAGGACACAAAACTCACGAGAACGAATAAGCTAAACCCGGGTTTGGTTTTAGGATGGCTTTGACATTGTCTGTTCATTCATCGGCAGAGGGGGTGTTTTGAATATTGGGAGCAGAGGAATACCGCAACAACACCCATTTGAAGCGATGACTCATTTCCAGATTCCTTATATTCTATGAGCAACCATGCCTTTCTATAGCTGAGGGAAACATATATTATTCTTCACAGTCAAATTTACCATCAATCTCACTGTCTCTATCTTGGAGAGACCAACAACGTAGTCCTCCCGTATCTACGGAATCAAGAAGTTGTTATACACACTCGAGTGATTCCTCAACAAGCTCCCCCATGATATAACCTGACACAATAATACTAAACCTCGCCATGTGCCTAAACCCCTTCCTTCCCCCAGAAACTCCAAGCAGAAAGCCTAGACTTCCGATTTAAAAATAAGTACACGGCACCTCACTCATCACGAAACAGCCGGGAAAGCAGCCAAACCTGAACGCACAGAGCTTCCGGCGCGCCGACCCGATGCTGGCACTTGCCCCTGTGCTTCGAACCTTCTCCCGCTTCTTCTAGTTCACGTCAGGAAAGCGTGTTCCATGAACTGACGCGATTTCGTCATTTGTTTAGGTCAGTCCGGGTACTAGCTTCCTCTGTGATATTATTACACACCCATCATCAGTGGCCGCCATTTGGAATCATTGCAATTTTTTGTTATTCACATCCTGCGGCACTGATACCGCAAGTGCCAATGCTAGTCTAGATGTGAGAGTAAACAACGATACATTCTCAAAACTGCTCGACTGCCTTCTCATAAGTTCGAAAGAGTCATCGTAGACAGCTCAGCGATAGTATCCGCATCCACGTAGCCACGGCCTGTCACCGCCGCCGCCAAGCACCGAACACTTCCGTTATCCCTTTAATTTTAGCAAATCCCCATCGAGCGCCTCACCCGGGAACCCGAGAGAGGGTAGAGAGGCAGGAGGGAGAAAGGTACAAATCGTAGCCCGTGACGTCCCAAGAGTCTCAGTCGTATGACTGAACTAGTGGAGAACTTATCCCGTGTCTCTGCAGCTTGCGTACTTTGTATAGTTATTAACAGTGAATCCAATGGGAACAACAGTCCGGAAACCTTGTTACCCGCGGCGTGCGGCGGCGCAAGCTTGCGTGTATGCAACAGGCATCCCATAGCTCCGTTTCAGAATATCCGTCAAACGTACAGATGAGTGGCTACCCCCCTCCCCCCCAAAGAGCCAGCGAAACTCCTCCTCCAAGTAATTACAACAAATTCTGTTTTTAAACCTGAACGTCCAAAACCCCCCGGGGGCGGTACAAGCAAGAGGTCCGAATCCGGATATGCAGGAAGCGCAGAGGAGCGTGAAAGGGGAACGCTTCACCGCCAACCTGGGATGGAGGCGTCTGCCAGGCACGACTGGACGAAAAGAAAAGTGGGACGAAAGAAGCAACCATGCCCAACCTTTCGGGCAGGGAGCGATGAGTCAACATCTCGAACATCTCGCAGAACCAACAGCCAGCTTTCGGGGCTGGGGAGAGGAGGAAGGCGATGGAAGTGGCTGGGTTAAGTCAACCGAGTCGAGAGTTTGTTCCAACTCTACGACAGTCTACCGGGTTGGCTCTTTGTCGCTCATCCGGACACGAACCCTAAGACCAGATCCCAGTTCCCTGTATCGCACATAAACAAGTAGACCAGTACGCAAGGTTGGGGGAGCCTTGGGTTTTGCTTAGTGATGACAATAGGCACAAAAGTCTTGGACGGCGTTCTTGCGACCGACTCTGCAACGGACATACGGAGAGTCCTGACGATCGTATAACTGAAGGAGGGTCCGAGGTGTCAAGTGAACGGTTCAGCCTGTCGCAGCACAGGATCTTGATCGCTTGGATCCGTTTGGGGGCCACTTCGATAACGCATGCGCTGCGGGTTTCTGCGATGCGCCATAAACTTTCCGCTTGCGTGTGGAGGTTTAGTTGAGAAGTGACAAAGTGAGGTGGTTGAAAGGAGTGCGATAGGCATTCCTACTGCGGGACCCTTTCTTCAGGAACATCGCGACAACTGATAGGATGACCTTTCCGACTGCGTTTGACGCCCAGAGCGCAGAGTTTTCATTTCCAAAGAGTCATTGCTCTGGAGACGAAGTTTTTTGCTTCTGAAGATTTCCATATACAAAGCGGGATGATAGCCGTACGTGGGATGGTGGCCTGCACGGCCTCTGTTCACCGCCATGGAGGCGTCCCGAATTTGTGGACGGGGAGAGATTCCGGCAGCTCATTCGAATCCACCAGTCTCAGTCACTTGTTTGCAACACGGCGGGAACCCTGGGCGTGTGCATGAATGGGAATCTGGAACCGAATGATCCAAGCTCCGGAGGTTGGAAAGCCAGGATACAGCTCTATTGAAGCTTCTGGTATAGGGCGGTACCGTGCGCATCGACTCTGGTGATTCTTTTTTTTCTTCTGGTGCAGGACAAAAGGAGCAACGAGGATGAAAGACAGTCGACGGCCCAGGACTCTGGAATGACGTCGGAAGAGTGAAACGGAAGCTGTGGATCGCGGCATCGCTTCATGGCACGCGACGGGGGTCGGATCCATCGCTTAATACTCATCTCCGACTTTGAAGCTGGAAGGGCAAGGGAGAAACTCTGACGGTAGCTCCGGAGTGGATCCCGGGTATGAGAAGCTTAAGCTGCCGGTTGGAGCTCACCGACAAAAAATAAAGCTGGTGGCAGAGACCGTGAGACGGGATTGTCTATGACTCAAATTGAAGAAATTTCACGAGAAGGGCAGCCAGTCGTTCCATACTCTTCGATCATCGAAGGGGACGCGTATGTTTTTGGTCACTGATTTGCTAGTCCGCGACACTGGCCGCTATGTTGAACTGGGAACCCTTTGCTCTCAATGCGAAGTGAGACCGGGGATCCTCACCGGGATGCTAATTCGGAGAGAGGCAGTCTTGGATCTAAGCCAGAAATTCAGGGAACAGGGGTGCTCTGAAGGGTAGATGCCCCGCTGGGGTCAGCCCTGTCAGGAAACCGTCCCAAGAGTGGCTGTATGAGATATTGCTTTTCGTCAGCAGCCATAGACCTGGTACAAAATTGAATCAAGTTTCTCGGTAAAAAGTTCCTAGTATCAGTGAACATTGGCTGCGGTCGAACTTTGCGGGATGTTTGCTGAAAAGCTTCACTTGTAAGCCACAATCGCAAGACGAAGCCTCGCCCAGTTGCTTGGGTAAAGGGCAGAAGGGCATGGAAATGACCGCGCTTGCCGATATACGACTCCCTTGCCTGCCGAAGCATCCTTTTGGGATCCCAAACAAAGGGATACGATGGAAGAGGCTCTTCTGAGTTCCAGGGTAATAGAGGAGCAAGTGATCTCGATCCGATAGGCTGGGTCGGGCAACAACATATGTTTGGGTACGATTCCGATGTCAGCCGCGCCGGGTTCCAAGAATAAGAACTTGGCAGGAGAGAAGGGCGAGGCGGTGGGCATTCTGGGAAATGAAGGGCCGTGGTCGTGGCCGGGGAACAACACGACGAAGTGTGTCTCTTGTTCATGCAAGGCGCATGAGAAGTACGATGAGGCAACGCGATCATTGTTGAAGAGACAGGGGAGCTTTCCGTGTGGACAATCCGAGTCGAAAGTGACAGGCGCGATGCGGGCGTTGGGCGTATTGGGATGAGATGCCGTCGAAGAGAGGTGCGTCGCACACCGTACGCAGCGTATCCAATGGCGGTTTTGGCGGTCTGAAAGCTGTAAGTCGTATACATGGAGTCGTTCAGACGATGAAGGGGTCATCGGCCAAAGTTGGCCAGGTCTAGGCCATAGGTTGGGCTCCGTCGTCAGGAACGCGTGAGAGGCAACGAGGGGAGACGGCGTATGAGAAGTCGACGCTCGGCTCCAGCTCCCATGGCCGCTGACCTCGGCGTGGGCTTGGGTTGACTAGAGTCGAGGTACCTCAGGCACAGGCGGAGGTATGGTCAGGTATCCGCGGCTGTGTGTGGGTGATGTTCTCATCGAGTGGTTTCTCTCCAAGTGGGAGAGCCGAGCTGACCTGACAATACTGCATAGGGGACCGATTTGGTCAAGGGCTGTTCGACAGTCAACCTTTTGGTTGGTGAGGTGTATCCGTACTCCGTACTAGACTTGGGATTCACAGCAATCGAGACTGGTCACTGAACAGTAAGGTGGATGTCGCAAGTTTCGTTCGCGTCTTGGTAGCAGAATTCGTTCGCCTCACTTGGACGATTGGTTCATGACGGGGACGGCGTCGGTCCATTAACGGGTCATCTAAGTATCATCTCCACTTTTCAAACGGCGCCATCGCGTTTCCCATTGTCGCCAGGTGCCCACCCGACCTTTTCCCACCTTCCATTCTGTCCAGGCGGTGCCAGGTTCCTTCCTTCCGGCTTTCGCGGTGGCCGAGTTTTTCCAGAAGGTGAGGAGACGACGACGACGACGACGAGGGATCCACCTGCCGGGTTGGTGTGAGAAACGCAGCTACGGAGCAATACCTTAGCTCAGCCGATCCAGGTATACCGCATCCGTACATTAGGTAAGGTCGGTAGAGTACGGAGTACCTTACTGTAGGTAGGTTGGAAGAGGAAAGAGAGCAAGCACCCCTCCGTCCGCTACACCACACAGATACAATGCGAGGATGTGGGAGTGCAGCATCTCGCCTTTGCAGATTCACCAGATTGTGGTCCCCCGGGGTCCATCGGTGGAGTCGCGCATGATTCACGTCGCCGATGCATCTCCGTGACGTCGCGACTCCTGGAGCACCTCGCTGGTCTTGATCCGGTCGTCTGGCGCGCTTCAGGACGCGAAACGCGTTTGATGAAGCACTGGCGGGGGACGGTAGCAAACACACTCACAATGGCCTCGTCTACTCCAGACCACTTCCTCTGGTACACCTCACAAGCGAGTAGAGGCGAAGACGTATCTCATGGACGCATGTTCCTCCAATATGGTAGAGCGGGCCTCGAGGTACCTTCCTTTCCCTCTTGCTTGCCTACTCGTTCCATTCATACCTGCTCTGGGCACGAGGGCCGAAACAAGCACCGTGGCACACCGACAAAGCAGAGTGAGGGTCTTCAAGTTGGTGATGGGCCGCTGTGTATGCGGCCATGAAGCACAGTGGAGCTGGGGGCTCACGCGTCTCTTCAGGCTGAGTGGCTGGCCGGTGTTGGATGTTGTTGCTTGGGCATCACCGGCGGCGTTGGAGACGGTTCCCGGATGTTGTTTTCCCAGCCACCGACTTTTTGATCCCCTGCTCCTTTGTTCTGGTCGTGTCTGTTGCGGCGTTGCCCCTCTATCCGTATGCCTCTTTTTGGTTTCTCCCGATGTCAGAATTGACTTTGGTCTGTCGGTCGATGCGTCCGAAATATAGGCGATGGGTGGCTTTCCGTATTCCAGGGATGTGGCTGAGAATTCGTCTGAGGGTACGAGCATAATCCTGACTTCACAAGAGACGAGGTTGGCCAATTGCGCATTGTATCTCGCGGGACCGGGAGAACAAAACGGGACATTCTAGTGAGACTAGGAAGTTAATTAGGAGCAAGAGAAAAAGAATCCATTCCACGGCATTTCGGCCAAGGATGGCAGAGGGATCGATCGGATCGGAGGGGGCATTGTCTTCCTGCCGGATCTCTCATGTCATTTTTTTCTTGGTGGTTGAGGCTTGAGCAGGTGAGTCGCGACCCGGACCAGATGATCTGGGGAATATTGGACGATACGACTCTGAATGGGGACTCGTCATGCTCTATCTCTGAGCCCAAATGTACTGATATCGTCGCCAATATTAGATTAGGTCAGATTCCCTGGCCTAGTGTGGCTGCTTTCGATTGTGCTTCGCCTTGTCATGGTTTGCCTCGTTATCTGATTTGGCTGCAATGACACTGGAATGACTGCACTACTGGAGAGAGCTGAGCATGACAGTTGATAGCATCATCTCCATGGGATCTGATACGGGACGGGAAGGTTTCCATCTCCATCCAGGCTTACTAGGAAGGTTCGAGTGAATCCCCCGTGTACCGCCTTTGCCTCGTAGCCAGTGTCCAGACCCGTGTGATCACCCCACTGAGAGCCGAGCAATAGGAAGCCGGAGACGAGAAACAGTGGCTTGCTAGTGGATGCAGGAGGGCTGCAACGGGCTTCATAGGTCACGTCTCGGGGGGGGGGAGACTGAAGTTGGGGGTTATTCTTGGGCCCTTTGGGTATCAATAACATGAGAGTGAGTGAGCCTATCGCGCAAGAGGCGGCGGCCGTCGATGCCCAACCTGTTGGAGCTGCCCTCTCCGCGAGTCCGCTCTCGTCCAGTCTGGTCCAGTGGATGCGGGAGGCAAGGAGCGAGAACCGCCAGGGCCGTCATGTTATTCGCAAGGGTCCTTTTGGGTGTACCGTGTGCTCACCACTCAAAGGGCTCACCTCACCTCTTGACTTTGTATCTTTCCTTCCGTTTTTGGTCATCACCATGGCTTCGCCCATCAAGGTACGAAGGTACGTCATCCTTGGCCGTTTTACTATTTGTTAGAGCGTCAAGTGAGGTAGAAACTAGAAACTATTACCTTGGGAAGACGTGGAAGAGTCCACTTACCTCCCCACGTTGACCGTTTCCCCTCAACGACATCTCGGGCACATAACGGTGTCCCTCCCGTCCCCCCGTCTAACGGCCATCATGTTCCGTTTCGTTCCGTTTACGGTTCAGTTATCCGTCCACTGCCGTCCTACGCCACCTTCCCTGCTTCCTTCGGTGCTTCCTCAGCCACTGATGCCGAACGGACAATAGCCCGAGCTGCAAGCCCAACCCCCACCGTCTGTGAACCGTGACCGCCATTCCATTTTTGCTCATCAAGTTTCCCTTCCTTGAGTCCCCTCCCGTCTATCTACTTCTTCTTTAGAAAATTTAAATTCTTTTTTTTTTTCTGCCCTCTATTGGGCGGTTCCGGCTTGCGGCCGAGCCGTAACCCCATCCACCGGGCCTCTCATTGTCGTCTCCTCCTACCTTGACAGACCCGCCCGCCGCTCGCCTGTCTTCCGGCAAGATCCCCGTCCACCCAGACCCGGCGTATCGAGGTCATGACCCAAAAGGCCCAGAACTCTGAATCTCTTGTCGTCCTGCTCACCTCTGACCTCATTCGCCAGCCGGGACGCTGTCGTCCCCAGCGGTCCTACACTGACAGACGCATGCCCGGCCACACTTCCCAAGCTGCTGCTGCCCCCCCCAGTCAGTGAGCCACTGGGCCGAGAGAGCGCACAGAGAATCCAGTCGGAGCGCATCGGCTGGACGTGGGGTTGGGTTTCGCTTTGGCTCTGCGCAGTCGTCCACCTTTCGACTTGTTCCTTTCTCTATTCTGTATCCGTACCTCGCCTTTTTGGTCCGCCCTGGCGCGCGCGCCGCGTTCCTATCAACCCCCAGAGACTTTTTTCGCAACTCGCAAGCCCCAAGTCTGTTTCTAAACCAGTCCTCTCGGCCTCCAGGTACATTGCCCCTAGTTTAGTACGCCGAACAGTACCTTAGCCCGTCTAGCTCGCCTTCTCTTGGGTACCAAGAAAACAAGACACGATGGCAACCAAGTCTATCAAGTTGACTTGATAGAGTCCGTGAGGAGAGTTCGAGGCGGTCTAAAGCCAAACGGAACCCCTGCTCAATGCTCCTTTACTCTGCCCGCGCCCCTTGTCTCGTCCGTGTCTTGTTCCAAGGAAGTATTCTACGGCGCCGTGTGTCCGTCGCATTGTCTGCCCTTCTGCCTGCCGTTCTCAAGCTCTCGGTTTCGCCAGATTTGGATCAAATCATCGCCACAAGACATTGTGAAGAGACACTTGTTTCACTTTGAACTATCTTCGACAAGCCATAGCGAGGGCAGACTGCGTAGTGAATTACAAGTTGAAAATCGTGTAGCAGGTGCTCACCGTTAAGCCCCGAAGGTACCTTGGCTAAGGGAAACAGGGACAAGAGGACTTATCTCCCCTTGGTATCATGATCTCTCTCTCTCTTCTCCCATGGGCTCACTCTCTATCTTGCTCGTCCTATACTCGCCGAAGAGCATGGCCGCTCCCACTCGCCAGAAACTTGTCTGGCGCTCTCTTGCCGACTGGGCCCGTTTATCACACACCCACCCGGTCCATCTCCTCGGCCACCCTCCACAAACGAGTGACCACACACCCACCAACGCGCATCGCATCCCACCCGTAACGGGCTGCTCTTTCCCAGTGTCCAAGGTATCCGTAGACTCTAAGGTACCCTCCAGAGTATGAGTGCTTCCTTCCTCTGCCTCTCTACGCAGGAAGGTAGCTCCACTCAGCTCTCCGTCTCGTCCCCCTCCTCTGTTTTCTCGCGCGCCGTCCGTACCGTACCGTACCGTACCGTAGTCACCACCCTCCTCCGTAAGCTCTCATAGTCTATCCGTACGGATGCTCTTTCTGTCAGTCTGCCAGTCTGGATTTCCGATTCCCTCCCGTCCGGTCTCTGGTTCTTTCCCCACTGCTCTTCTAACCCTGGACTGGGATCTGGACCCGGGCCAGCCTGACCTTCCACACTACCCGCGACCTTACATTGCCTTACTGCGACTCTCCACCCCGTTCCCATGTCCACCGTATTCTTCTCGAAGCCAAGCAAAGTACCTCACCCCCGGCCACCGTTTCTAACCAGGTACCTCATCTCGGGACTCGCGCAGAAGTGCCGCCTTTGCTGTTGAAAATACAAAACCTTCCCTCTTCCTCCTCCAGCTCTACCTTGTCCGCCCACCAAGAAGACGAGATCACACACCACACACCACACACCACACTCACACATACAGACACCATCCACGCTCGCTCGCCCATCCAGCGTCAACCGTACATACGTACATACATATACATACTTTCGGCACCCCATCCTCTGGACGGTTTCCCTATCGTTGCAACACACATTTGTTTATTATTGTCCCATCATCCTCTCTTCCACATTTCGTCTCACCCTCGACGCAACCCATCTACGCCGCTTCATCAACTCACGCACATATTCAAGGCTTTTCCCCCGCCCTGTGTGTCTGACCGAACCAACGAGTCTATACCTCGCCACAAGATCTGGAGTGCATCGCAGCACCGTACCACTCGAGAAAGAAAGAAAAAAAACCGATCTCCCAAAGCCTGTGAGTGTGTTTCCCCCCTTCCGAGCCGTTGTTCTACCCTCGTCCTGCACGCACTGCCCTTTAAAACTTTCCGACCACCCTCCGCCCGCACATCCTCTCATCCCATCCCCACCAACCTCTCTTATCACTCATCCGCTCGACCACCTCCGCCCTCTGCTTTTTCCCTTACTTTCTTGCCCTCAACTCAACCCGCGCACGTCTTGCTTGGCCCTCTGAACGAGTATCGCACAAAAAGCTCGCTTCTCGCCTCTGACTGCAAGTTCCCGCTGCGCATTACATGCATCTTCGCCGCTCTATACACAGCATATTAAGCGCACGCTCCGTACCCTCTTCTGCAATTCTCAGAGTGCGCGGCACAGCACCCGTCTCCACATCTCACTCGCACCCAAAAATAAACCCTGGGCCACCAACCATCCTCACCGCTGCCCTCGACTAACACGCCCTCGCAAGATTAGAAAAATAGGCACCATTGCCATCACAGCACAACATCGCAGTCTACACTCGACTGCTGATTTCACATAACCAGAAATGGTCTCAACGTACCAGATGCCGTCCTACTACAGACCGACACCTTTGACTGTAGACACAACACAAGCGCAAAAGTACTACGAAGAGGAGGACCACAGCATCCTCGACGAACCCATCTTGGATCACAGCGCACTCGACTCGGGCCTGGAAATGTCGCCTCCCATGGTTGATAGCAGAAGAGATTCCTTCGCCGTTGGCGGCTCTCTCTTCTCGCCAAAGACGGAGGATTGGCAATCGGTCGATATGCAATCCGTACCATCCAACAACCCCTTCATCGAGCAGCAGCACAACAACAACCCCTTCATGCGCCTGGATCATGCCCAACCCTCTCCTTTCGGCCCCCAAGGCAACGCCTGGTCCCTGAGCAATACCTCTGGCTCTTGCACTCCCCTCCAACAGTTCGACGGCATGCCGGCTGAGTACGACAATGGCGCTCCCATGTTCCAAAGACCCATCCCGGGTCAGACGCCTTTCACCAACCCTACCGGTCAAATCAACATGTTTGCGCCCATGGGATCAGGCAACCAGTCCATCCCAACCTCACCGCAAAAAGGATGGATCGGTCAGGCGGAATCCATGGCCAAGAAGATGCGCCCCGGGAGCCCCACCATTCGCTCACACAACGACATGAGAAGGGGAGATGGCATTCGCAAGAAGAACGCCCGCTTCGATATTCCGGCCGAGCGCAATCTCAGCAACATCGATCACCTCATCGCTCAGTCCACTGATGAGCAAGAGATCAAGGAGCTTAAGCAGCAAAAGCGACTGCTGAGGAATCGTCAGGCAGCGTATGTGTACACCCACTTCCCTTGGATTCCATCTACTGACAGTGCAACAGTCTTGACTCTCGCCAGAGAAAGAAGCAACACACCGAACGCCTTGAGGATGAGAAGAAGCAATTCAGCGCTGTGCTCACCGACATGGAGGAAGAGATGGCCGACATGAGGAAACAGATGGAGCAGCTGTTGAGAGAGAAGCAGTTCAACCAGGAGTACATTGAGTCACTCACCATGGAGAAGGAAGAGATGATCCGCTCCCACACGATCGAAACGGGCGAACTCCGGAAGAAGGTCAGCGTCCTCACCGACCACGTTCAGCGTCTCGAGAGCGCCGCCATGACTGCCCCTGCCAACAACAACTATGTTTCCAGCTACGACGACATGGACGGCATGACCATGCCAGGCAGCTGGGACAACGTCAACTTCCTCGGCGAGTACCCCATGGAGCAGGAAGTCAAGCAGGAGCTCCAGGTGGTTTCGGCCAAGAAGGCCGATGTTTCCTTCCCCGTTGACTCCGAGAAGTCTTCCTCCCAGGGCGGCATACTCTTCATGCTCTTCCTCGTCGGCGCCTTTGTGCTGTCCAGCCGCTCTACCCCCGCCATTCCCCGAGTCTCCGAGGACGTCCGCGCCGAAGCTGCCACACTTCTCGAGAACGTTTTCAAGGACGCCGGTGTGAACGGGGCATCCAACACGATGAACGCTCTCGCTCCTCAGCCTTCTGGCGGTTCATGGGTTGACAACTCTGCCATGCCTATGGGTGATACCTCCATGGGCGGCGTCGCGCCTTCGATGCTCGGCCAGCTTGGCGACTCACTCACTCAACCTACCGATGAACAATCCAATGAGCAACTCTTTGGACTTTCGGCTGCTCAGTACAACGGCGTCAGCTCCCAGGATTTCCTCAACAACTCCCCCGAGCGCACCACCAGCCAAGGACGCAAGAACCTGGCTGATGCCCTCTCAGCGATGCGGAACAACAAGCAATCCGCAGCCGACGTCTACACTAGATCACTACTTTGGGATCAGATCCCCAGCGAAGTTGTCAGAAACTTTGCCAAAATGGTGTCCGAAAGCAACAGCGCGAAAGCGGGCGCAAATGAATAACGAAGACAAAAAAAAACACGATCCCATGATCACATCAACGAATCTCAACTCCTAGCACAAAATATCATTCTGCCAACCATCTTGTTTTTCTTTCAGCCGAAGCTCATCATACACTTCTACCGCTCCCGCGGAAAAAAAAAAACCCCCCCCAGACATTGTTGCTCACGCACCAAACAATCCTCTTTTCACCGCCAAATGATCGAAGCTCTTCGGACATATTTACTTTCCACCGTTTTATTTTTGTGATTTTCATTTTGGGACGCCATTTCCCTCCGGTATCTAGCAAGCGAGCGAGCATTCTGGATTTAGTCTGATATCACTGTATTTCACATATCTAGTTTGGTATCTATTGCTCTTTCCAGGCAAAGGGGGACCGGACAGGGGGGGAAGAGCATGGGAACACGGGACGGCCAAGCTTTTCCGACGTTTGTACAATGGGGGCAACAGGGTTGGCTTGGAAATGGAGGGGTGGTCACATGGAATCTTGGGTTACCGGAGGAGAGCAGGTCTCACACAACGAGGGACGTCATCTCACAGGAGACGGGGAAAGGGAGGGGGTGGTGTTCGGATGGGAATCATGTTGTTCTTGATTTTGTTCCTTTGTTTGATTTTCCTTTTTTTCTATTTCCTTTTTTTTTTTTTTTCCTTTTTTGACCTTGACTGGAAAGATGGACAGCACCGCACAAGTTGCAGATTGTTGACGAGAAACGAGAAAGCGTCTCGCGACGATACGTGGAAACGGAAATGAGTCGAAACGAACCTCATGATCAATGACAATCAAACGAAACGAAATTTACCACGTCACTATTCTTCGAGAGCCTTTCTTCTTGCTATTTTCTTCATATCTTATTGCGACATAAACCGACATTAGTACCGGCACACACGCGCACAAACACCAGGACAGACAGCCAGCGAGCGAGGAGAGAGAGAGAGAGCGTTTGGATATTCGGGTGACGAGCAGTCAAACAGCCTGCCATTGGCCCCCATCTTTATGTTTTGCCCCCACTGCCTATCTTTTGGCTGGGGGGGGGGGGGGGGGGATCATTCTATTCGTGTAGCTACTTGCAAATCTCCAAAAAGATACCAAGGATTCTTCATCATCTTACCGTCTCTTTAAAATATGCCTATCTATACTTTGCCATGATGTGACACGCACTCAGCCGACATGGAGAACAGGTGACATTTGAAGTTCCTGGCTTTTCGTTGCTCTCAGGTGCGGTTGTAAGTGAAAGCCTAAAACAAGGGGAGTCATCTTCCCCCGTGCGTCGCTGATCGGTTGATCCGATCCGCGAAGAGCGCTGGAGACTTTTGACGCATGGGGAGGGATTCTCGGTCAACGTCGCAGAGAGCAGAGAGAGAAAGGAAACAGGCTAGGCAACACCCAATGCGGACCAGAGCTAAGAGGCTGACTAGCGTTTCCTTGCCGAAGGGGGGGGGGGGGGGGGGGGGGGGGGGCGATGGTGGGTTGCCGTACCATATAGCAACGGTTTCTACTACGACGATCAACCATTTTGGTCACTCCTCGGTCTTGGATGGCTTGTTATTGGGTGGGGGGGAGAGTTCGTAGAGGGGAAGAGAAGGGGAGGGGGCGAGGTTACGAAAGCAAAGCAAGCCAACGCCGGTCTGGAAACTTGGAATGAGGGCGAGGATATAAGCGTGACTAGATACAGATGGGGGAGGGGGCGACGGCACGAACGAGTCGGGATTCTCTTGTCAAACGCAGCAGCGAATGAGTCCATCTATTGGTTTCTGAGTTCTGGAGTGTACGTGATAAGATGGGCATGTAAGATCGCTGGGTTGTGGCTTGGGGGGGGGAGGCAAGGTGTAGAGGTGTGACTTGTTTCCGTTGGCCAGAGTCGTACTCTGTAGGTTTTGTTTTTGGCACTGAGAATGCAAGGTAGGACTTTCGGATCATTAGTGTTGTTAATATTGACCACTGAGATGCGAGAGAAGTGGGTGAGTGACCAAGTTTCATCATGGTTTTTTTTTCTGCCTACCAACATGGGTTTGTCTACGGCCCCCTAGTTAGTTTTTCAAGTTTCCACTTTCGGGATGATCATTCTTTTTTGTCGAGTCTACCTTGGGGGAATCCGGGAATAGTGCGAGAGTCAAGAGCAGCAGGTAGAGAGGGACGGGGTGGTGGTGGGAGCATGCGGGCGTTAGCGTTGGTCGCATGAGGGGGGGGAGACGATTTCTTTTTTGGAGATGTAGGATTGGTTGATAATGCTGCTTATTCTGCCCCCTCGGGAGCGGCGCGTGAGACTTTGGTGCGAGGGGATTGGATGGGGCTGAGGTAACTGCGTCTCCATGGTACTGTGTATACTAGTGACATGCGAGTTGAGAAGAGACGGACTTTTGCGGGTTTTGGGGGAGAATCTAAAGTTGAGGCCCGGCTTGCTGAAGATGTGTGTGTAAGTCTGAGGCGGAAGGTCGCGGGGAGATAAGAATTTAGGTGGCTGGGCAAGAGGGAAGGGGAAGCTTGGGGAGCTGAGAGCTTGGGAGCTTGGGGCAGGTCAGTTGCATTAGGTCAGGAATTTAGACCCCTGAGCTTGGGAGAAGAATGGTATTGTTTTTGCTGAAGAAGTATAGAGTAGCGCCGCCGAAGTCCATTGTTTCGCGCGGGTAATACAGAGATGTGAGGCGAGAGCTGCGGAAAGGTGAGCCGTGAGAAAAAGAGAGGGAGGCAAGCCACACTCGTACGCGCAACGCTAGGGTAGGTAGTCACTCGGGCGGTGCGGGTGGGAATGATGCAGATGATGGTGGTGGTGCGTTTGCCAGGATTCCTCCCTTCCTGCAGGTTTTCTTAGAGACTTGGGGCCAAGATTAGCTTGACTTTTGTTCGATGAATTCACTTGTGTCATGGAAAGAAACTCGGGTGGATGAAGAGGTGGGGGAAGGCGAGAAGAGGTACGTTGAGAGGGCATATGTGAGATGCTCCTGAATTCTTTGACATTGTGCGACGTTCCATGTGGTCATGATGGTAATAGAAGTGGCAGCGAGTCGCACGACGACCGTCTAACCGTATATGAAAAACAGGAAAATCAATGATAGGAGAACAAAGTGGTGAGACGACAGGCCGACGCATACAGGGGCAGAAACAGAATCCTTCTCTTCCTCGCGTTGTTGTTGGGAGTTACGACTTACATCGTGGGTAAGGAAACGAAACACCACCCACCACCACCACAACCTGTCGTCGCTCGTATGCGTGTCTTAGACACTCTCGAGGCCGCATGCTTGAGCTCACGCTCACGGGAGCGCAAGATGCGTGCAGTCGCCAGTGGGGGGGGGGGACAAGGGGTGCACTGGGAGTTCGTCACGGGTTTGAGCTGATGACTATGTTTTTCTGCTTTCCTCTGATTTGTGTTGATAGATCTCTGTCTCTCATCCACGGATGTCTCTATTCCCGTGCAGTCCGACATCTTGTCCTGCATGAGTTCGCATGATGCTTTCCCACCCTCAGCTGCTGCATCAGTAGCCGCCGCCGCCGCCGTCGCTGCTGTGCGTAATACAGGAAACCATGCGAGGAGGCGTGTAAGTTGCGATTGTGAGTGCCCATGTATGCGTGTGTGTAACAGAGAAGGGGGAAATACTAGAAAATGCCATGAGGTGATGAAAAATTGGCCATGTTAGTCTCACCGTACTTTACACAGAGACGGAGACGGCGAGGTGACTAAGGCAAGGTCAGAGTCTAGGTCAAGGTTCGGTGAATAAATTAGTTTCAAGGCGTGTGTGTGGATGAGGATGGAGAGGAAACGGTTCCGCGCGTCGCGATTTCTCGCATTGCCTGCGCCTTTTCTTCACCTTGGGCGAGACTGCGCTTGTGCTGTAGGTGAAGAAACGGTCTGGTGGCGATGGGGAATCATCCCGATGCTCGCCGGTCCGTTCGGCTTCCTCCATACTAATATCGTGGGGCAGGCAGGTGAGCAGACGGGAAAGAAAATCAAGGAGAAAATCATTTGAGCCATAGTTAGCTTATGTCGCCCAAAGTTCGGATGGGTGGAAGGCGGATGAAGATCGGTTCATCTCTTTTTTTTCTTTTTTCGCAGAGAAACTTCCCTTCCCCCCTTCCCCTTTCCCGACATCGCAATCCCGAAACGGAACTAAGGTGAAGCCAAGGTGAGTCTTGCGATGGTCCGGTCGAGGGAATCTTGGTGTTTTGCTGACGTTGCATCTTCTCATTGGGCCCCGTCAGACCTTAGCTCTTTTGTAAGTGAACCTCCCTAAGCTTCAAGAGATTTTCTCTCGCTCTCTCTCTCTCTCTCTCTCTCTCTCTCTCTACTTACCGCTTTTCTGCAACGCTTGACAAGATGAACTGCTGCTCCGTGATCCTCAATCTAGCGGAGAATTTGAAAGGAAGATGGCCCGATCGATCTACATAAGGTCCGTCTCCGCCATGCAGATTCCATGCAGTAGAATGCGCGCGGCACGTGTGAGTTTGCGGATCTGATTGCGTGGACGGCGAGGAGAATGCATGGCAAACTCCCCCCCTTCCCCTCCATCCACCCCGTGCCATCTCTCTCCGACTAAGGTACGTTCTACTGCAGTTCCAAGAACTCCGCTCGAGTCCAGGTGAGCTTCGGAGGAAGAAGAAGGGGCGAGTCGATGACGAGCATTTCGCTCTCGCGTCTTCGCTTCTTTTGCGCTTGAGTTAGGGCGAGATCAAGCGCTGGCTACCGTTTTGTGGGCAGATTGGTATGTTTACTTTGAGTGAAACGGAATTGATAGACGGTTCACTCGGTATAGACGGTCAAATCCAACTCGCCAACCTCGATAGAGGAGCCTCGAGTGGTGTTTTGTGGTCCCATTTCGAGGGGGGGCAAGATGCCCCCCCCCCCCCCCCCCCCCGACGCCACCGATAGGTTCAGAGAAGACGGAAAAGTTCAAGGCATGTCTCATCGGCATGGTGTCTCACGGAGCCTAGCCCGATGGACCTGCAAGAAGAAAACATCGTCTCGAAAACGCCGTGTAACCCTTTGGCGATACCCTTCGTACAGCTCTCCACACAGGCACCCCTGAGGCGAGCGGGAGCCCGCAGGAGCAAACACAAGGTCAGAAGAAGAAAGGGGGTTTGGTGAAGTGAGTGCGAAAGATAGTTTGAGTAAGAGAGGGTCTCGTAGTAGGCCGTCGTGAGACTTCATGACAATTGTCTAAAGTTGGCGTACAGAGCGCCAAAAGCATAAAAATAAAGAGAAGGAAAGAGAGGGGTTTGAATGTTACGATGCTACGATCTTTTGGTGATACCACCCCTGACAAGCTCACCATTCTCCATAGGCTGTACGAAGCAATCCGTGACACCTTTTGGGGAAACGAAACGATCCTCGGACGACGTCGGGAAAGGGCAAGATGTTGGTTCGGCCCGGCCGAAAGGCACGGCGTACTTCCCTCCCGTGTAAATACCCGGGTCGGGTGCGCCCGTGGCCCTGTGGCCCTGTGGCCCTGTGGCTCCGTGTACCCGGCGTCCGTCATCAGTCACATTACCCGCACGATGGACGGCTGATAAGATCTGGTCAAATAGAATGCGTCACTTTTTCTTGTAATATGATTGCTATGACGATAATGCGGGGTATGTAGAACAGCAAAAAAAAAAAAAATCAAGCAAAAGGACAGTGTTGGCCTTTGCGACAGCAGCCGGAAACATGCTGTCAGCAACGAACATGGCCATGGCCCTGATATATCCATCCCCTGCAGAGCCCGTGGCTTAACCTGCAGGTCCAGCTCGACGATGTGCTGAGACTTGGTAAAAGCTCCACGAGAGGTCCATCACAGCTTGTCCTCCTCCCTTTCCTGCGTTGCCGCGAGCCAGCTCCTCTGCTCTCCCCACACTCGCGAAACCAACATGTTCGCCCGTCCGACAGCGCACAGCATAGAGCAGGTCGACAACTCTTTCGTTTACCACATGGGGTACCTGTGTCTATTTGTTCGCCGTACGCACTTTGTCCCGCCTGATGAGATCTCCGTGTACCCCTATTCCACCCCCTGAGGGCGCTCAGGAGAGGGGTAAGGGGGTAAAAACATGAACTCAGGAGGGAAAGGCTGACAAAAGACTCATGTTTTGTATCACCTATTCCTCGCTCCCCCTCCCTTCGACACTATCGCTGTGCTTCCGACACACAATCAGGATGCCCCAAGGGACGAGTGAGCCCCGTGTAACGATCTCGCGCGTTGGGTGACACCACAGCAGGTAGACAGAGAGAGGAAGGGTAACCACCGGATGGAAGCTGAGCGGGACTGCCGAACAGGAACGTCCCACCCGTTTCGAGTATGTGATGCCGTGTCACCAGTGGTTCGGTCATCTCACGTACACACTTGCTCCCACCGTTCCGTAACTTTCTGCCTCCTTATCTCTACTTCTTCTTCTTGTCGCCGGCATCTGGGTCGTACTTTTCCTTCCAGATCCTATTGGGTTTTGCGGGTGGTCAGCCTTGGGTACCACAGAGGAAATTCTAGCCACGGGGTGATGCCTGATTGTGTGGGCAATGGCGTCAGGATCGCAAAGATAGGGGGAAGAACAGGGCAAGCAGGCAGAAAGAAATCGGGACGAATTACGCCCCCGGGAAGCAGCATCGAGTCTTTCGCGGGCGTTTCTGGGGAACGCGGCGCAGCGCAGGAGGGGCTTGCAGCGGCGGGTTACCGCGTGCAGCTCCGGGAAAGCTGACTGACACTGTCATCCAAGAGGATCGAATGACAGGGCGAGCTTTCGCATTTGGGGGGAGGCAGACAGGTTAAGAAAGCCTTGGGAGCCTATCAATACCGCAGCGCGCAAGTCATCCGCGACAAGGGAGCTGCAGCTTTCCCCCTCCACCACCAGCGATGCATGCGCCGGATCCAACTCTGGGGAAACCACCAACGAACCAGTGGATAAGAAAGAAAGAAAGAAAGGAACAGACAGGCTCGACTTACCATGAATTGCCTAGTGTTTTGTTGCCGTTCTTTTCAGCCAACCGGTAGTAACGGGCTGCTGCGAACTGGACATGTTGTCAGCCTCATGTGATGACATTGAGCATGCGTGCTGCGCGGGTTCCTGTTTGCGGCCGTCTTTCAGGGTTCGCCGTATTGATGCCCAACCTGGGCCAAGACGGATTACCGACGGCCCAAGACGGACGTCAACCTGTATCTGCGTGCTCTCTCACATCCCATGACATTTGTGCTCTCGCTGAGTGCAAGCCACACAATATCTGGGGCTGCTGAGGCTGATACTGGCTGGCCCCTCAAGACTAAGTTCTGGGCCTCAGGTCGCAAGACCCGGTAGACGCAATGCCGCTTGACATGTTGGGTGATATGAGACCAAACGTACCTTGTCCTTTTTGCATCCGAAGCCTTCTACATAGCACCAGGCTACCTCATTCATAGCATCTGAGACGGAGAAGGCGGGTTAGCGTACTGGTATACATCAACTGGGCCTCAACGCCTCAAAGTGTATCATCAGGGCAGACTCACCAGTATCTCCAAGGTTCGCCGCAGTCTCATAGTACTATGACGACAAGATGTCAGTTCCAGACCTCCAAGGCGTCACCACCTTATGCTTTCAAAGGCATGCCTCGCGCCCCTCTCCGCCTCTCCGGTGTGTGGACGGAATATCTCACCTGCTTTGCCGCTATTGGGTCCTTGGCTGTGCCCCAACCGTGTCGAAAGGAATTCGCCAGCTCGAAAATGGCCAGAACGAGCTCGCCCTTGGCAGCACCACCCTTTTTGAGCCCTGCCTTCAACGCCATCTGCTCGACGGTTGCCGCATTCGACGCCGCCGCCGAGAGATACTTGATAGCCCCTTCTGGGTCTGGTTCGCAACCCCATCCGTGCCTGTCAACCCTCGTCAGCAATCCGTCCAAATAGTCCAAGTATCGTGGCACCTGTGAGGTCCTGCTCCAGAGCCCTTCCCCTTCCTCGTCCCCGATGCAACATGATCGCCCGGCGAGCCGTGGCGCGCCCCCGCGCATGATCCCGTCTTATAGGTACGGGGAAGTGCCGAGTAGAAGTCGAGACCAGTCCACATGCAAGCAAAAGGCATCTCACCTCAAAGAAAGACCATATAGGAACTGGCTCAGGGTGTTATTCGCCCCTTTCGGGTCAGCCAGACGGGCAAACATGGCCGTCGAGTTCTCGAAATCCCCCGTCTCGTGCAGCCGGATAGCCTCCTGTATATCCTCGTCAATGGCCGGAGACGATACCGCCGCCGCCGCCGCGCCCTGCGGCCTACCCCTCGTCATGTCTCCCCCACCCCCCGCGTCGTTGGCCAACGGCGTCGCGGGCCTGCTCTTGTTCGCCGAAGCCAGCATGGTCGCGCGCTTCTCCCACTGCAGCTCGTCCCCCTCGCCGCCCTCGGCCGTGGTCACAATATCCGGTAGGTTCTGCGGGACGTTTTCCGACGAGGCGGGCGAGCGGCTGAGGTGCAGCCGCTCCGACAGCCGCCTCCCAATCTTGCCATTGTTCGAGTGGGCGTTCGAAGTCGAGCTCGCCTGCGAGGAGGCGGACGCGCTGCGCGATCGGCTGTTACCGAAGAAGACGTCGAGGCTGCGCCGGGGCTTTTGGCCGCTGCCGCCGTCGTTGCCGTTCGGGTTCAGGTACTGTTCCTTGCCGTCGTCGAAGCCTGGGGGGCCGCTCGGGGGGTGGATGACCTCTTGGGTGTGTGTGTCTGATCGAATGAATTTGAATTCGGGGGCTGCCAGCCTGTTTACTGCATCCTCGCTGCTGGGCTCGCCTTTGAGTCTCTCCTTTTTCATGAGAACGTCGCGTATGCCCATGATGACGACGGGAAGGATTAGTGCTAATCCAGCTGTAAACTTCGAGCTTAGGATTAGGTAGGTTAGGTCAGGAGACAGGAGGGCCGGATATTAATAACAAGCGACGAGAAGAAAGAAGGTATCTTTGGCAAAGAGAATTGTTCAATTATCCATGAGAAAAAAGCACAACGACCTATGTTCAATGCAGGACAGGCAGTGTTGTCAGACTTGGTGCTATTCTCAGCTTCGGGAAAAGGATGAGACAGTGTGTAGTCCAAGGGGCTGAGTAGATGGCGGTGCTGTTCAAAGACGCGAATCCTCCAACAAGGCAGCGGCCAGCCTCAGATCAGCAAGCCCCGATCCGACCACGATATGGCCACCAAATGACGGGTCTTCGTTAGCGCCTCGCAATAAGCTCCCTAGCCCGCTGCCCGAGGGACAAAGGGCTGTCCAGAAGACAACATGTGGCGCCGATTGCTCCGACTGGAAATGGGGGCGAAAAAGGGCCAAGAGGGGTCTCTGGGCAGTGGGAACTTGAAGCTTGTGTGTGTCAGCGCAAGGAATTGTCATCGAATGACGGCTGATTTCAGGAGTCCACAGGGGGGGGAGGAATGGCGGGGTAAATTTTAATGGAAATTTTAATTGATCTAGTTGAGACACCCGCGAACAGTTGGGCCGGCCCACACACGGAAATGATGCTTGGCCAATGTCACTCTTCCACATGGGGATTTTACACCAATATCACGTTCTAATAGTAGTCAATATATCATCATTTTGGATTGAAGCTTTGCGAGATTCAAGTGGGCATCAGAAATCAACAGATGACGAAGAGCTAAGAAGCTGTACTCTCCAAGTGTACTCTCCAAGCTCGAACAGGTTTATCACTTTTTCGATTCTTCTCTTCGTGTTCCATGATTTATATTTCTATCCTTTTCTGCTACATCTTTTTCGTCTTCTTCTTTCATCGGCATCATTATCATGATCTTCTATTCTTCTCTTTCCTCCTTGGTATCAACGCTCTGGCCCTCCATCTTCTTTGTGGGTATCGTTTGTTGTTTTCTTCCCCAATCGTTCTCGTAACCGGAAATACGTCCGACATAAGGAGACTCGAAGCCTTTCTTTGTCTGGACCCTCTCAAGGAGTGGATAGCAAGCATGTCAGTAGTGAAAAGAGACCATTCGGCCTCGGCAAGGTGGCATCAGATCACAGTCAGAAAGAGATAAAGTCCTTCTGGACCTTGAAGTCAGTATCATCACCAGCACCGTCGGTGATAAACTCCTCCACTTCGTCCGAGTCCACGTCATCGCTGTCGACTGGCTCGTCGTCGCTCGACAGATCCTCCATCTCGTCGCCGTCCGCCCGCTTTCGAAGGACGCTTGCCCTCTCGCGGTGAAGAAGCTTGCAGCCCCTGGCCTTACACTTGCCCGTGTTGCTGAAGTCGGGGCATTCGAAGACGTGGCGCTCTTCGCATTCGTCTCCCTTGTCGCAGTAGCCGTACATCCCAAAGGAACGGCAAACCAGAGCACCTGAGGATACACTAGAATGAGCATAGGGGCAAGTGGAGTTGGCACAGTTGCCCTTGAGGAAGTGGACGCAGGTCGGAATGCGCTGGGGCGTCAAGTCATGGGACAAATCACAAGACTCCCCACGGGCGCAAGTCCCCTTGTGCAGCATCTCCCGACAGATGGCAACTTTCGAAGCATCGTGCTTGTATCGACAAGATGGTCCCTTGGCACATGAACCTAAAATAAAATGATGGTGGTTAGTGGAGTCCGGTATATCATACCCACTTGAGCAAGAAATCGTCCAAATCTGTCGAATCGGATATTGCGTGGGTGATCGGATAAGATTGTGAATGAAATACCAGTCAGCGAAAACATGCTGCAAGGCACGTCGACCTTTTTGATGCCAGTTTGGCTGGGGGAGCGACCCAAGTTAGCAATTGTCAGTCATGAAGGAATGGTTCATACCGTTGAGCTTTCAGCACACCGTCGCGGTACAGGTTGCCGGTCTTGCTACGGTGAAACTTCACGCCCCCAACGAAAGCGACCTTGGGGGTAGCGTTGACTGGGTGTAAATCTCCTGGACGATTGTAAGTTCGCCCTGATGTGCGAGATGGTAGTGACGACGCACCCGACACTTTGATGAGCTTGCTACCGCCGTTCGCGACACGGAAGCGAATCCCTTGAATCTCTATCTCGTGATTGCCTGCCGCTGTCGGGTTAGTAGGAGTATGCGGTGCGCTTGCATTGCCGCTGTAGCGTTGGAAATGATTGGCAAGCTGCTGTTGCTCGCGCGCATCCTGCTGACGGATCTTCTGTTGGCGCGACGCCTCGATGACTTTTACATGTGCTTCGTTGTTCTTGTCGTAGACGGCCGAGTTGATCAATGACCTCTGACCGCGGGTATTCTTCGAAATCCAGGCGCCCGAGGAAGTCGTCAAGCCAGAACCCTCAGCGGGAGATGACAAATCGGAAGGAGGTGTTTGGGTTCCATCCTTGTTTACCACCAAGGACCGGTGCCGAAAACCTGTCGGGCCTCCTCGAGTGGAGGGGTACGGCTGGACTCGATGCTTGTGGGGGAAGGCGCCATGTCGGTGAGTGTTGTCTACAATGTGTAAGCGCCAGGATGGTTTCTCGGTCCTAACATTCAACATACGACGATTGTAGGAAGCCTGGCTGCTTGGTACCGACTGAACGCCAGCTTGCTGGGCCTTGTGAAGATTAATCTTGCCTGTTTGCCACCATGTTAGAGAATACGCGCTCTTTTCGCCTGTGTTTAGTTACAAAATTATCACATACCTGCAAGCTGGCCGATTCTGGCCAGCAGTTCTTGTTCTTCCTGAGACGGCATATCCTAGTGTTGCAGAGTTTCACTGTCTTTTTGTTGTGGTGTTTCTGGGGTTTGCGGCCAAAGAAATGTTGTTGCGCCCGAGGAAGTTGTGTGTTTTTAAGAAAGATGAGATCACTGAAAGTTGGGAAAGAGGACGCTTTGACAGTGCGATCGGAGTTACCTTATCCTAGGCAGGTAGAGGGGAGGGTGACCCACTTCACAGAGCTGAAGGCTTAACGTAGCTGACCAATCCCCACTGGGATAGGTAAGGCACCCTACTGCAAGGCTGAGTTGTGAGAGAAGGAAGGTGCAGGAGCTTCTTTTCATCCGCAGCTGCTCCTTTGAGTTCAGTCCAGTCCAGCCTTTCCATCACTGTCAACTGTGGCATGTGTCGCGAATCATTGTCGCTCACATCAATCGTACCACTTTGCACCATTCAACTCGGCAGAGCTACGATTTGATTATCCTTAGGCAAATTCACAGGACCAGCAATAAAGCGTCCTCCACAGCATAGCCTCAGGATAGAAGCTGGAGCATCTGCTTTAATAATTCAACAAGCGGCACGATTCATCTTTCCTCAGTTCAATAACGCAAAATGGCGTCGTCTTGGGATCTTCTGGACGACAAGGAGGAGCAGGAGTTGCACAAGACCCGACTGGTCAACATTGAGGAGAAGCCCTTCAAGCGAATCACCAAGCGGCTCACATCAATCTCGGCGATTGTAAACGCCCAATCGAAACAACAACCCACCCCGCCACCCGAGGGCGCAAACGGCGACAAGGACATCGATTCCGAGGCGAAGGAGGAGACGAAGAACGCTCAAACCCTGCGAGAGATTGACCAGATCAAGGACGATCTTACCCTCGATTTTGCCGCATTCGACAGCAGCATCGCCCGCCTGCAATTCCTCCTCGACGCGAATGTCCGCGAGCGCGAACGCTACAAGGCCGATCAACAACGCATCCTCGAGGAATGTCAAAATGTCCGAGACAACAACGCGCGACTGCGCGAACAGCTGGAGGGCGCCAGAGCGACGCTTGCCCAACGTAAGGAGTACGACAAGCTCGCCAACGCGCTCATGGCTAAGGGCCTGCGACCGCGTGGGGAGCAGGTGTCGAATCTGAAGAAGCTCGAGGAGGAGATTCGCGACCTGGAGAAGGAGAGCGAGACCTACGCGGTGACTTGGCGGGAGAGACGCGATCAGTTCAGCAAAATTATGGATGAGGGCATGCAACTGCGCAGACAGATCCGCGACGAGAAGGAGGAGGTTGAGAGAAGGGAGGGCATGAACGAAGACGGCGAGGAGGATGGCGAGGCTTCTAGAGGGGGCAACACGCCTCGTCACGTCTCCAGCGGCAACGTCACGCCGCACCCAGACAGCGGTGCCGTACCGAGACCGACGTCGGCGCACGAGGGTCAGTCGGAGGATCAGTCCGAGGGTCTCAAGCCTCGGCCGGGTGGCTTGGGCAGCTTTTCGCGGTCCGGCAGCGCCGTCCCGAGCCAGAGTGGCACCCCTCATCCTCAAGACGATGACGAGGGCGAGATTGAAGAGGGAGAGGACGTTGAGATGGATGATCGCCATGATACACAGCTCACTTCGGGAGGCGATACGCCTCAAATCACAGTGGACGCACCGGAGAGTATGGAGGTGGACAATTAGGCAAATCAAGTGCTTCGGAGGATCCTATAATAGTCCCTCAATTGAGATACCCATTAAAGCAGGCAGCTATCTTGCTTCTGACGCTCGCCTACCCTTTAACACTACGCAATCCCGAACCTCTTCTCCTGTTTGATATCAAAACGCGAAAAAAAAAAATTCACACCTCTAAGCAGAGACGTCGTCCTTGAGATACGTCTTCTCCTCCTTGCCCTTTGCGAGCGCAAGTCTCGCCGTCTCCAGCTCCTCGGGCGATGCACCGCTGCTCTCGGCCAGGGCAATCTGCTCTTCCAGCTTGGCGGTCGAATCCTCGACGCGGGTTCTCAGCTCGGGGAACACCTTTTGCGTCTCCTCCACCGCGAGTTTCTAGTCCCAAAGTCAGTCAGCGATGTGTACCCTTCAAGGCTGATACCTCGATGGACCGAGAATTCCAGCGGCATTGGGCGATGGGAGGGGAACATACCAGCTGCTTGAGCATGTACTCCCGGTTGCCGTCCTCATCGGGCTTGCCATCCTTGATCTCATTCTCCAGCGTCGTGACCTTGCCCTTTTGTTGGATGAGCTCCTTCTCGTACGAAATCTCCTCCTTGAGGAGTCTGGTGACGGAGAGGGTCGCGACGGTGAGCTGGGAGGGGGGTGCCATGGTGTCTGTGTCTGGTGGTGATACTGAGAAGTTTTGAAGTAGCGGGGTTGAAGATTCAGTTGATAGTATCAAGATGGGATGGAGGTGTTTTGCTGTGTTGAGGCGTGAGAATGGGTTCTTTTCGGTGAAGTAAGGTAAGTGAAGTTGAAGTCAGTCTTGTAATTACACACCTTCCTATGCTTTTCGCTTCGGCTTGGCTGATTTTCCTGCTTTTGTTTACACGGGATCCCGGCTGTTCCTGCTGCTTGGCTGGCTACGTCAAGGTGCACCGCAGGCTGGTGCCTTGGAAAGGGTTTTGGTGGGGGTTTCACGGCGGGGTGCATCCCGGCAACCTTACCTCATCTTAGCAACCCTATTTGGGAACTCTTCTTCTTCATGCAAGCACCTCACCCATAGGCATCTACTTGTCTCTCAAGGCACTACGGCTCAGCCTTTTGATGGCTGCCTACTGTTCACTATGTGTAGTCAACGATGCCTAGTCCGGGATCCTCTCTTCTCACCCTGTCCAAATTGATGGGATGAAGGACATTACGGACATTCAGAGTGAGAGAAACGTGTTCGCAATCAGCCATGGCTTATTGCACGTCACCGGCTGCACACTCTATGGGAAACGTTGAATACTTACATCAAGACTCACATGGGATTCTTCCCTAGCTGAGAGCATTGAAACTTAAGCTAAATTATCCGCAGTATAAGGAGCATGCACTGAGCAAATATGAGGCAACAGCAGGGAACAAACTCAGTACAGTGAAGATGCTTCATTCTCACTGGATATAGGTTCCAGTCGGCAATCGATTGCTCTCTGTACGGGACATCTTGAGCGACAATTTATTCGTCGGTGCGAGTACTTATCGGAGGGAAGTACGGATGATGGTGACAGTGGGTTTCGGTTGGGTGCTGCAATACATGAATTCCCATGTGTTGCACTGAAGTTGAGACGACATCATATAATGGCATTGTTGGGTTTAATAGCCATATGCATGAAGAAGCCAATGCGAGGGACGCATTTGGAGGTATTTTCAACGTCTTTCCGCCGACAACCTTACGAACGATGAACCTCCAACCAACAATCTATCTCAGCTTAATCAAAGTTGCAACAAGTACGATGCAAGCGCCATCACTGACATTGTCTCCTTTAATTTTCAAACTGATTACCTTTGGAGCTGATCTACTGGATATATACAGTATTTATTCAGTGTCATCACTCGTAGCTATGGTACGCCATCACCCTCTAGCTGACAATGCTGGACTCAAAACACACACCTCCGTAGCGATCCGAACCACTTCAACCCCCCCAACACCTCTAGTCCAACTCTACAAAGACTCCAGCCCCATCTTCGCAGCAAGCTCAACAGCATTAGCCGTCTCAGACACCATGGAAAGGAACGGCGAGTGCGCAGACTTCAACTTCAACTTGGTCGCCGCGGGCCCCAGGAGCTCCTGCATCTTCTCTTGCGCAAAGTAAGGAATCGCCTGGTCGTCCTCGCAGCCGACGTACATGCAAGCAATGTCGTGCCAGGGCTCGTACGTCACTACCTCCTCGAACGAGACCGTCGTCTGGTGCTTGAGGAAGGTCTTTGCCTTTTCCCTTGCCTCTGGGGGCACGTCTCCGTAGAAGGGCTCATCGGTGGCCAAGAGAAAGATTCGGCCGTCCTAGTATTATCTTGTTAGTATATCAAGACTCTCGGAGAATAAGACTGAGAAGCAAGTACTCACCTCTACTTTCGTCCACGGGGGGTACACATCGCCCGTCAAGCTCAAGATGCTCTGGCCCTTCTGTCCCACAAACGCAGCGAGGTACACAAACATGATGACGCCGCCGGGCTTGCCCTCCGCTGCCCTCTGCTTGATCCCGAACCCCTTGACGCCTTCAGCCGCCGCAAGACCGCCATACGAGTGGGCGACGAGAACGATCTGTTTGCCCTGGTCGGCGAGCTCTTGTAACACGGCAGCGGTGGCGTCCGCGTCGTCGTATAAGCCCTTGGTCGGCGGCTCAGAGCCGACGGATTGGTTCCTCACGCCGTGAGTCTCCCAGCCTCTTGTGTGTAGTTCGTCGCGGAAGTCTTGGAATTGCTCTGGCGAGTGCCATGCTCCTGGGGTGAGGACGATGACGGGTTTGCTCGACATTGTGGGAGGGTGTTGTGTTTGGTCTAGTCTTTTTTTTTAACAGTCGAAAGCAAGTTTGAGCCGATTACAAGAGAAGAAAGAGATCGTGGTTCGACAGACCCCATCGCACCATGGCAATTGGCTTTATATGACTTTCCATGTCTGTTTGGTCAGAGTGATATTACGTTGGCGGGAGAGGCGTCTGATGTGGACCTCGGTCATCTTCAACGGTAAGCACTATTGACGATCTTGGGAAGTGCGTGTCAAGACCAATCCTGTCAGCGCCCCAAAGTTCCTTAATTGTGGACTCGGTCTCGTGACATTGAGATTCGACATGGTCTGAGTAGAGTCGTCCTGTCAGACGAGGCCCCTCCCGCGTGCGTGTTAGGATTTGACGGAGTCTCGGGTTGTAGAATATGGCGACAAATGTCACCTAGATGGAGAACTAACCCATGTTGCCGAGGTAGAAGTCGAGACCCATCGTGGTTACTACCATGCACGTTTGGGGAGCTTACCGGAGCTCTCATGGTCGTACGCTTGTCTGGTTGACGACTGAGTATATGCACACTGTGAAGAGAGATGCGTACACATAGGAAAGGTATATGAGATGGATTGATATACTCGGAATAGCAACCAGCAATTAGTCTGTTGTTGTAAGTCGAGTAGGGGCTTTCTTCTCTCACTTTGTAGACTCTGTGCTACTGAGATGCGATATCCAACTTAGTTATAATTTTGCTATAAGTGTAAGATACCGCAATATCGCTATTCTCCTCTATGAGCTACAAGAACTTCCTGCCGATTTGTGAAAGTGTTGATTTGCACTTGGAGTATGCGATACATGCTGCCACATTCCAAGATGAGCGGGAGAGCCTCAAAAAACCAATGCAGGAATGACATAATAGGTAATTTCCACATAGGTTCCTTCACTGATGAACTAAAGACTATCACAACACGCTACTTTTAAAGGGGGGGGGGTATCATCTTCAAACACGATCAAATCTCGACAACCTCTGCTCCTCCTCGTGGTGCCTCTGATACACCTTGCTCAGCTCCTCCAAATCCCTCTCGTGGTCGCCGTTTCCGCCGGTACTCCCAACACCGTCAATACCGACGAACGACTCCGACTCAATCCTCGAAACCATCTTCCCATCCTTCAGGAACAGCGCCGGGTGGCACCCGACAATCGCCAGGAGCGTGTACCCGACAAGGAACCCCTCGAGCCCGAGAAACAGTCCCTCCCCACCGCCCCTCGTCAGCGGACCCCGAAAGCCCTCTGCGTACTCGGCGACCCTGAAACACATCCTGCCGAACAGGACGACCATGGCGGAAGGCACGGCGCCGGCGAAGATGCGAAAGCGGCCTGTCAGTGGTACGTAGCCTACATCGCGGTGGAAAGTCGTGTAGCCGTATTGTCGGTAGGAGCGGGCTGCGCGGAGGAGGATGAAGGCGAGGGACAGGCCAGCAGCAACCAGGGTTGCGAGCTGAACGGCCAGACCAGCCAAGACGATTTTCGCGCCCACGTCGTTGGGGGCGTACGAGTCCTGTGGTGAGAGGGTGTATGGCACGTTTTGGAAGCCGATGCCGAGGCCTACGATTTGGAGGAGGAGGGCGAGGCCGTCTAGCGGGAGGAGGATGGTGGAGTAGAGCTCGGGCTTGATGAAGGAGTGTTCTGTGCCTAGTATCCGGACCATTGGTGCGAGGCAGACGTAGATACTATCGAGGCGTTATCAGCATCCGATTTCTGCTGAGACTAACACGGTCTCGTGGGGAACTAGACATACCTTGAAGTGACAAAGATGGGAGCAATGGTAAGCAGGGCCTTGCTCTGCAGGAGAGGGTACACGGCCCAGGGATCGCTCCAGCCGGCCATGCGGTCCACCCAGCCCAGCAGCTCAAGCACGCAGGCGAGGGTAACGATGACTGAAAAGGGGGTTGTGGCGTGTCGTTGGGTTGATCGGGCGGCGACGGCGCCGTTGATGACCAGGCAGAGGGCTGAAACGGTAGCGAAGACGGCGCTGCCTGTAAGTGTTGGGCGGTAGCCGTACGGGCTGTCGGAGACGTCGCACGTCGCGAGCGTGCAGGGTGATGAACTCATGATGGCCGGTATGATGTCGATTATGAGTCGTCGGTGTAAGTGGTTTAGTGTCAAGATGAGATCGGGACGGGCATCAAGTTGGATTTCTAGAGTGAGGATCACACTCGTCGAGGCTGAGGGGTATTAGAGATGAGAGATACAGTAACACAGCAGAGCCCGACTGCATCGTGAATGACGGCGGTACCACCGTAGTTATATGTCTCAGCAAACATCGTGGCCTTGAGCTCGACTACCTGGTTCCAATGTTATAAAATTACAATCTCCCAACGATCCTCCATGGTTAACCAGATAGTTGGTAAGGTACGTAAAGTAGAGTTGTTGGTGATAGGTGTAGTACTCCGTAGTGTGGCCGTGTCTGCATCCTGCCTACCGCCAAAAGATCTAAGTTTAGAAACGGCGGTAGAAGTTTGGCGGGCTCTCTGCTTATTTCGGGTGGGGAACAATAGGAAGTGGCAGTGCAGTAGCGAACTTCGCCGGTCTTGCACCGCAGCACCGCACGGAAAAGTGGAGACACGCCGGGGCAAAGAACGCTATAGATTTCTACGTTATAGGCATCCGTAACCCGAAGACTGGGTTGGGTGAGCCGGGGGACCGGTTCCCAGTGTCGGTTCCCCAGGTCCCCCAGGTTCCTCATTCAATATTCTGCTCTAGCTTCATCTGGTTCTCCTCTTTTACGAATGCTTGAAATGAGATCCCTTTTTTAAGCTTACCAGACTTGACCGTAACGCCAAGCTAGTTGGCTTTTCCGTGGGGGGGGGGGTTGAACGGCTGCCTACCTCAACTTACCAGGTTCTCCGTAGGCACCGTCGGAAGGTGGATCAGGGCAGTCCACTGCGGCGCCTCTACCCTTGGCGCGCTTCTCCTCCAACATCGTGCCGCCTCAGCCCCCCATCCGAATGCAAGCACTTAGATCCGACTGCAAACTTGACCAACTAATTAGGGCCTGCATTGAGTCTCGTTGGTTTCATTGCCGCGCAGTCATGTCTCGGGATCCTTACCATCGGTTCTCACAACCGCTGCTCAACGCGCACTCAGATAGACCACCACATGTGTGTCTGGATCGTTTCCCCGTCACGGCGCTGGGTACACGTGCGGCTGCTTCACAATCAATAACAAGGCAAGTGGTTACCTTCCCCTTAGAAGCCCCGGGGCAGAGGATCGGAATCAATCTCGTTGTCTTCATGATATTAATAAATCCTTCATGGCTGTGAGAGATTCGAATCGTTCCACGTAGGGTGGTCTGCAGGACAGAAGCATCTTCTCATCAACCATGGGGTTTCTTATACCTACGACTGCAGAACCCTGCTGACTGCTGACTGCCACCAACTTCTCCGTATATTCATTGCGCTCCCTCCTCTGCCTCCGTCTCCTCCTGGGGAACCGGCGGGGTCTTCTCCTTCTCCGGCTTGCGACCAGTGATGCAGTAGCTGTTTTTTTCTTATCAGTACCTCGAAGCAACGAAATAATTTCACGGAAGAGACGGCACTTACACAGGGCAGTACGCGTGGTAGCTCTTGTTCTTGAGGTCGTTGCGAACGTCGATGAGGAAGACATTAACCTCGTCGCGCGTCCAGCCGAGCACGCGGGTGAAAGCGGCCATGCACAAGGCTTCGAGTGCAGTACCGAAATTTTCCAGCGTCCACAAGCCGAGCGTCTTGTATCTAGTCGAGTCCGTCAGTATTTATCTCCCTCTATTCCTATGTTATCTGAACTCTGTATGTTAGTTACCTCTCATCCTTTGGCCAGTCGTTGTGAGGCCATTTGAAGACGCGGAGCTCAACGTCGACGAAACCAGCCTCAATCATCTTGTTCTTCAGCGGGGGCGCCTGAACGAACACGCGACCCGACATTTCAGAAGCCTCCTGCAGCATGTTGACGTATCTGATGATCGCAGAGTCTTTGGGCAACATGTCGTCGTCAGATTTAGGCATGACCTCGGCTTCTTGGAGCTCTAGGTATCCACCAGGGGTAAGATTGCTGTTTCGATCAGTACAAGGAGTTCAACAGGAGGAAGGTTTTCGTTAAATAAATAAAAAAACCTCACTCATAGCATTGCTTGATGTACTTATCCCAGTCGTTAATAGCTGCGGTCATGAACCGGCTGTGGATATACTCGAAAGGCTGCGAAAAAGTCCAGTCTTCCTCCACATCGTCAACCTCGAACCTGACATTCGGAGGTAAGCTGGAACTGCTCATTAGCATTCGGAAGATGATGTGCCAATAGAGAGAAGGGTCTCATACAAGTCCGCGCGTACAGGCGAGAGGTCAACACCCAGCACCTAAACATTGAGTTAGATGTCAAGCTCTCTTCCACTCCATTACGACAAACCTGGGCCAGGCTGCAACGTACCTCGGACTCGGGGTGTAAGTCACCAAAATCCATAGCCCAGCTCCCAGTCCCAGCTCCGATGTCAAGCACTCGTCCGACCTTTGCGGTCTCGTCGCATTGTGGCGCCAATCCGAGTCTATCATCAAACGTGTAGAGGCAAATCTCGTGCTGCAAGTCTAGATCAACTTGTTAGAAAGAACAATCCCGGCTGCGCAACCTTGACGTTGGAGTTTTGCAAGATAGTAGCGTACCTAGCCGATCCGACTCTTTTTCGTCATTGGGCATGCCGTATTCTATTTGGATAAAGTTGGTCAGTATTACCTGATTCAGGATCTCATAACCATCCAGTGAGTTGTAACTCACTTCCGTCCTTATATCGGTGATATGTCCGGCCATTCTCGATGCGATAATCAAGAATGGAGGCAGCGAGACTGGTCGTCGAAGATGCCACGCTCTAAGCCATCGAATTAAATCAGCCAAAGACCAAAGCTCCATGCTGTTTTGCCTTCATTAAGCCGGATGGCGAGAGACTGGGCTCGTATGAGTACTACGATCCAACTTACCTCAAGTTCATATCCACTGTGATCAGACTCCTTTTAGCATGTAAGTATTTATGTTACATGAACTGGATATTCAAAGAAATACCTCAGCATCAATTACGACTTCGTGGTCAACCTCAGCCATGGTAACGCCCTAGTCTGTGATCAAGTATGCCTCGTTACACGGGGGATTAGTTTCGGTGGGAGTAAGGGTCTGTCTTCTCTCTCTTGCGCGTTTCCGGGCCCAATAATGTGGTAAGAAACCTCAACTAAGTATTGAGTCCGGCACAGACTATAGAAAAAAGAAACCTGGAAAGCGAGATAGAAACCTGACGGGGAGGTCGCTTCTTTTTGTGACAAGAGACATGACCGGTCAACTCTGCATCTGTGACCCCTCTTTCCTTGGCCTGAAGAGATGCAACCAACAGAGACTGGCGAGATGTCTCTTTCCCCTGTTTCCAGCGGCACAATGTGGAGCTCTAAATCCCTCAAGCGAATGAAATACTCGGTTTCTGTACCCGCTGCAGCTTTTGCGACTGCCCGGGAAGCAATTTGTGGAAGGAGGACGAACACATCCCGCGCTCCCCGGGACCCTTGCCAACCAGATGCTCCGTCTTTGGGGCCCCCGTCCGGATTGTCACCTGTCCACCTGCCTGCATTTGTGATAAACATGGGGACTCAAACGAAGCACTCTGTCTACTGAGGGAAACTCCTCCGATAATTGACGAGGCAAGTTCAAGTCGATTGCCAAGGTTCCTTGCACGCGTGGGTCACGCTAGATGTTTGTTGTCTCTAGAAGAAACTCGCAACATAGTCTCAATACCTCCAGCAAGCCGTGAGAGAAAAGCCTTTTCGAGTGTAAACGACCTATCTGAATTCACTGCCTGGCTGCCGTCTTTCCTGACGCAGCAGCCCCTCATAAGGCATTCGGTACTTTGCCAAGTCAGAGTTAGCCATTTCAGCGGTATCGCAGTGTGGGTTTGCGCCTGTTGAATTGAACGACCTTGATCTCGAATCAGTGGACCATGAGTGCATTAATCTTTGCAAAAATCTTGGTTTCAAAAGTTGCGCCTTTCAGCAATCCCCGTTGTGCCTATCTACCGTAGCCAATCTTTAGAAACCGAAGCTATGAAAACCAGGAAAACGGAAGATTTATCTTGATCGTAGGAAAGAGGTAATAAGTCTTGCCTCATAGCTGCGTATGTACAGTGCCTCCAATATCTACAGCCTTTTCCTTCGTTGTCATACCTAAGAAAGTGGATGTATATGACTTCACCCTTCTATGGTCTCCGCCCTATCATACAGTATCTTGCAAACGATCGTTAGTAAACGGACGTACAGCAGCTACCATTAGGGCTGGCTGGCAACTCACATTCGAAAGTAAGCGTGGTGATCCCTATTCTTCACATCATGGCGCACATCAATAAGAAAACCCTCGACCCTAGCCCGAGACGACCCAAGGACGCGCGTGAAGAGAGCCATGCACAACCCCTGAAGTGCACTGCCAAAGTTCTCCTGCGTCCAGAGACCCAATTTCTTGTACCTAGTTCGCCTTAGTACTCAAGTCCCAAGAAAAATGCCTCTTCTAGTCAAAGATGGATGCTGTAGGGGCGGTATATATGTATAAAGCTTACCTATCTGCTTTTGGCCATCCGTTGATGGGCCATTTGTACATCTGGATCGAGACGTCCACGAAACCGATCTCGGTCATGAGATCCGCGAGCGTTGTGATGTCGACGTAGGCACATCCCGCGGCTTCCGCGCCGCTCTGGAGGAGCTCGACGTATTCAGCTAATGCGCAGTCCTTTGGGAAGGTATTATCGTCGGATTGAGGGTTGATATCGGCGTCTTGGACTTCAAACCATCCGCCAGGGGTAAGATGACTGTGAAGAGAGAAAAAGACTGTTACTTCTTGGTCGCTGTCTTCGGAAATGTGAAGAAGATTAGAAGAAAGTCAGAGCTTACTCGTAAGCGGATTCGAAAAACCTTCTCCAGTTGTTGATGGCTCCAGTCATGAACCGACTGTGGATATAATTAAAGGGTTTCGAATATGTCCAGTCTTCGTCAACGTCGTCAATCTCGAATCTCACATTTTCCGGCACACTGCATTCGAAGGACATTTTAGTATAAAAAAGACGTCATTGCACACCCGCTGGCTCTTACTATTCTGGCTGATTGGGCGAAAGATCAACACCGTAGACCTGATTGCAACATCGAGTAAGGAGCTGGCCACGACAGATGTAGAATTGGTCAGAATACCTCAGCCTCGGGATGCAATTCACCAAAGTCGATGGCCCATATGCCCGTACCAGTTCCCACGTCGAGGACACGCCCAACTTTGGCATCTACATCGCATGGCGGGGCCCGTCCCAGTCTACCGCCGATAGTGTAGGTAAATATCTCGTGCTGCATGTCTAGTCCAGATGTTTAGCGACTGCCTTTTGGTAAGAGGAGGGAAGCCGTGAAGCAAACCTAGTCTATCACTTTCCGACTCGTCGTTCGGGAGCACATATTCTGATTACACCGTAGTTGTCAGCCAGGAATCTGTTACCCCATTGTGCCATGTAAGGACACGAAAGCTAGCTCACTGCCATCTTTGTATCGGTGGTAAGTCCTGCCATTCTCGATTCGGTATCCCAAAATCGATTGACTGATGCTCATACTGGATGAGGCTATGCCTTGGAACACCGTTAACTCGTGGCATCGAGGGGGGGGGGGGGGGGGGGGGGGGGGGGCGATTAGCCGAGGCTTGCCTCAATCTCACAGCGTTCGTCTATTTCCTTCCGTTCTGCGTCAGTCTGACATTTCTCATGAGACCAGTTGAGTTCAGTCCATACCCCATCGTCGGCAGCGATGACTTGATATGCCTCCCACATCATGAGTGCGCGGGATGCTAAGCAGGAAGGATGATGTGAGATGTGGAGCTGCTTGTAAAATGCAGCACGGGCGACGACAAATATCGCAACGTCAAACAGGCTCCGTCTGATGGTCTCTTCAACGAACCTCCGCAAAGAAAATCATAGGTACGAGTAGATGAAATGTCGAAAACGGAACTTCTTGGGGTTTTGTAACGAAAGACAGGCGCCTGGATGGTCAATCATTTCCAATCTTCCTCTTTGGCGTTGGAACCCCCCAAAACCAACAGAGCAAACCAACCTGCATCATGCACGTCGACGGCGATGCTGCCTTCACTGCTCACTTACAGGGGTTGGTTCTCTTGTGGATATGAACCAAGGCACAGGCGAATCAGAACACCGGCACTCCAAGCAACCCCAGAAGCGAAGGCGCCAGGGGACCGGACTCTTCACTTGATTTCGTTGTGATGCATGGAGATAGAGGCAGGCCTGGGCCCCCGATCCACCCCTCCCATTCATTCCATTGTTCTGTCTAGTTTGCTAGGTGGTTCTAGATGCAAGTTATCGATTCGGCGCATTTGATTGTGAGAGCTGACACTGGGCAGGAAGGCCTCATGTTTCTTCAACAATCGTGAGAAACATCTTGCGCGTTGCGCAATTAGACAGAATCATGCTCATTTCTCCTGAAGCGGCCTATTTATTATACTGCTCATTTCAGGCTCTAGGAACAAGCCATCTTCACTAAACAAAGTAGATGCTTCAGTAATAATCCAGTCCGACTGAGCATATATCAGGTACGTTGTCTATCGACCGAGGAGGTCCTTGTCAACACTTACCAATCCATTCTCAAGCCTTCGGCATTAGACGACGTGCTGCTCGAGTATAGCATCCTTGATTGAAGCAGCAAAACATTGACCCGGCGCAGGTCGGAGCTGCAAACGCGGTTCGCCAATATGGCAACGTTTGCCTCCCTACTCACCCGTGCATCATTTCTAAACAAGGATTACTATCAACGCCGAGCCAAAGTAGACAAAAAGGGCAAAATTGGGCGTCCCGCACCAGGGTGCCGAGAGAAAGAGACTGCGTCGAGGGGGAATCGAACCCCCGGCTCCCCGACGCTGCTGGATGGCAACGGAGAATTTTACCACTAAACCATCGACGCTGTTTAAAATCTTGGGGCCTGGCAGACCTATGGAGGCGCTCAGGGGCGGCCGCGCGCAACAATCCGTAGCAAGTGGGGAGGCAAACGAGACGTTCAAGCTCGCTCTCTGAATCCCGAGGTCTCGAGGCACCCGTGTCTTGAGAAGCCTGTGTTTTGATAATTTGATGGGTTAGAATTCAGACAAACTACCGACTCAATTTCGACTTGCAAGAGGCAAGGTGCAGAAGCACACAGCGTATCCACTGAGGCCATTTGCCCTGCGACGAAACATGATCTCCAACCAGCGAAAAGACAGCGGATGATATCCCAAAGCGGTCTAACGCTGCACGAAACATGACTGCAGTCTGCAAAATACAATTAATCATTGAGTCAACTTAATTTTGTCTTAGCTGGCGGCAGATCCGAGCCACAGGAACGGTTGATGGTGACTCATAGTGACTGGCCCGGGCTTTGCATGTAGGTGAGGTGGTAACCTCCTGCTTGTTTTGTCAGCCTTACAGCGGGCGAACAGTGGCAGTCGCCACCTACACCTGTCGGGTCCAAGCCCGGAAAGGGACCTTCTCCTAAAATTTTAGCGGGTCCACTCATCCGAACGCTTAAGTCCGCCCCGTCGACTTCACTCCATCAGAGTCTTGGACTTTCTCTGTTGCGGAATCCCTTTTAAAAGTCGCCTCCCCAGGTCCGGGTACCGAGTGGAAGTGGAATCTTAGATCTCAATTCACTTCGTTCCTTTCACGTTCTCCTTTTCTTGCGAGGGCGCGAGGCCTCTTGGTTTACTTCCGCCGCCTATTCTGGCAGCACCTGTACGAAGACGCTGTATTTCAAAAAGCGCACTCACGATTTCATCAACACATCATCACATCATCACGCCAGCTAGAGTGTCGAACATGTCGGACGGTGGTGCAACACAGACCCAAACCCAGACGCAGAACCAAGTGGGCTCGTCGGCTGGAGGAGGTTCTCAGCCAAGCCGTCGAGGTAGGTCAGGAAGAGGGAGAGGAGACGGAGGCAACGGCCGTGGTGGCCGGCGAGGTGGCGGCAGGAATGCTAATCCTCAACCTCGGAACCAAGCTCAGTCAGCACCGGCTCCTGAAATTTCAACAGATAATGCACCCGAATCAGAGCCATCAGGATCGGGGAGGAGAGGCCGCGGCCGTGGTGGTAATCGGGGCGGCCGGCGAGGTGGAGCGGTCCGAGGTGGTATGGTGTCGGGAACTCAGCGAACATTTGGAGGCAGTCTGACGACCGCCGCGGATTCAACCGCGTCGGATGCACAAGGACTGAGTGCAGACGCCCCGGACTTCATTCCTGGGCAGCCTGTTGTCCACAGAGGGTACGTTGATATTCGCCACATTCTCAAACATAGGCTGACTGATATCGTCAGCAAACAAGCTGCCCCGAAGCAAAGGAAGCCGCAGTATCCTTTGGCACCAAAATCTGTAGCTGCAGACTTGCCCACGCGCATCCATGAGGATATCAGCAACGGCCAGTATGAGTGTGTCATCTGCTCCAGTGAAGTGCTGCGGCCATCTCGAGTATGGTCCTGCGGGCTATGCTGGACGGTGCTCCATTTTTCTTGCGTCAAGAAATGGTTCACGAGCCAGCTCAAGAAGGATGACGACACTCGCTCCTGGCGCTGCCCCGGCTGCAATTCTAGTTTAACCGAGGAGCCGAGTGCTTACCACTGCTGGTGCGGGAAGGACATCAACCCTCGAAATGTTCCTGGTCTTCCTCCTCACTCTTGTGGACAGACCTGCTCAAAGCCCAGAGCAACATGCCCGCATCCATGCCCTCTCGAATGCCACGCCGGCCCATGCCCGCCATGCACCCTCATGGGGCCCACACAGTCATGCTTCTGTGGCAAGCACGAAGTGACGAAGCGGTGCACCGAGACGGACTATGGAAACGGATGGAGTTGCAAGGAGATCTGCGGAGACTTGCTGCCTTGCGGCGAGCACTTCTGCGCTACCCCTTGCCACTCTGGCTTATGCGGAAGCTGCGAGATTCCCGTGCAGGCAAGATGCTATTGCGGAAAAGAGCACAAAGAAATCCCCTGCGATCGCCGCGACGACATTCAGATGTCATTCAACTTTGGCCAGGTCTCCAGCTCGGATTCTGAGGATGTTTCTGAGGACAGCTGGTTTGATGGCTCATTCGACTGCGGAGCGACTTGTGGGAGGAAATACGATTGTGGTATTCATGATTGTGAGAAGACCTGTCATTCGCAGGACGAGGTGCCGGCTCATTGCCCGTCGGCTCCAGATGTTGTCCTTGATTGCCCCTGTGGTAAGACACCGTTGGAAGAGCTCCTCGACCAGCCGAGACAGTCTTGTAAAGACAAGATCCCCCACTGCAAGAAGACCTGCGACAAGACCCTTCTTTGCGGTCACCAATGCATGGATACGTGTCATAGCGGTCCTTGTAATCCATGCTTCCAGAAGCAGGATATTTCTTGTCGATGCACCCGTACTGTGAGCAGGTCTCTCTGCCACCAGGGAGAGATCGCGACTCCGATGTGTTTCAAGGTCTGCCAGGCCCAGCTCAACTGCAGTCGTCACAAGTGTGGAGAGCGCTGCTGCACAGGAGAGAAGAAGGCAATCGAGAGACAGGCCGCCAGGAGGAAGCACAGACAGCAGCAGGCTCCGGACGAGGTGGAGGCAGAACACATTTGCCTCCGCGTATGCGGAAGGACACTGAAGTGTGGAACTCACCAGTGTTCGCAAATCTGCCACGCTGGGCCATGCCCAAGCTGCCTCGAAGCCGTCTTCGAGGAGATCAGCTGTGCCTGCGGCAGGACTGTCCTGCAACCTCCACAGCCGTGTGGAACCAGGCCCCCTGAATGCCGCTTCGACTGCAGAAGAGCACCTCCTTGTGGCCACCCCACGGTGAAGCATAACTGCCATCCCGACGATGTCGATTGTCCCAAGTGTCCCTTCTTGGTAGAGAAAGCATGCATCTGCGGCAAGCAGAGGATGAAGAACCGGCCTTGCTGGCTGGAGGGGGCTCGATGCGGTCTGCCTTGTGGTAAAAAGCTCAAGTGCGGGTAAGTAACATAGATGTCCAACACAACTGTTGTCACATGTACTGACCAGAATGCAGTACCCACACATGTAGAAAAGAGTGCCACGGTCCTGGCGAATGCGAAGATGCTGATATACCCGGCTCTCACTGCGCCCAGTCCTGTGGCAAGACGCGGAAATCTTGCGATCACTCGTGCCAGGATTCATGCCACGCTCCCTACCCGTGCAAGGAAGACCGGCCGTGCCAGAGCAAGACCTTCATCACTTGCGACTGTCAGCACCGCAAGAAGGAGGTTAAGTGCATGGCCACCAAGACCAACCCGACTCCGGATCGCGACGTCCTGAAGTGCGATGACGAGTGCCTCCGTCTCCAGCGCAACCAGCGCCTCGCTGTCGCTCTTAATGTCGACCCGGACCACAATGACGATCACATCCCTTACTCGGACACGACGCTCAAGCTCTTCCGTGAGCTCTCTCACACCTGGGCCCAGAACCAGGAGCGCGAGTTCCGCGTCTTCGCCTCGGAAGCTTCCGAGAAGCGTCTGCGCTTCAAGCCTATGCCTTCGTTCCAGCGCGCCTTCTTGCACGCTCTTGCCGAGGATTTCGGCTTTGACTCAGAGAGCCAGGACCCAGAGCCGCATCGCCACGTCTCCATCTTCAAGACGCCGCGCTTCGTCGCCGCACCGAAGAAGACGCTGGCGCAGTGCGTCAAGATCCGCACCGACGCGGTCAAGACAGCAGCAGCCGCAGCCGCAGCATCATCAGCGGCGGCCACCGCAGCGTCGGCACCGGAGCCCTTCAACGCCCTACTCCTGTCGGCCCCACGCTTCGGCCTGACCATTGACGAGGTCGAGTCCGCCCTCGCCAACCACCTCAAGGCCTACAACACTCTTTCCTTCACCACCGCCTTCCTCCCATCGGAGGAGATTCTCATCCGCGCGGTTCCCGTTACCTCATGGGGCACCACCCCCTCGGCTATCGAGTCCTCCCTCGCGTCCCTGAAACCCCTCGTCGTGCAGACCGTTACCAAGGACGGCATCGCCGCGGCCGCGACAATGGTCCACGCCGACACGAGCCTCAACGTCCTCCGCCGCGAGGGGACGTCGGCCAACGGCAGCAGCGGCGGGTGGAACGCCGTCGTCGGCCGCGCCGCGGCACAGCGTAGGATGGTTGCGCCCAAGCCCGCCGCCGACGCGCGTCCCGCCAGCGGTTTCGTCAGCTTCTCCAAGCTGGCGCGCAAGAAGGTCGTCGAGGACTCTGTTGCGGATGACTGGGAGGCTGCCGCTGACAGCGATGAGTGAGGCGCGGCGCGGCGCGCAAGTTTTTGCTTCGGCCAAGGAAGTTGTGAACTTCTGGTCTCTTGATCTTGGATGCAAACAAGGAGAGGCTTGGCATGGCGGAGCTTGCAGCGTTGTTCGCCTTGCTTCTCCACACCTCCCTTGTGGTTGTGATGATGTGTCTGAAAGGCAATGACGGAAAGGCAAACATTTGTTATGGAGGATAGACGGATGACGTGGGATATCAGGTTCTCCAGTTTATCACCAGCGAAAATAGGATACAATAGCGTTATATGAAAGAAAACATGAAAACCGTGAAGAGGAAAAAAAAACCCCCGAGCAATGAAACATGAAGATGGGCCACAAATGTTATGAATTTCGTGATTTCAATGTAGGACGTGACGCCATGGTTCTCACCATCTTCCCCCCCTTCCCCGTCCATCACGATAAGCCATGCCCCCTCTTCCCCCCTCCAGTCCTTCTTACCCCCATGAACCCCGCGACATCTCACATCCAATTCTCTGCCACGTCAGAGAAACACTTACAGAAAGCCGCGGGTGGATGGACGGGGACACAAGCGCAGCCCCCGAAAACGAAGACAAACCCTGACCCGGTTCCGTCCTATCCTATCCTCTCCCCAAATCCGACGAACTCAGCTCGTCGCTGGCACAAAAGACGGAGAAAGGTGTCATGGAGATATCCCCGCTCTTACGAGCGAGAAAGGGAGCAAGGTTGACCCCAGTTCCGGGCGATCGTGATAAACTCCTGGCCGTCGAGCATCATTCCGCAGATCGTCCCCTTTTCCCCGGCGACCCGGACTTGGACATTTGACGTTTGACGTTTGCCAGACGTCTGACGGTACCCAGAAAGGGGAAGGCGGGACGGAATGAAGTTCGAGGCCGGTGACTGTCAATAGACCTCAGTGCTGTTCGTGGGGATGAAAGTTATCTGCCAAAGGGCAATTACACAGCCTGGCATCCCTTGCCCTCAAACCCCCGTTGAAGACATGGCCAACCCCCGTTCAGATCAGCATGCCACCATCGCCTCACTCCAAACCTCACATCTTGACTGGTTACTTGGCTGCTCGTACTCATTGCTTCATTATATTTATGTTGCGTCTAAGATATGCTGTCGCATCCCGGTCCGTCATGGGAGCGGGGGGTATCATTCTTGAAGGACCAAAAAGGTGGTTTAGAGAGGAAGATCACCCGCTGCCGCGTACTGTTTCTCCGTTCCATGCTTCTTCTGTTGCCGCAGTGTATCCAGGTGATCGGCGCCTTCATGTGTGGCGACAAGGGGGCATTATATCTACTCGTTGTCCTTCGTGGATGAACTCCTGCAATGGAGCCGGCGAGACACGCCGGTGAAGACGGACTGCCGGACTGCCTCTGCCTCTAGTATTTGAGCCACGTGCTGTTGAAACCGTTTCTCGGTTAGCAAGTGCTCGTCCTAGAGGCGCTGCTTCTCCTCCTTGCTTGTCACGCCGGTGACATTGCCAAGAAAGTCCGAGATGGCTTCGAAGTAACCCTCCTCCAAAACACTCGAGTTATGGTCGCCTGCGGGCAAGGGCTTCCAAGTTTTGGAGGGCGCGGCAGAGAGTTCGTAAAGTTGGCGCATGTGACGGGGTCTAAGACATGTGTTAGTCTACAAGAGGCAACATGTGAGACACGCAAAAAAAAAAGCCGGTGTAGAGAAAACCATATCAGACTCCATGTCGTAAAATTCAAATCAAGCGTCCCGAAGGACTCATATTTTGTGGGTGGTGACTTGCGATCATCATATGGTGTAGGAGAAGCGGGAAGGAAGGGTTGCACGGCACTTACGGTACGATCTCGTCCTGGAGACCAGAGAGAAACAGGATCGGCACGGATGTGATGCTGGAAATGATTGATTCGCTTGGCCAGACCTGGTGGCAGAGAAGCGTCAAGTACTTTGCCGGTGGCAATACGGAAGGGATTAGCTTGCGCATGGAGAGGAAGGTGTTCTCCAAGATCAGGCCGGCAATGTCCCCATCTTTTTGGTTCTTGGATACCAGTTTGATACTGACAGCGCCGCCCAAGCTTTGTCCGTAAACAATCAGCTTATGGTTGCTCGTCTCTGCGCGAGATCGGAGGTAGTCGAGGGCGGTTTGCGCGTCTAGGAAGAGACCGGATTCGTCTGGCTCTCCTGTTGATAGGCCGTAGCCGCGGTACTCGAGCATGAATACGTTGCAGCCGATAAAGTTGATAAGCATACGGGCGATTGGCAGGCGGTGGCCAATGTTACCCGCGTTTCCATGGAACATCAGGATGGTGACATTGGAGTTTTTTCCACCACGCGGGCCGCGGATGTAGAATGCCGACAGCTTCTCGCCATCGTTTGTGGGGATGACGAGTTCTTCGAAATCCTTGATGCCATACTGTGAGGGTCTTGGGACATCGGTTCGAGAGTTTGCGGGCATATGCGAGGGGTAGATCAGAGCTCTAGAGCGGCACAGCACAAGTCAGTCAGTCTGTTTGCTGAGGGTGGGATAAGGAAGTGTCACATGGACATTAGGGTGGAGGGACCTACTTTTGCTTGAAGTAGAGGAGGCTAGTCAAGACAGCTGCGATACCCTAGGTAGAAGAAGACGAGTTAGCCTGCAGCACTAGCGAGGCGAGGCAGTCGAGGCACGACCTCGGGCGAAGGCCCAAGAGGAGGGGTTGCAGACAGGAAGGTTAAAATATCGGTGTGAGAAGATGGGTAGCCCGTAGGACGAGGAGGCGGGAATGGCCATACCGTCGAGGCTATGGCTGGTAGCCGCATGTACGCGCCAATAGTACTGAGCATAGACGCCGTCTGCTCGAGGTAACTGTTGGAGGACGGCGATGCTAAATCGGAAGAGGACATGGTTCGAGAGAATCGTGGGCAGGGCGAGAGGGAAAAGGCGGAGGAAAATTATATTCGTATTGCTGCTGGACCGTTCGGCGAGCCCTCAGAAAGGAATGGGCCTGTTTGATGGGGAAGGTAAGGCCCGAAGCGAAGAGAGAGAGCGGTGCAGAGTCCAGGAGAGAGCGGAGTAGCCTTGCCTTGGCCCTTGGTCGCGGAGGCGGTGGAGGCCGATGCTAGCGGAAAGTAGGTACCTCGGTAGGTAGATTGGAGGGGAGCGGGTACCGAGTGCGTGTTAGGCGTAGTCGATTGTCGGCATGAGGCGACTACGGACCTGGACCTGGTACTGGGATCGTCTGGGCAGGACGCGGACGGACGAACGAACAAGGGTGGTGAACCCTGGCCGCGGGAAAGACGCGGGAAAGAGAAAAAGAGGTTGCTAGTCGAAACGAAAGCGAGGATCGGGAAGCTGATTTGTGTATTCGGTCGATAGTCAGATGTGTCAGTATCCACAGACGTGCCGTTTGTGAGATGCCGCTAGGTGTATCTAGCGGCAGTTAAGGTGTTTGCGCAGGAAGGTCGATATCCAGCTATGCTATGGAGGATGGTATTGACGGCGTGAGAGGTGGGATTGAAGGTGGTGGTAGTAGTGGTGATGGTGGTGGTGCGGTTTGTCTTTAGCAAGGCCGCATGATGCAGGTCAGGAGGGAGCAGTGCTGGGGCGGGATCTGACAGCCGTGCGGCCGGGATGGATGGCCGATGGCTGTCTACTAAAGAGATGTGGCTGCGGACGGCGGTTCAATGCAGACACACACGGATAGGCACTGTTGTATGAATTTCCGTGGTGTCCAGTCTTGGTGTTGAATCGTGGGATGATGTTGGGGGGAAGAGGGGGCTAAGAAGTTGTGGCGGGTCTCCTGAGGCTTGTCGATGCGGCAGGTGACCTGATTTGGTGGTAGGCCGCAGGGCTGCTTTCGGAGGAGCACGGCAAACAAGGATCGCAAGTTGAGAAAGGCTTGCCGGATGGAGCTCAGTGGCGGAGGTAATAATCAATGTGAGAATTGGGAGAGAGTCAAGAGATACGATGTGCGATGCGATACGATGCGATCGGTAATGATGGTGGGTAGTTCAAACTTGATAGGTGCTAACAAACGAAACGAAGCGACGAGTCCGATGTGACTTCCACTTCCGCCATCCGTTTCTACTTTGAGTTACGTCCGAGAAATAATGGCTTTAATATCCGTCCTTAGGTTCGGAGCAAGTGAGACTGTGACGGAAGCATAAAAGCGAGGATTGAATTCTTTGAAAGCTTATGAGATGGCCGAGCAACAAGTACGGGAATGATAGGTCGGCAATGCCTCACTGCGACGGGAGCAAACGCGTTCGGGGTCGTGTGTGGTATCATTGTGTTTATGTGTAAAACGCGACTAGCATGAAGCAGCAATAGACACCACTCGATCTCCCTGCATGAAGCTTCATCGACAGCCGTGTGCCTTGATGAGGAGATGCTTGGTTTGCACCTTTGCAGGCTTTGCAAGGTGTAAGATAGGTTGGAACTTACACAGTAGGATAAAGTAGCTCAGGGGGGCGATCAGTGCGAATGTCACCGCTTTCTGGCGTTGAACTAGACGAATTAGTGACGGGAAGCAATCCTACATTACATCAGTAGCTTGCACGCGTGACCTATCGGACTGCTCCTGCTGCTTTGAAAGTATCAAGATGAAGAGGTACTTCCATATTACCCTAATACTCCGTACAGTAGAAAGTATTTCATCTGGGACCACCAGGTGCGTCGTGGGATGACCTAGCGGGAACCGGTGATTGGGTAAAGCCCGGCAAGAAAGGGGGAAGCAACGACGGCGATGGGAGCTTCCCGATGAAAGGCGTTCGTGGCTTGAAGTGGAGCTGGAGACGAGCTGTCAACATCCACCTCACCGTTCACCGTCCTACCGTCTACGTAAGAACATACTTGTACGTCCACCGCCCACAGCTCATTGCACATCGTCTTTCACAACAGCGGGGGACCACGTCTTCCATTCCAGAGGAATTGGGGTCTCCGAGCCATCCAGATGCCGCGCCAGAATAAAACAGGACAGGTGAGACTTCCACGCTTTACTTTTGGCTACCTCAAGGTACAGGTGGGTACGGAGTATGGGTTTCAATGGTCATGTCTTGGCCCCGTCCAAGGTTCGACTTGACCTTTGAGCTTGACCGCGAGCTTGGCGTCCCTCCGGCGGGCTTCGGCCTCCTTGCTGTTGACTTGAGGGATCATGAATACCGTCTACGGAGTACTGGCGTGGAACAACATGATATGTTTCTTGACGAATGGCAAGCTCTCTCCAGCTGCAGCGTTTGACCTAGGATTTCCCATTCGCTCCCGCCTCGCATTGCATGCAGTGCAGAGCAAACATGCTTTGCAAAAGCTCTGCAAGTCATTTCGACATCCACATCTCGGCCCCTCTACGGATACAGTAGTACCACGAGTACTTGGAAATCACATTTTCCCAGCCTTGCGTCAGTTTACTGCCCAGAGACGCCGGGGGCCAGGGCGAAGCAAGGGCGTGTGCATGAGGAGACCGTTCCAACAACGCAAAAGCAACGACGAAGGATCTCCGGCAAGCAGCAAGCGATCCGTTTCTCGGGTAAAGACCAGCCTCTACGAGGTACGAGCAGCAAAGCCACGAACCTTCCGCAAAGAACGGCATCAGGATCAGGAACAGCTCCTCTACTATTGTAGTCACCCTACGTGCCTACATGCAGCAGCGGAAGCTCTTAGCACCCACAGCCGCCAATGGCATGGACCAACCCGTCACCAACGCTGGCCGTTGGATTGCTCGTCAACTTAGACGCGCGCTTTGGAGGGCGCTGAAAATATATCTCGTCTTGGGCAAATCGGCGATGCACTGCAACCGGGGGCCCGTCATGCAGCCCGCTAATCAACGTACCAGAGGACGATGTGACGGCCCTGTGGGAAATGCTAGGTCAAGGCCCAACGCGGCGGCAGCAGCCGTTCCGTCCCTCTGGGACCGTCGTCGTCGTCATCTCCTTTGATTCGCGGCGGCATCCAATGCCATCCAGACGGATAGGGGCAGGCACATCTCGTCTGGTCACTCTGGTGAGTATGGTCTCGTCCGACCCCCGGCCTCGCCTGGTCTTGCATGATGCTGCTTGTCCGCAGGAGTCAGAACAGCAGGAAGACGCAAGGTTGAAGGGGTTTTGTCACCCGTGGCCGTGCTGAACCACCCTGGTCATGGAAGAAGATGCAGAAGCTCTTCTCTCTGCGGAGGTGCCCAGAATAGAAGCAGAAGCACCACCCGTTTTCTTCGACTTCTTCTCGGCCCCTGAGTCGTCGTCTGCTAAGCAAGGGTTTCTCGTCACCTCCCGTGAAACCGCGGCAGGGCGGGAATGGGGAGAGTGAAAGACAGGCCAGCTCTGGCGACCGAGACTACGCTACCGCCCGAGATCAACAGCCCCGCCGGGTCGGTCCCATGTTCCCTTACTGGCGATGCCTTTACTCCGTACTTCGTACCCATGCGAAGCCGCGCACTTCCTAGTTCACGATATAAGGCCGAACGGCGATGCATAGCGTACTACGTGTCACTGTGAGGTGAGGGAGTTAGTGTAGGTGCCTGCGTAGGTAGGTTCAGGGCAGAAGCACATCTTACAGCCGAATCAGCTAGAGTCCCGTCATTAGCAGATATGAACCCACAAGTTTAGTACCTAGGTTATTAACTTTGCATACCCACGTTCCTCTATTTCCACCTGGTCTCGCCTTATGAAGAAATGGGGGGGGGGGCGGTCTACAACAGCAGAATCAGAAGGGACTTTTCCAGCGACATCGCAGCATTGAGAAGGGACTCTACGTACACTGGAGACCATTCAACCATCAGGTAAGGGACTGCATTTGCAGTGAACATCTCCAGATTTGCCCAGCGTCCATGTTCCCGCAAGAGACTGGAGTGAGGCGGACGGATGTAACCACCCCCACCGTCCCAAACTCAGGTATCATGATTGGATCGCTGGAGACGATCTGCTATCAGCAGACAAGCCAATGATAGAGGCGCATCAGCTGGGTTTGGGGTCCAATGGGCCACTCGAGACCATTGAATGTTGCTGAATGACCTTTGTTCCCCTGGGATACCGCCTGTCGACCCTGGAGGGAGTGGGCGTGGATCTAGAAACAACATGTCAAGCTGCCCAACCTGACAGTCACTTCCGAAAGATGCACTCCAGTCTCCAGTCCCCAAGTCCCCACGCGAAAAGAATCTGAGGAGGGGCCCAAATCCGAAAGGGACGAAAGGCAAGGGTGGGAGAAGGAAGAAAAAAAGTAAAGAAAAATTCGCTGCGAAAAGTTTCGGCCGATTCCACTTTGTTTGCGTAGAATTTGCAGTGCAGCCAGCTCTCAACCACACTCATCTCTACCTTACTTGATAATTTTTCTCTCCCAACTTCATCCGTGGACCAGAGATCCAACTGTTCGGCACGCGCAAAGCTTCAGTCGGTTCGGACGAGAGCCCAAAGTAATCTCAGCATTAATCCAATAATTCACAGCACGGCCGCCATCTGCCATTTGGGTAACTTTGGGACCAAAGTCTCTGCGCCATTGCCCCTCGATTCGGCACGCCACCATCAGCTCTCGTCCATCCTCTCTACCCACCAAAAAAAGTCATAACCACAACACGACACTCCCGCGCGACCAACCCTGGCCCCCAGCTCAGCTCAAACCTTCTCAGATTGTATTCATTCAGCAGAGGTTCAGGAATTCGCAGTCACTAGTCGCTTTCTTGCGCTCTTGCCGCTCCATTGTTACGGACCGTTTCTGGATCAGTTGCTTCCTTCTGGGGAACAGACAAGATTGTGTTGCGTTCCTGCTGCCCGTTCCTCATTACACTTTTCCCCGTCTCGCTTTCTCTCTCACTTTGAGTCTGCCATCGGTCTCTCTTTATTACTTTTCCAACACAAAACCTGAAGCGCGAAACACCACACTTCACCCCTCCATTCCCCCTGCCACCCCTGCCGACCAAACGCGCCCCCTTGGACCCCTCCAAATAAGGGATTCCAACATTGGAGATCGACGGCACAGCTGCGTATTTGAGACGCGAAACCAACACGGAGAGGAGCCCCTGACATCTCAAGCTGAACTCTGAAGTTTGATTCTTTCTGGTCTCCTTCTCAGTGCTCACTCCATTTTCCCCCGACCAAGCCGAGAGACAGAGAGAGCCCATCATCTCGCCATCTCTTATCATTCCCATCCATACTACAGCTCACTCCACAACACACACGAGTACGACCGGCGGCGCTTCCACCAAGCACCTCATTAACTCATCTCACTCTCACTCTAACCCTCACTCTCACACACATACACACACCACCCACCTCTCGGGCTGTGTCTATCAAACCCGCTAGTTTCTCGCACAGCCGCGACGGACTACCAACGTCTCACCACTCCGCTTTTCAAAGCTCCCAGACTCTTGGACTCTTCCCCAAATCCTCCAACAACAAAAAAAAAAAAAAAAAAAAAAAAAAAAAAAAGAGAGTCCCGTCTTGGTCTCGTTCTGCCCTGTCCCCTCTCTCCTGGTTACAAGGCACGTCCCGGCTTGCATTGCAGTCCGCTTCTCGACGATCCCCGAGCCCATCAGTCCCGGCCAGTAAGGCGACGTCCTGCTTCTGCATTCTACAAACCGACATACACCACCATCCACCGTCCACAACCGCCAACCAAAAGACACTGACGCTCGCACTCGTCGCCTCCCATATCGACCCTCCCCATTCACCTCCGTCAAAAACCGCGACCCAGTCAGAACCCTTCTCTGCCCAACCCTCGCGCCCAATAGAGACCCCCATCGCAAGACCAACACATCATCATACAGCGTCGCTCCCTTCACCATGGTGTCCTTTTCGTGTGAGGTAAGCCGTCGCCGCCCTCTTTCTCTCGTTCCGTATCTCTCTCTTGCTTCCATTTCCCTTCCCCATGATCCCGTCTTCCAGGGTCCCCCTTTACTACTTACCTCTCCGTACCTCCCCCCGTCGGTACCCCCCCCCCCGAAGATCCCCATGTCGTCTTATTATAAACTCGGGGGCCTGACATCACATCCTCACACCACACCTATCACACCTCCCACACATGGCAAGACATCGCAGACACACACCCCTCCAACAGAAACAAACCCCCCTCCACTTCCCCTTTGGATGCCGTCTTTAATAGCCAGTGTCTCGTCCCGTCCCTCCCTCGCCTCCCAGACCATAACCATACAATACCATATAACCCTCTCCAAACACAACAGAATGCAATAACCTCTCGAATACTTCCTGCGCAACATAACTGACCTGTCTTCTTCCTCCACCACAGAACTGTGGTGATGTTATGACCAAGAAGAAGCTCGATCCCCACAGAAACCGTTGTCGTGGAGCCACTTACACCTGCATCGATTGCATGGTCTACTTCCCTGGAACTGAATATCGCAGCCACACGGTTAGTAGCATCAGCTCCCACTGGCTGTTCTAGTCACTTCTATGAACTATGGCACTGACTCGGCGGCGAACAGAGTTGTATGAGCGAGGCCCAAAAATACCAAGGTGCTCTCTACAAGGAAAAGAACAACAATAAGAAGAGCAAGACGAACAACAACCAGGCGTTCGCCCCCAAGCACGACATGGCTCAACACGCATACGTCGAGGACGTCCCCGATGCCGAGTTCGAATCTTTTCCCTACGAGGCTAGCGATAATGGCAACTCCCCCGCCGACCTTCTCCCCGAAGCGCCAACACCTCCCTCAGCTGCCGAGGGTCACGTCAACGTTTTTGACTTTCTCGACCCATCAGCGACGCCGAATGCGTCTGCCCTGGGTGCCAAGGAGCCGAACGAGGAGACACAGCTGGTGCGCTACGAGTACGAGGCCGAGGCCTATCTGGACGATGAAGGAGCAATGGTTGATGAGGATCCGGGCGCCCTCGTGCAGTACGGCACTGGGGCCATTCCCCAGGGCTTTGAGACTCCAGCTCCGAAGCACGAGCGAAGAAGGAAGGACGGCAGCGAGAAGAAGGACAAGAAGCGCAAGCGTCTCCATGTCGACACTGACCAAATGATGGTCGACGCACCTCCTACAACCTTGGCTCACTCCGGCCTGACGGGCGGTCTGAACCGCATGATGTCGCGCCCTGTCTTTCCCCCTTCGCCAGAATTCTCCGGAGGCGACGTCGCCGCACCGGCTAGCCCGCTGAAGAAGACCAAGTCTTCCAAGCACAAGAAGGAGGGCGGTATCGGCAGCAACCTCATGGGTCTGTTGAACATGAACGGCACCAAGTCCAAGACCAAGAAACGCAAGGTCTCCTCGTCCGTCAAGAAGCACTCCTCCAGCCGTCACCGATCAGACGGCGAGAAGGCTCCCAAGTTGATCGAGTACCGACCCGGTTCCCGCGACAGCAAGAAGGGAGAGGATGGTGACGACGAGGGCCAGATGGTTGTCTACCGCCCGCGCGCCGACCTGTTCCTGTCCTTTATCAACAAGGGCCCCGAGAGTGAGCGCGGTTGCAGCATGAACAAGGCCCTCAAGCGCTTCCACCGCGAGCGCAGCTCCTCCGGAGACGGCCTCGGCAAACTCTCAGAAGAGAAGGAGCTCTGGCGCTCGCTGCGCATGAGGCGTAACGACCGCGGCGAGATTGTACTTTTTCAGGCCTGAAACTGCTGGTTGATGTGTACACAATGATGCTGTTCTTCTCGAGGGGTTGGCCGCTCTACGGCTCGGACGGGATATCCAAGGGTAAACTCATAAAGGACAACGGAGTTATCGAGCGTCGTTTTGTTTGCTTTTTTTTTTTTTGTTTTCTTCTACTTCTTGTTTCATATTCCCATGCTAGGCACTCTGGCACATGATACCTACAAGATGGACGGAAACCATCAATGACCCGGAAGGGAAACGGACCAAGGGAGATAGGCAAGGGGGGGCTTGGCCGTGACATATCGGATATTACTCTTTTCTTTGGTCGACGCGTCGGTCTCCTTATCTTATTCCCATTTGCTCCGAATAAGCACGCCGTTGCCTCTTCGTCCAAACCTACGTCCACGTGCTCTTAGCTGGTCTTCGAGCCTATTCACCGAGCCATTTGGGCGTGTGTGGTACGTACGAGGTTTCGACTAGGCGAATTCTGAATTACTTTTTCTTTCCGTCTTTTTTTCCTCTTTGCCTGTGTTCAAGTAGGAACTACTGTTCGGTTTGAAGGAGACTTAATGATGATGGGGGAAAGAAGAGAAAGGAGGGTTGAAGTTGCGTGGCCTCAGTTCTATGGTATATATATCTCTCTTGTTCATCTTCTTGCCTTCGTACAAAATCTGGTAACGCAGAATGCTTCCCACCATTTGGGTCGTTCATCAGAGGTTTCCCCTCCCGAGCCTATGTGTCCATTATCAATAGAATTTTCGTAGGTGTACAAATGCCACAACCCCCCCCCCCCCCCCCCCCTCTTAATGTCTGTAAATGCGCTGGTAGTTTAAAAGATGGACCAAGTCATATACATGGTCAGTGTTTACAACGTGACTATCATATTTGCAAAGTGACCCTTGACGCTTTGTCACATCACTCTTGAAATCAAGCAATCCGCAAGGGTAGGATATGCTGCACCATAGCCTCCCGTCTACACAGCGGACACTCTGGCTTCTCGCGCACCCAGTCCCCGATACACGTCCAGCAAAACACATGTCCGCACTGCGTCGCGGACGGGTCCTTGAGTTCTTCCAGGCAGAGTGTGCATTTCCTCTGCGCGGCGCCCGAGATGTACGCCATTGTCTTTTCGTCGCTGAGATCGAAGCGCGCGCCGGGCTCGCCTGCTCCTCCGCCGGAAGAGGCATCTGCGGGAACGACGGGCGTGTGCGTGACGGCGGCGATGTCGACTTTGCTTGTGCCGTTGCCGCCTGGCGTTCCTGTCTCGGTGAGGAGGAGGCCCGTGTTTGCTGCGTAGGCGTTTGCGTCGAGGGAGACGTCTAGCAGAGATGTAGTAGAGGCGGCCTGCGTGCGTGCTGCTGCTGCCGCTGCTTGGGAGGAAAGATCGGAGATTGTGGAGCGGATGTGGAGGTAGGATTGCACGGCGAGCTGGGCGACGAGGAGGACGCCTAGGACCTCGTAGCCTGCGCGGTCGGGGGAGTCGGGGACGCGGCGGGTGAAGACGTAGCGGAGGCCGAGGACGCGTTTGGCGAGCTCGTAGTAGGTGCCCGTGAAGTAGAAGATTGCGAGGGTTGCTGCGTGGAGGGGCGCTGCGGAGGTTAGGGAGGGGAGGTTTGTGGAGAGGTAGGCTTTTATCGCTTCTTTTGTGGATGCTGGTTTTGAGGGGGATTTCGAAGAGGAGGACGGTTCGAGGAGGGTTCGGAGGCGGGGGCGGAGGGTGGGGAGGGCGCGGCCTGCGATGTAGGGGAGGAGGACGGATGTCGCGATGTAGGATGCGCGGCGGGCTAGGGTCGGGAGGGCGCCGGAGGGGTCGTCGTCGGTGCCGACGTGGAGTTGGACGAGGTCGCAGTACTCTTCGCCGAGGGTGCGGTTCCCGGGGAGGGTGGTGAGGCCGAGGTATAAGGTGTCTGCAAAGAGCCTGTGGAGGGCGGTGGCCGAGTGTGCGGAGCGGGCGCCGAGGAGGAGGCGGTGGAGGGAGGTGAGGGTGTTTGAGAGGTGGCCTTTGTAGTAGGCGTCTTTCTGGTGGGCGCGGATGATGTCTGGGGCGGAGGCGTAGGGGTAGGGCGAGGAGGGGAGGGTTGATGGCGAGGAGGAGGAGGGTTGTGATGGTGATGGGGAGTTCATTTTGGAGAGGTGTTGTGCATTTGCGCTGCGGCGTGCGCGCGGTTGGGGAGGTGATGATTCAATTGATGGGTTGTGTGGGAGAGAATGGCGGCTTTTGTGAGTGGTATCGTGAGGTTCGGTTCGTTTGTCGTTTGTTATTTTGAGGGTATCGTCGGATTGGTAAGGTTGTAGGTTGCGAGACTTGGAGCCGGGCCCGTGGTTGGGATGTTTTTTGAGCCGAGGCGATTTGGGCCGCGTGCCGGGCCAGGTTTGGAGAGGAGAGCTCGGCCGGCCGATTATCAGCGACGTCTGTCACTGGTCAGCATGTGTGGCAGCCAGTGCAGCGGCGCCGGAGCGTCAGTGCTGGGGTTCCATAGCGGGGGGGTCTGGCAGGGATGTAGATACCCTGCCGCCCTGCCTATCTCTCATCGTCTTTCATATGAGATAGAAGGACAACTGCAGATGACTGTGATGGTCACTTGTGATTCTTGAGCAAGTCGATCAATTTAATTGTCGTCGGTTTGGGGTTTTAATTCCAACGTAACACAAGACACGAGATTGAAGCTATTGTGTTAGTGACAAAGTCTGGGGAAAGGTAGATAAGCGGCGTTAGGGCGGCCGGGCACCCGGTGCCGTGTCGCTAACATCCGATAGCGCACGAGGGGTTCAATGCTTTCCGCCCGTTCAAAGCTCTTGTTCGTCTCAAGTCAAGCTTCCACCTATCCGAGACTTCTCCGAGTAACTCAAGTCGGCACAGAAAGGTCTTGAGGTCTTTTCAACGTCTCGGAGACAAGACTCTGAGCATCGGGATAATCTCTTGACAGTTTTTCCCCGCAGGATAGAAGATTTAGGAACTCATCCGACCTTTGGATGACTCATCTCATACCCCGCGGTGATTTACTCTTATACTGACTCCCGCCAAGTTTGTACATCTACCTACATCCGGAGATGAGATGCTATGCGTCGCAAAGCTGCTCATCAACATCAACTGACCAACGCAAATTCGGGGTCAGATAACTCAGGCTGGCCAACATGGGGCACCTCATGACTGTCGCGACGTGTTCGCTGAACCAGTGGGCATTGGACGTAAGATTTTCTCAACTTAGATAGTTGGCATAAGAATAACCCCTCAACTATTCCTAAGAGGCAGACGCTGACCAGGATCACGTACAGTGGGAAGGAAATGCAGCTCGTATTGTTGAGAGTATTCAAAAGGCAAGGGAAGCTGGAGCTCGCCTGCGTGTCGGTCCCGTGAGTATTTTGAGTTGTGAAATGCGACACAGCACAAGCAAGAAGCTGGTCGCAAGTCCTCGCTAGAGTCTAACACCACCACAGGAACTAGAGATATGTGGCTACGGATGTCTTGACCACCTTCTCGAGCAGGATCTCTACTTGCACTGCTTCGAGATGCTCCGCCGTATCCTGCTCGACGAGACCTGTCACGGCATTCTCCTCGACATCGGCATGCCCGTGCAGCACCGCAACCAGCGCTTCAACTGCCGAGTCCTCTGCCTCGACGGCAAGATCCTGATGATTAGGCCCAAGATGTGGCTCGCTAATGATGGCAACTACCGTGAGATGCGCCACTTCACGCCCTGGATGCATCCCAGACAGACGGAGGAGTACCATCTGCCCCGGATCCTGCAGGATATTCAGGGGTCTACCCACGTTATCTTTGGCGACGCTGTGGTTTCGACTCCCGATACGTGCTTTGGCGCGGAGACCTGTGTAAGTTCGTTGGGGACCACGGTGGCTAACTGCTTCGATGACCCTGGAAGATGGGAGCTAACACGCTCGCCCACAGGAAGAGCTCTTCACGCCCAACGCCCCGCACATCGCGATGAGCCTCGACGGCGTGGAGATCATCACCAACTCCAGCGGCTCGCACTTTACCCTGCAGAAGCTTGACACCCGTCTCCAGCTCATCATGGAAGCCACGCGCAAGTGCGGCGGCATCTACCTCTACGCCAACCAGCAAGGTTGCGACGGCGACAGGCTGTACTACGATGGCTCCGCCATGATCTTGGTCAATGGAGACGTCGTGGCCCAGGGATCGCAGTTCAGCTTGAACGACGTCGAGGTCGTCACGGCTACTGTCGACCTTGAAGAAGTTCGCGCATACCGTTCCGCCATCTCTCGCGGTCTCCAGGCTGCGCGGTCTGATGCCAAGTATCAACGAATCCAGACTGCCTTCGAGCTCAGCTCTGAGGACGAAGACGCGGATGTTATCATCACCCCTTCGCCCCCTATCAAGCCCAAGTTCTACTCGGTCGAAGAGGAGATTGCTCTGTGTGCTGGCTGCTACCTCTGGGATGTGAGATGGACCAAGTACCCCTTTTCTACATGCCCGGCTGACCCAACTCCCCCCTATTAGTATCTCCGCAGGTCTGGTACTGCAGGCTACTTGGTACCCCTCAGTGGAGGGATTGACTCTTGCGCCACAGCGAGTACGTCTCTCTCCTTTCTTCAGTCACCCCTGAAATCAGTCACCACTAACACCCCTTCCCAGCAATCGTCTTCTCCATGTGTCGCATCGTAATGAAAGCCGTCGAAGAAGGCAACGCCCAGGTAATCGAGGACGTCAAGCGCCTCGCAAAGTACGACGGCGAAGGCGTGCTCCCCAAGACGCCCCAGGCCCTCTGCAACCAAATCTTCTCAACCATCTACATGGGCATGAAGACGCAGAGCTCCGTCGAGACGCGTCAGCGCGCCAAGGACCTCGCCGAGGCCATTGGCAGCTACCACATCAACCTCGATATTGACGACGTCTACAACGCCCAAAAGAGCCTCGCTGTCACAGCACTCAACTTTGAGCCGAGGTTCAAGGTCGAGGGCGGGACGAACCAGGAGAACCTGACGCTGCAGTGTATCCAGGCAAGAATCCGCATGGTGACCGCGTACGAGTTTGGACAGCTTCTTCCCACGGCCCGTGGACGACCTGGCGGTGGCGGTCTGCTTGTTTTGGGCAGTGCAAATGTCGGAGAGGTGCGTTTGCTTTCTGATACCCACGTCTATCCGCTTTTAAATGTCAACTAACAACCGCTGCAGTCTCTCAGAGGCTACTTTACCAAGTCAGTGATCCAAATTCGAGGACGCGGAATGACTCGTACTGACTAGTTTCTAGATATGATTGTTCCAGTACGTTTTCATCCCGCTACGTTCGATTCACGGGAGCTAGTACCCCACACCACTCTAAGAGGAGTCTGGACTAGGTTGTCTACATGTCTCGGAGACCCCCTTTGCAATTGTATCGGTATCCCACTGCCTGCCTACTCCCTGGTATCATTGCCAGTGCGAGCAGGGGAGCAAAGACTGCATGACGACTCGATACCATCGGAAGAAGTCTACCTTAATTCCATGCCTGACTGACACTTACGACCAGGCGCGGATATCAACCCGATTGGCTCCATCGACAAGGCCGACCTCAAACGCTTCATCGCGTGGGCCGAAAAGGACTTCAACATCCCATGTCTCCACGACTTCCTAACGGCGGTCCCGACCGCAGAGCTTGTATGTGATAACCCGCCAGCCCCTCAAGCCCCGCTGAACGCGCAAGAGCTGCGGCTCAACTCATGCACTCAGCATCCTCCCTTGTCTTGAAAAACACTTTGCGGGGACAACAGTCAACTTACGTGATCACAACGCATTAGGAACCCATCTCAGAGACCTATGTACAGAGCGACGAGGTGGACATGGGCATGACCTACCAGGAGCTGACCATCATGGGCCGCCTCCGCAAGGTGAACAAGCTTGGGCCGTATGGCATGTTCCAACGTCTCGTCCACGACTGGAGCGTAGACCGCAAGCGCGGGCCCGATGATGATGCTCCCGCGTACGAGCCTAGCCAGACGGCCGACAAGGTCAAGAAGTTTTTCCACTTTTATGCCATCAACAGTGAGTCCTGCTTGGAAAACCGAGATAGATGACTGCCGTTTGGTGGTTCTGACTGGGTGAACAGGACACAAGATGACGACGCTTACACCGGCTCTTCACTGCAATGACTACTGTATGGCAGCAACCGCACCCGCTTTGCTTTCTGTTCCACCCCATTTAGCAAGTCACTGACTGGTCAACGAATAGCGCCCGACGACAATAGATTCGACCTCCGCCCCTTCTTGTATCCTCCCTTCTGGAAGAGCTGGAGTTTCAAGAAGATTGATGCGGAGCTTGCAAAGATTGAGAAGCGGAGGGAAAAGACAAAGGCATAAGTGTATTCGTAGTCCGTATCCCTACCTACTTGGAAGTCGCTTGGTATCCGTTCCCTCGTAGATGATTGAGGCATGTCTCGCCGTGGAGACGGGGGACCCTGTATTTACCCTTGTCGCTCGCACTCGACCCACAGCGTAGGCCTAGCGTTCCGGTGATCGGGTGGAAAAATATTCCTAAAGAGAAAGAAGAATTGCGGTAGAAACAAGATGCTGGGTCCCATGGGTCCAACCGTCCATGGAATCCATGGATTCCGCGGTATCGTCGGACCCCGAATATACAAATTTCCCGGAAGACCATCCGTACTGTACAGAAGTGTTGTATAGTCACTAGAAAGACGCGTGTAATGAGGCTCCCTATTCGTTGTTGGGCCCTGTACCTCTGTAGAGCTTGTCGTTACGGGCCACGGCTCCCACATGCCGACCGCTGCCCCCTTCCCGCCCCTCCATAATTTACCCCACATTTCCCGACTTCGAGCCTCCGGCAGAGCGCCGGCTGTCCAGCCGACTATTACCTCACTCGGATCCGAAAGTTCATCACTGCCCAGGCCTGCCGTGCAAATGGCCAATCAGCATTTCCGCGATGGCAATTCGTAATTCTCTCCAGGTGGGGGTGGTCCCGGGAAGGAACACCCATGTCAACATTCAAGGTATACTTAGACGGTGGGATCGAATAATATGCTCTAATACGCGGCAACGCTCTCGCGATGGGAGATTCCTTGCGAAATCCAGCCCTCCTGCCAAGACGCCAAGGGGTAGGGTGACGTTTGCTCCCGTCCCCGCCCCCCCGCCAAAAGCTTGGTTGTCGTAGGTAAGCATGAGAGCTTATTGGCTTGCATGGTCGTGGCTCGTCTGAACGTCTCCGCGGCGTGTAAGTTGAGGTAGGCAGTGAGATCCAGTAAGGATGTGGATCAGGCATTACTATGTGCGTACGTCTTTTTCTGTGAAGGGGGTAAACATGGAGATCTGCAAACGTCAGTAAAGGGCAGTGTTTTTTCGCTTCCTATGTGGCGGGAGTTCATCCGGAACCATGACAAGGTTCCAAAGTCCACTTTGGAAGAAGTGGAGAAACATTTCTCGACGGAGAGCGGAATTGTAGTGACGACGACGGGTGACGAGTTGGCAAACAACGCAGAGGCGAGCATCGTCAAAGTGGGAGGTAACGGGATAGGAGAGAGGCCTCTTGAACGGGATGGAAACATATAAGGAACGTCGAATCGCCCTCGACGAGAGAAGAAAAATAGAACTTCACCAACCAAGGCATTGAGAAGCATCAGACAGAACCATCTTCCAAACTTAGACTCTCTTTCACAGTCTCACGACTCTCACTCACTCACTTACACAACAAAATCACCACTCTTTTCTCAAATACAACAACCAACAATGCATCCCTCCGTCCTCCTCGTCCTCACCTCCGCCCTCCTCGGCACCGCCCACCCAGGCCACCACGAAGAAGATCACCCCTCCCTCCTCGCCTCTCGCCACGCCCACCACGGCCTCGCCCGCCGCGGCCTCGAAGCCTGCTCCTCCTCCAAAGTCTACCGCGACCTCCAAGCCCGCGCCCTCGTCCGCCGCGCCGACGCAATCGCCTACCACCGCGCCATCCGCAAGCGCGCCACCGACAGCGCGGGCGTAGGCCACAACCTCACCTCCTCCCACGTCGGCATCGACACCTCGTCCCCCTCGGCGGACCTCTTTGGCTCCAACCACACCTGCATCCTCGACCCGGAGGGCGAGATCGGGCCCTTCTGGGTCAAGGGCGAGCATCTTCGTACGGACCTGCGCGACGACCAGGAGGGTGTTGATGTTGTTCTCGATGGGCAGTTTATCGATGTCGAGACGTGCGAGCCTATCACGGACTTGTACTGGGATCTGTGGAACTGTAACGCGACGGGTGTCTACTCTGGCGTGCAGAGTTCCATGAACGGGGACGTCAACGACGCCAGCAACTTGGACAAGGCATTCCTCCGCGGCATCCAGAAGACGGACGCAGATGGTGTGGTGCAGTTTACGACCAAGTTCCCTGGTCACTATGATGGCCGCGCCACCCATCACCATATGGTAAGTCTCTATCCTTCCAGAACCCCCACAGCCCCTATTCCATGACCATTCCCACACCAGAAAGACTCCGTACTAACACCACCAACACAGGTCGCCTTCCTCGACGCAACAGTCCTCCCAAACAACACCCTCTCCTCCTCCCACGCAGCCCACATCGGCCAACTCTTCTGGGACCAAGACCTCATCACCGAAGTCGAGTCCCTCTACCCCTACACCCTCAACACCGTCGACGTGACCCTCAACGCAGACGACCACGTCGTCACGAACCAGCTGGGCTCCAACGCCGACTCGGACCCCTTCTTCAACTACGCGTACCTGGGCGATGACGTCGCCGAGGGATTGTTCGGCTGGATCACCATTGGCGTCAACCGCTCCGCGTCCTACGAGACCAGCTACGACTTTGCGCTTACGGAGGATGGCGGTGTTGCTGTCGAGGGGGAGTCTGAGGATGGTGGGTTGAGTGGTGGTATGCCCAGTGGCTCTGGTGGAATGCCTAGCGGTACTGGTATGTTCAGCGGGAGCGCGCCTGTTGCTACTGCTACTGCTGCTGCCACTGCTGCCTGTGCATAAGTTGGTCGTTGGAATTCTGGAAAGGGGGATAGATTTGGGAGGAGACATTCTTCCCTGCTGGGTCGATATCACACCATTGTTCTGTCTTCTACAAGTTCTATTGTTTCTCTTATCTAAAGCTGGATTTCTTAAAGTTGTTAGATTAGCTTCCTTGGTTTCTTGGACCTATGGTATCTATGTTAGAAAAGTATGTACTCCGAATTTTGGCTACTAGTCTACTCAATTTGTGATCCCGTTAAAGAATTTTACTCTGAATATTCGTATTCCCTTCGGCTACTGCTAGCAATGATACTATGAAGACCCAGTTCATCCCCCCCGTAAACCGATTATAAGATATCGCGAGACTCGTCCATTTCAATTTTACCTGCAAATGTTCTCGCAATCGTAGAGGTAAGAATTTCTTTTTACTGAAATATATTGGCCAGAGACATAAACAGCAATGGATATATAAGGAATTGGATATCTACTCGTTAATGGAAAGTCTTAAGTTTTACTTGCCGGATAGAAGTTATCAAGATGGCGAGGGAGCGCGAGAGACCTCTAGGTAAGTATATTGGAAACTTAAACACCCGTGTAGGTGTTTTACTCATAGACGTCATTCGAAAGCAACTTAAATACCAAACTCCAGGCAGCTGTAAATATGACCACTTCTCATGAATACCATTCAAAGAAGAAGAGTATCTTTAGTGCAATCAGATTGCCGCCCCGAGCAGTGGCACCGTATAAATTGAGATATGAATTCTGTCCCTTTTCCCCCGACAACACAAAGCACACAAGACGTCGAAACAGAATTTCGGGTGTCAGTTGTTCCACCCTCCGAGCAAAGTCAGTGGCGACACGAGACATCGTTGCGCTGACGATCGTCTCTGCAGCTGATTCATACCGGGACATTTTATTTGCTTCGTGCACTATACAGTAAAGGAAAACTTTGATTCTCTTTTGTAACCAGTTTAGTCTAAATACAAAGGCAAGGGAGAAGTTAGCCTCGGGACGCTCGGGACGAGCTCCCGGTCCCGCGCTGAGAGGAGGGGAGGAAACATCTGAGTATAGTGAGATAAGGAAGGCACCCGATGTTCCATGAGAGACCTCACATTGGCTTTTGCCAGTCTCGAAATTATCTTGACTTCTTGTGCCTCGACACAGAAATCGCGCGGTAAGCCTGGCAGATTAGCATCGAAGTAGTCGCGATAGTGCGAATTTACCCATTGTGAACCTCGTATGGCAATAGGAACTCTGCTAGAGCGCAGAGTTGCCCATGTGCATGCGCATTCCCTGCCAAGCCCAAATGTCTCAGAAAAACAAGCAAAGATGTCGGCGAATGAGCGGACGATCAATCGAAATCCTCTCTCCAAGAAATCGGCACTAAGAGAACCTCGATCATCATCGATTGGCTCTTGTCTCAGAAACCACAAAGAGAAAAGTCGAGATCGGCAAGGGACCATGCTCGAATTGGGTCTGAGAGATCCTCTAAGCAGAAATGTCTCACAACATTCCCGAGAAAGAAGCCCTGCCAACGAAAAAACCTTTTCCCAATCGTGAGCCCTTGCATCTTTCTCAAAGGCAAGGGGGACTCCGAGTTTCCACTTTGAAGGCGACGTTGATGTTTTCGTTAAAAAAACGCTGGCCTTAACGCTGGCCTTCTCCGTTTACTTTTTTCTGTTCGCGTCATTTTTAGTAGAGCTAGTAGGCTTGCCTGAGATCGAGACCGCCGCCAGGGCCTTTTGCTTTCCTTTTCTTACGTTGGCAGATCTGCAACGGCTGCGGGTGAAAAATAGGATTTGATCGCGGCGACCTGAAAGGGGTCCGCCAACGTCAAAGCCCGCCGCCTACTGCAGGTAACGTAGCTCCGAGCAGCTGCTTTGCCTCAAGCCCGAGGTCTTACAGAACCTTTGAAGCCCTCCTCACCGCATTCTTTGGACAGAGCCGAATTAACCGATGGTCCCCGCCCGCCAGCGGATTGGCGCAGGTAGCTCCCGGTTCCTTTCTTGTCGATATCGAAGTAGACCACCGCACCTGTGTAACTCGGCCGTGGTCATCGGGACCGTTTCTTCTCCCCGGATGTGACTGCGCCCAGACTGGTGATATCGGTAGGGCTGCGGGTTGTCCAACGGTGTATTAGGATGTATTCTTTGTTTAAAGGCGTAATAGTCTGTAGACTTGGCTGTCGGGGATCGCGTTCCGGTCTTTCGTAGCCGTCACAGCCGGCAAGACATTGGGACTCGAAAAGATGGCTGGCCTATATTGCCCGGCTGAGCTTCCCGCGACATCATCCGTTTTTGTCTCAGGATGGCGCCTCGGACTCGTTTTGTGTTGTCGAAGAAGGCTATTTTAAAGTCGCGGTCAAGCACTTTGTACGCTGGTGACACTCGGAAACCTGTTTGTTGGACAAGGCGGTCGGAGTCGGTCAACTGATGATATCCCTCTGTTGTCGCACACGTACAATTTGCTTGATCGACGGGGACATCATGCGCTCTTTAAGTTCGATAAATTCGTGCCAAGCAGCGAATACATTTATCATCGTGGCGTACACCAATGACCGCTCCCAAGCACTTTCGCAATCGACTCGAAGCTTCTCCCGCACCTGAAGCCAGCACAGGGCTCCCAGTCTGATGCCACAAAGCTTGGTATCACCAAGAGACCTCATGCCGAGAGAAATGGCTTCTACTTGTGCTGCTTGGCATATATGCCAACGCAGTGCGGATGCAGGAAGAGCAGGCTGTCGAAGCCCATGGAGGTCTGCTGCGTAGAAGGTCCAATAGCAGTCCATCGAAGATTTATCGAGGATGTGCAATTGATTGGCAATGTGGAAATGAGGATCCATTAGAAAGCCAGTGCAGGTCCGTGATCAAATCATCCCTCGAGGCTCAATCAAGTAAGGGAACGTGGGCGAGATCTAAGCTTCAGGAGCGCTCGGGTGGCGATGGTGGCACTTGGCAAGCGGACCAGTCTTCGGACGAACCCTTCAACTCGCAAGAATATGGATGAGAACTGCCTGTGTTTAACTCCGCAGTCTGTGCGAGAGCTCGAGTTCGGATGGGCCAAAAGCCGACTGTTGCCAAGAGGCCTGCACATCTGTCAGAGTGTGTGATCCACACTGCGGACTTCATCGCTGTTGTCAATCATGAACCTGATATTTCACCAGTGACGAGAAGTTTCTATTTGGTAACATTTGGTGAAAATCAAACAGCGTTTTGAGGCTGAAGATGTGAGTGATTAGTGTGGAGAGCTGAGAGGAGGAAACAGACTATTGTTTGGGCTAACGGTGCCAACAATTCTAGAGCACAACTTTGCGGACAGAGCCACTAGTCAGGGGTCGAAGGGAGGAGCTGATAGATCCCCAAAATCCGCGACTCTGGATTAGACTCTTGGGAGCTTCCGGCCGACTCAGTCCAAAGATAAGGCATCGGCGTACGGAGTAGTAGGGCGGGGTTCCGCGTAGGCCTAATGTTAAAATGTCGGGGGACGTCGGCCACGGCCGTCTCATATCCCAACGCTAGATGCATTGTGGAAGCAAAAGCTGAGCCAAGAGGGCTTTTCTCCCTGGGTCTTCAATATTTGGCGGTAACCGCTAGGAAGCAGCACGTCAGCATCGGCAAACATTGCTTCCCAAAATGGAAGTCATGGCCGTTGACCGGCAGGCAAAGAAAGGCAATGCTGGCCCAGAACATTAGAGCATAGAACGCAACTTGTCGTCCCGATGTCTTGGGCTACGACACCTCAAGCCCTCGCTGTGAACCAGCAAGGGTGGCGCTGGCCACCTTCGACGCCGCCGAGTGCTTTCCCAAACCACTGGGACTCGGCTGTTGGTTGAGTTGCTCTGCAGGCAATTAGCACATAGTGTCCATAACTTTGACTGGTCCAAGTCGGCAGTGAGAAAACTTGAGTAGGTATTGGCGGCAATTGATGTAAGGCTAGACAAGCTCAGAGACATTGATGAGGAGCGGAGACGGAAAGTCAAGAGTACGCCCAGGTTCGGTTGGACAAATCTCTCCGAGCCATGTCAACAGCGTCAAAGATGACAGTATGGGTATGAAGAACGCACGGATTGTCTTACTTGTCTCAGTCGTCGACACTGGACTTTTTTGGATCTTGGTTGCAAACTTTCTTGGCCAGCTTTGTGCAATTCGGCCAATGCTACCACCTGTATCGTGACAGAGAGGCCATCCAAGACCCCGCGAGCTTTGGGAATGGGGTTTGGATACGAGGTTCTGAAGTAACATCGTCATGCATTGTATGCATACGTGCCGCTACGATGGCTGTCAGCTCCTGCATATCTGACAGAAAGACCGGCTTGGCATTGGTTGGCTTGGCCACTATACCAGATTACAACCCCAAGAACAGGCCCAAGCATACACTGCAGTCATGGTCGAGAGAAGGCTCCCATACCATGTAGAGAGAGGCAGGAGGCGTTGGTATTATCGACGAAAGAGTAAGAGGTAAGGCGACACAGGAAGTGGCTTGCGGCTTGTCGGGGCTGTCGAGGCTGGCCGTGGCCTCGCCCAACGCTGCTGGTTTTGGCTGGCGCTATTGAACCGGGCCAAGTATCTAGTCGACTCAAATAGAGTTAATCAGCGTTTGGGACAGTTCCCGGCAACTGAGTCGTTGGACTCATTTGTGGGTGGTGGACGAGTAACCGCGGGGGCGGTTCAGTCGAGATTTTTGTCGCTCTAGTTATTTCGTGGCTTCATCGCGGTCGACCGGCTGTTTCGTAGCCCGTTGCAAGTATATCCGTCCCAATAAAATGCTCATTTGGTGGTATCATCACAGAGAAAGCCGACCAGTGCGTCCAGACATTCGATTTTTGACTGCTTCCAAGTACGTTGAGGCCATGATCACCCGCATTCTTCTGCCGAGGATGAGAACCGCATCGATCAAGTGCCAAGTTTCCGGCCGATAAGGTTGTCTCGGCGAGCACCATGCTAATGCAGGCTTTCTAGGTGGTGGTCAGCATTTGCCAATGATGAAACCTGCATGGCCTCAGCTATCCCGAAGTGTAGGCGGCTCGACGACAGCAGATGATGGCGGAGATGATACGGATAGCAAAGCTCCGACCGAGTGCGAGCTGGTCAGATACCTCATATGAACCGGGCAATCTGCGCCTGCAGCGCCAAAGTGGAGAAAGTTTTGAGAGAGTTGGCCAGGTCGAATCAAGAACTGCACCTCCAGCCGTAGCTGAGAGTAGGGAGTTGGGCCTAGAGCGGGGGAATGTGACCTGCAGGTGTTCGTCAGAAGCCTGGGGAGCGCCTTGCCGTATGCTGGATCGAAAAGTGAAAAGAAACTTGCTGCGATGTGTTGCACGAACTGCAGGCCGTTACACAGTTCCCATGCCGGTTTCCAAGGCTGAACTGGATAGTGTGATGCGATACCGAAGGGGCTGGATATCTTCAAAGATTTAGGTTTAGTCGCCCCCAACCGACCGCATCTTTACGTTTGTTGGCGACGGGCGAGGCTCGTTACCGTGTCGTTGGTAACGTGGTTCAGTTCGAGTTTATTCTTGTGTTTGTGGACGGTGCGGCCGCCGGGGGGGGATTCGGAGAATGGGGCGGATACACACTAGACGTTTCTGTGTTAGGCCTCGGGATGTATCTTACTCCCACTGGATTCCGCTGATGGAAGGAAGGGGAGGAAGCCCGCCTATTCGTAGGTAGCTTGGTACTTTGTTAATTAGGTAGGTAGGCGGCGGCAGTCTCTTTTTTGGGCAATGAGGCAGTTGTCAGTGTCAGATGGACGTGGGCGGGAAACATCGAATGTTGAACAGCAGGAAGGTGGCACAGGATTACGGCCTCTGAACTGGAAGTAGCAACTCAATCTCACGCCTTCCTTCATCCACCCCCTGCATTCGATCCCACGTTACCCACTTAACCTAATCTGGATTAAGGTAGCCAGGATGTCAGGGTGCCAGGGCGCCGAAGATGCAGATACGTACCTTCCAAGAGCGGGGTCACAGGGATCTCTCCTTCCGCGAATCCGCAACATGAGTCAGGGGACCTGGTTGCCGCCCGTCGGGATGCCAGTCAAAGAAACATTCAAGTCATCCCGTCTTGACTCGTCCAATCTATAGCAAGTTAGCAACTACCTAACATCTCGTATCGTCTGATGGCAGAAACCGACAAGAAGCACTGGCCATCGTCTAACTCGATGGCTTAACGGGTCTCGGTTATTGGACACATTCTAGGAGGGGGTTTTCCTCCCGTCAATCTCAAGCCAAGAAAGCGGTTGCTAGGCTTCGGATGAGGACTACGACCAACTGATCGAATCAGTGGGAAAGCTGCGCTCTCTTCTTTGACACTTCTTGGCAGAAAACAAGTTCCCAAGCATCCGGTACCACAGCAGTAATTCTTGCCTTTGTTCTTACAGCCCACAATGACATTGATGTCTGGTCAACCGTCACAGAGCTTCACTGACGCCAGCCATGAACGCCCCGGGCCCCAAACCTAAATGGAAATTCTTAGTTGTCGAAACGGATGCGATCGTGCTTCAAATTTGGATGCGGCTGGTGAATTACAACGTCGCGGACAAGTAGTTGGAGATCTAGATCATCCATCTCTAGGATACCGACCACAGAATAACCAGCAACTCCAAAGAGGCTGCATTTGTGCCGGCACTATATCTCAGCTCCATTAGGTCGGCTTGGGGCCTCAGCCAGGATGGCTACTTATGGTGCTCCAGATAAAATGCCTAACCAGAGCAATAATGATTTTGACGTTATGGTTCAGATGCCTCACTGACAACTTCTGCCTTACCTAGTGAGTCTGGAGTTTCACGACCGCATGTTTGACGCGTGACTATTGTCCTGTGATCCTGTATCGAGATCATGGACCGGCATGGTGTTGGGATGAAGATGATCTGCTCATGGGACCGCGGTGGATGTCGGAGTTTTCTTCGCCGAGGATCCCGCCTTGAGGCAATGGATACAGCAAGCAAACAAACACCCTCCATCTTGGATGAGTAAGGATATCCTTCATTGGTGCCCACCAGGATCCGTGGACGCAAAGTCTCTTGCTCGTATTGCAGCCACGAAACTTGTGCATGAAAGAACTTTGCATCTACAACGGTTACAGCTTCTTCGTATCTTACTCCCGTCGCCTGGGTAAGGTACTCCGTACGAATACACTGGCTAAGAATGACAATACACAGCATCAGTTCCCTGCTACTCGCCCCTTGCCAGTAGGAACGCCTTGCCGGAAGGAGAGATGGTCAAGTGCTGACTGGGGTGGCCCCTGCATGACCAGACCCCACATCATCCCAAGGTACCCGGGTACGAACCCCTCTGACGCTAGTCTGCTCGACGACCCTGATCCCAAAGCGCATCTTGGAGAAAACACAACACACAACTTCCCATCACTATTCAATCGAACGAATGGCATCAAAGTCAGCGCACGCACCGTCCTGCCTGGTCTTTTCTGCCCACCTCCCTGCGTCTGATGCTTAATCTCCACATATACAAGGTTGTCATTTGGGCCAAGAGCTGGTCGAGGAGCCCGGCGTTTTCTGCTTCTCGTCTGTCCATACAACCGTCTCTTAGTCCCAAGCCACGAAGCCTCCCACTCTGGGCTCTCGAACGCCCCTCTCCCATATTGCCCCTTCTTACGGCCTCACACACTCAAGGCGCTTCGCTCAAGTTGGGTGTGGAGGAGACGGACAATTTCATCTGCCACAGACACGGCCATGGGGATAGCGAGGGCGGCACCACTAGAACGGTCCAGGGCGTAATGAGTCCAGAGATTATTCACGGCTAGCGCCTAAATCTTTTCATTGTTTCTCGCCTCGTGTGTATCGTCTTCAGCCCTCAAGCCCGGTTGACGACCTAACAATATCCCAATTCTCTCTTCCACCCCCTCCGAGTAACCTCGGTCTTCTCACTTCATCCCAGCATGGCAACAAGAAGTCAGCTCCTGGCCCACCACGTAGGCTAATCCCACACTACATGCTGCAAGTGCACAGCTCACACCCATCTAGCTTACCCGGCTAGCCTCACTGATACTCTTTTGTGCTAGTCCTCCATGCGAGCATGGCAACCCCTAGTCCCCTTCTTGGATTTTGTTCCGTCGTGACCTTCCAGGAACCCCTGGCCCACGAGGGGAACATCGCCTCTCTCGAGGTGTGAGAAGTCGCCGGGAGCCTAGTCGGGTCTATCGCGTACCCGTTCCCCTAGGGCTCCTTCGTCTTGGGCCGCTCGCTGCCACATGAGATTGCCCATGCCGTGAATCGAAATCAATATATACCTTCATGATTCCCGGGCCCATCATGATCCTCCTTTCTCTTCACCCTTCACCTCTTCTATACACTCCTTAGTATCAACATCTTGTGCTGGTTTCTGCCTCTTGGCACACACTTGTCACCATGAAGACCACACAGTTGTCTTTCGTTGTTCTTTCTGCTTCTTCTCTCGCAAATGCTCTCGCTTATCCGCCTGGAATTTACAAACGCGCGGCGCCTCCCGCAACCCTTCCTCACGGCTACACCTACAAGGGCTGCTATGTGTATGATACCTAGTGAGAAAAAGCTTCTGAGGAAGTGTCAAGTGCTGACCGGGGAATAGCGATGTTGGCCGAACACTCTCCGATGCCGGCACGGCGAACGGGCAGATGAGCAACGATGCCTGCACAACGTACTGCTACAACAAGGGCTTTTCCTACGCTGGTACCGAGTACTACAACGAATGCTACTGCGGCAACGCCTTGGCCAAGGATGGCGTTCTTGCCAACGAGGCCGACTGTTCTACGCCATGCAGCGGAAACGCTACTCAGCCTTGTGGAGGCCCCAACCGACTTTCGTTATATCAAACATCCCTCATCATGGGCCCCTCTGTTAATCCTGGTGTTGGCGACTGGAGCAGCATTGGATGCTACTCGTGAGTTGCCGCCTGTCTCGTCAAAACTTGAGAACTTGACAGCTGACAAGATTAATAGAGAGGGAACTACCGGGCGTTCTCTCACTTACGGAATCGGAAGCATCCCTGTTGGCGAGATGACCGTTGCAAAGTGCACTGCTGCTTGCGCCAATGCTAACTTCATCCTTGCTGGTGTCGAATACTCTGGCGAATGCTGTAAGTCGTCATCGTGCTGGTAATCCTCATGGCAAACTAATAACATTTCTTCACCAGACTGTGGCAGCACCATCTCCAACGGCGGCGCCCCTGCCGTCGATGGCTGCAACATGCTTTGCAACGGCAACTCCTCTGAGTATTGTGGTGGGCCCAACCGATTGAACGTCTACGACTTCCAGCACCAGTATAAGCCTCTTCCCACCTCAACATCAACCCCTGCGCCAACTGCTAGTTCAACTTCCAGCTCAAGCACCCGCACTTCCTCGAGCACGGTTGTTTCCTCTTCCAGCAGCGTCATCTCCCCATCCAGTAGTATCGTATCTTCCTCTAGCAGCGTGGTCTCATCCTCAAGCACTGTAGTCTCTTCCAGCTCCGCGACCCCCACCCCGACTGGCCCCAGTCAACCCGCAACTGTCGGCGTTTGGAAGTGGTATGGCTGCCAGACTGAAGGTACAAACGCCCGTGCTCTCAACGCGAAGACAACTGCTTCCGACGACATGACTTTGGAGAAGTGCGCCGCTTTCTGCGACGGAAACACCTTCTTTGGTGTTGAATACTCTCGAGAGTGCTGGTGTGGTAACTCCTTTGCCACCGGCTCCATCGCTGCCCCGTCCAGCCAGTGCTCTATGAAGTGCATGGGCAACCAGTTCCAGTACTGCGGAGAGAGCAACCGCCTTTCTGTCTACACCATTGGAGGAGCAACCCAGTCTTCGTCCTCCTCATCCTCGTCGGCTTCATCGTCATTCTCATCTACCACCTCCACTGCAGCTCCCTCTGGCACTGGATACCCTACTGGCTGGACTAACCAGGGCTGCTGGGTGGACAACCTGAACGGCCGCATTCTGCCTAACCAGCTTCAAGACGACCCGGCCATGACACTCGCTTCTTGCGCCAAGGCCTGCTCCGATGCCGGTTACACGGTCGCCGGTGCCGAGTACCACACTCAGTGCTTCTGCGGTAACGCCATCTACGGCGGCGGTGCTCTCGCATCTGACCCGACAACCTGCAACACTGCCTGTGGTGGTAAGGCTTCTGAGATGTGTGGTGGCGGTAACCGCATGACAATCATCTCCAAGGGCACTCCCCAGACGTACGCTCCTCCCGTTCCGCAGAGAAGCGGCTTCAATGGAAGCTGGACCTACCAGGGCTGTGTCCAGGACAACGTCGGAGCTCAGCCCAACCCGCGCACTTTCTACTGGCAGAACTTCTTCCCTGGTACAATGACTCCCGGTATGTGCTTGGACAGGTGCGCCCAGTATGGCTACATGGCAGCCGGACTTGAGTACGGTGAAGAGTGCTACTGTGGCGACCCCGCCAACATTGTCACCCAGAAGGCCCTCTTTGTTGCCGAATCCGAGTGCAACATTGTTTGCCCTGGAAACCGTAGCTCCATCTGCGGTGGTGGCGCTCGCCTCTCGACATACTTCTGGACTGGCACCACGCCCCTCTACTCATGGAACTTCGGTACAGATGCCGCCACTGCTGGTGTCTACGAAAATCTCATTGGCGGTGTGACCATCCCCCTGATGACGATGGAGACCGTCACTGGTAAGGTTTCCTTCCTCGAGAAGTTTGGCACTGGCCCGCCCAACTCCACTGGCGCTTACGAGCTCGACCTTTCCCTCGTCTCGGATTTCTCCAAGGCTTGGAGAGAGATGCACGTTAAGACAGACATCTTCTGCTCTGCCGGTATCACCCTTCCCGACAAGGCCGGTCGCCAGCTCAACATTGGTGGATGGTCTGGTGATTCCACCTACGGCGTCCGTCTGTACTGGCCCGATGGCAAGCCCGGAACCCCTGGCACCAACGACTGGCAGGAGGACGTCACCAACCTGCGCCTTCAGGATGGCCGCTGGTATCCCTCTGCCATGATTATGGCCAACGGTTCCATCATGGTTATCGGCGGTGAGGAGGGATCCAACGGCCGTGCTGTGCCTACCCTCGAGATTCTGCCCCCCACTGGTACCAAGCCTTTGTACATGGACTGGCTTGCGCGAACCGATCCCAACAATCTGTATCCCTTCGTTGCTGTTCTCCCCAGTCAGGACATCTTCGTTGCGTACTGGAACGAGGCTAGAATCCTTGATCACGTCACCTTCAACACCAAGACGGTTCTCCCCAACATCCCCGGCGCTGTCAACAACCCCCTGGGTGGCCGCACCTATCCTCTTGAGGGAACTGGCGTTCTTCTTCCTCAGCACGCTCCCTACAGCGACCCGCTTGGCGTCCTCATCTGCGGTGGTTCTACCGACGGTCCTGCCACTGCCATGGACAACTGCGTTTCCATTGAGCCCGAAGGCACCAACCCCAAGTGGGTGATCGAGCGCATGCCTTCGCGTCGTGTCATGTCCTGCATTGCCCCCCTTCCTGATGGAACTTATCTCATCAACAACGGTGCTCAGCACGGTGTTGCTGGGTTCGGTCTCGCCAACGACCCCAACTACAATGCTCTTCTGTACGACCCCTCGAAGAAGATTGGCTCGCGTATCACAGTCATGGCCAACACTACCGTTGCTCGTCTCTACCACTCAGAGTCCATCACTCTTCTCGACGGTCGCGTTCTTGTCAGTGGCTCTGACCCCGAAGACGGTGTCAACCCCCAGGAGTACCGTGTCGAGGTCTTCAAGCCTCCTTACCTCACCTCTGGCAAGACTCGCCCTACCTTCACCATCGCCAACACGGACTGGAGCTACGGCCAGCAGATCACTGTCAACCTCGGCCACACACCCCTCAACGGCGACATCAAGGTTTCCATGCTCGGTGCCGTGGGATCGACGCATGGTAACTCAATGGGTGCTCGCACTCTCTTCCCCGCTGTCACCTGCGGGCCTACCACTTGCGCCGTCACAGCGCCTCCCAACGCCGGTATCGCCCCTCCGGGTTGGTACCAGTTCTTCGTCCTCGACGGCGGCATTCCCGCTGTCGGTGTCTATGTCCGCATCGGTGGCGACCCCGCCGGTGTGGGCAAATGGCCACAAGTCACCGGCTTCAAGGTGCCTGGTGTCTAAGGTCCACATATCCAAAACATTCAAAGCGTCATGTATTTCCAACTAGACTTGAGCTTCGTGTCCCAGGAGCTCTTTTCATTTTACCAGACTTTTTTTTTTTTTATCACAAGCGATATCCCACACTTTCTCTTCTTCTCGGGCATATTCTTTCTTTTAGACCTAGGGATAAAAACACATGTCTATACAGGCATACACACAGTCACTATGGCGACAATATGATTTGGGAGTTTTATTTTTCGTTCTTCAAAGGGAATACAGATACTCATGATGATGTCCATCAAGGACTTGGGTAAATCTCCTACAACAACGAGGCCACACTTGGCATTTCTGCAGACTAGTTTTTAGTATATAATTATAATCATTTAAAATTTAAGATTAGGCGGTGCCACTTGGGAATGTGATGTACTCTTGGACTTCTCTATTGTGTTGCCCAATTGTATTGGGTGTCAACTACAATCTTTTTGTAGATATGCCAGGAAGTAGCTGAGCGTTGACTGAGGCTGAATCTCCTACTGCCACTAGAAGCTTGCAGTAGGTCGATTCTTCCCATATTGCCTTGACCAAACCCAGTAGCCTTGTCATCGCAGCATGACGGCCTAGTAGCCCCATTCTGGTGATGCGAAGTGTTCTTCGGAAAACCACAGCCCTATAGACTAGGAAGATAGATCATCTCACCGATACTTACCTCATCAAGAAGAAACAAAAGAAACAGTTTAACCTCAGACCACGGTCCTTTTCCACATTCTGTAGTGCTGCCGAGGGAAAATTGCCAACACCGCTTTTCCATTTCAAAGTTTTTGACTCTCTTTTCCCAATGCAAGCCCTCGGATCTGAACAAATGGTGTTCCATACATGATTGTCGATGACTTAGGAACGGAAATACAGGGACCCCCTTTTCCTTTCTCCACCAAACGCTCTTCCCCGGTTTCCTTCCCCGCCGTGCCTGCATCTGAGGTTACAGCGGTGAATGAAGAAGGAAACAATGATTCCAAAGATTTTTTTGAAGTACCTGAGGATCGACGTATTACATACATACTTTCGTATAGCCAACCAGCCAACCTCTGTCGCCTACCGTGGTCCTCTGCATTCTGGCTCTCCGCCATTGTGAGACAAATGTGGAGTTTTCCTTTTTTCCTTCTCTTTCCCTTGGAGGTACGGGGTACGTTTGGCTTATACTATTTGGTAAGATGGCAAGCCTGGTCGGTGAGGTACGGTAGGTACGGTAGGTACGGTACCTATGTTTTCCATACCTATGACGAAAAGAAGATTCCACATGCATTGCATATGTTTCTCCACCTTCCCACATGAGAGCAGCGGTTGGCCTGCCTGTCCAATCACGGGGAAGCTTGGCGCGCCCCGTTGACAAACCGTTTGACTTCACTCCGTACTTTCATGCTGAAGCCGAGGACCTCCGTCGTTGGAAAGTATAGTGTCAGAGACTTTGTCTTTTCTTTTTTTTTCATCTTACCTCTCGGGGGCTCAGTCCGAGTGGGTTGTATGCTTGAGCTTGCTAGCTCCGTTTCCTATCGCCGACTGGTAGCTGCATGAGGCTCTTGATCAATATAATAAAGACCAAGATCTCAATTGAAGGTCGTGAGCTGAAGTACTCTCTCAATTGATGTGTATCTTTGTAGAAGTCACCCCTTTCTTTCTTGGGGACCTTGCTCTCTCTGTACAAAGTGTATCCGTCTCTCTCATCCCATGGTCTTCAGTCTAGAGATGCAAAATATGCGGCCTAAATCCTATTCTCCTTCCCCCTTTTGTAAAGTCGTAAAAACGTCGTAAATTCATCATTCGCCTTGGCGTGGTAGACGATATGCAATCCAAACCAGGCAGCGCTTCCACCCCCTTGCAAGAATGCTTCGTCATGGAGACCCCCCCCCCTTCTCTTTCACTCTCTCATCAACCCTCGCTTCAAGCGGTAATCTGCTGCGCACCATACACCATACCCCCAGCTCCCACTCCCGCCCCAACCCCCTCATCAACATCCATCTCCCACTCCAGCTCCGGAACCCCAACCTGCTCCATAACCCTCGCCACAACACTCTCAAACGCATCCCTCTCAATAATCGCCCCAAAGTGAATACAATCCACCACCCCGCAAAACTCCCTCTTCAACGCCTCAATCACATTGCCCCGCATCAGCGCCGCAGCCCCGTACCGCGCCGCGAGCTCGAACCACGCCTGCACAGGCGTGAGCTCGATGTCGCCCGGGTTCAGCGTCTTGGCGAGGGCCAGCAACGATTTCAAGGAAAGGGAGGAGCCGGCGCCCGTGTCGGCTTGCCAGGTGTGCGCGACGGTCTCAGCATCACCGCGGCGGATGGTGCGGTAGACGCGGGCTGGGGCGGAGGACATGCAGAGGGTCGAGGCCATCATTGTGTGGCCTGAGGCGGCTTTGCAGGTGTCGCCGTGGGTCGGGAATTGGCGGGGGTGGAAGTGGTTCCAGCAGATGTGTTCCATGCTGTGTTGAGAGAAGTTAGTATACTCGTTTTGTGCTTTCCATGAATCACAAACTTGGGGGGAGGGTGGAAAGGTATTCAACGTACGCGAGAATGAGGTTGATGGCAATGATCTCCTCTTCCGCAGACAACTGATCTGGTGACGGCGGTTGTGACTGGGTATACGCGACCGCGGCCGACGGCGACGAGATCTGGAAGCACGGCGTGCCGAGGGCGTCGTCCTTGCGCATCGTGACTGTGACCTCGCCCATGTTGACGTCCGCGAAGAGGTCGACCGGCGGGTATGGGTCGTAGTCCAGGGTCTGAGGTTGATATGCCGCCACCTGGGATTCTTCCGCGGGAGCACTCGCTGGGTACTGCGCTTGGTCCTCTGACTGTTGGGAAAGTTGTCGTTGTGCCGGGATGGGAGGTAATTCTTGCTGTTGCTGCTGCTGCTGGACCACCGCCGGTGCCATCGGGACTTCTTCCCTCTCCGCCGGCACCGCCACGGGCTCCTGCGACCCGCGAATTTGCACCTCGTCGATGACGTAGCTTTGCCCCTTTGGTCCTTCGGGGGGTACCGCGAACCCCCGCGCGGTGAGGGCGCCCCTCATGCCCTCGTTTTCGCGGCGGAAGGCGAGGACCTCCTTCTCGGCAGCGGCGATCATATTTCGAAACTTGCAGACGTCGAGCTCGAGCTGCTTGATGTAGTTCGCCTTGCGGGTGCGGTGCTGGATTTGGGCCTTGCGGACCTGCTGACGGCGGAGCTTGGCCTTTTCTGCGGGCGTGAGGCCGGGTGTTGTTGACTCTGCTGGATTTAGAAGTTGGATGTGTTAGTTCCCTAGTCTAGAGATCTGCGGCCTTTTTCTCAAGTGATGGGGTTTCCATGTGGGAGAAGGAAATAGGGAGGGAAGGAGAATATAAGCATATATGAATGGGAGCCAAGACGGGAGCTTATAGAAGTAGACATGGGGAACCTAAACATTGCAAATGGGGCATGGGAAAGTAGTATATGGGGACAAGTGTGGATGTGTAAGTGAAGTGAGGACGTCCAAGGTGCGGTAGTCTCCGAATAGAGATGGATTGATTCCAGGAGCCAAGCCTCGTCTAGACGTGATCCGCGGGCTCCATGACCAGCGGTGTGCCCGCATCGGGCAACCGTCGAGCCGGGAGACGTTGGAATCAGGTCGGGGAGGGATGGGATGCAGGGACAACCAACTCTCATCCCCCGAGGTTGCTCGTGCGGCTTTTCCAGAACCAACAGAAAACGTGGTTCATTGGGTAATGGAATGGGATAGCTAGGTAAGCATGTAGTGTAGGGCAGGCCAAGCACCAAGCAGGAAGCAAGCAAGCAAGCAAGCAGCGGGTTGCGGTCGGATCGTTCGCGAATCCCCAAGCACATGGAATCCACCACACCAACTTCGGACTTCTTAGCGGCGGGAAGGGTCTACGCCACAAAAGGGTTCGGGTGTGATGCTGGTGGCATGATGATGAGGAATCATGAGGAATCCGGCATGGGTTTGACAAAGCATAACTCACAAAGCCCATCCCCCATCCCACCATCCACCACTTCTGGATTGCTCGGCTTTTGAACCACCCATGTATTTCTCTCTGAGACATCCATGGACATTGATTATGGGGAAGAGAGGCGGTTCCACACAAGGTCACTGAAACCACCAACATAATCGATGCGATTCACCAGGACCCTGGCGGGACACTTGTCGATCGGGGGACGGGGGAGGGAAGGCGGGCGGGCGGGCCACGATGTTACAGGGAAGGACCGGGATCCGTAAGAAAAACACAAAAAAGAAGCAATGAAGGTGTGTGGAATCATGGAGACCGAGAAAGGTAGGTGGATATGGTGAGTCAAAAACGGCGCGGGAGGAGAATAGGAAATAAGAAGGTATCATCCGTAAATAAGAAATGGGACGACCGGCATGTGGAATCAAGGATAAGACGGGACGAGGGAAGGGTGTCAATGTCGTCGCAACTTTGCAAGACACAATTTTACAAAACATGAAGTTCAGAAGAAAGAAACCAAACAAACAAGATAGGTACTCACAAGAACCCTGCCGTTCCTGATCACCTCCTCCTCCCCCCGAAAGCAGCTGCGATTGGTGATCCAACGGCGACGACGATGATTGAAGATGATGATGGGGCGGCCCCTCGTTCACGAACTGTACCTTCCCAGCCCTCTCGCTCTCCTTCTCTTCCCTCCAGTACTCCTCGAAGCCGGCTCGACTGTCGCCGCTCGTTGACCTGTCATATTGCTGCCGTTGTTGCTGCTGCTGCTGCTGCTGCCCCTCCCCCGCCCTCACCGAAGCCTCGTTCTGCAGCCGCACCTGGTTATCCGCCATTACCGCGACACGGCGTGATTTCAATTGAGATGGACACGCAAGCTGGCGTTGCGCTTCACCGCCGACGATGGGTGGGGGTGTCGGTGTCCTGTGGTGAGTGGTGAGTGGTGAAATGTGAGTGCAATAGTGAGTGCGTGAGGTTAGTTGGATGATGAGATGAGTTGCGCGGGGATGTTGATTGGCGTCGATGAGTTTCGATTGATCGCTCACAAAAGTGTCGTCACGTTTTTTTGTTTGTTTTCAGGTAAGGTGGAAGTGTCTCCCCGTTCGGAGCGGAGTTTCGAAACTATGATAAGCGGACCGTCGTGAGGGGATTTCGCCGGCCTTAAATATGGGCGAATTCCAAATTCCCATGGGCGCCTTTTTCTTTTCTTCTGCCCGCCGCCCGGGGGGGGGGGGGGGAGACCCTCATTCTCCTCCTTCTCAGCGCACCTCCGCAGCTCCTCAGGAGGAAAGGGCCCGGAGAATGGAGATAGAGGGAATAGAGAGGCGGCAGAACAGCTAAACTTCCATTGGTAGGGGTTATCGAATCGAAGCGCCAGCGTACAGCACAGCACAGAAAACCGCACCCTCAGGGATTCTTGGGGGGGTTTCGTCCGTCTGCCGGGTGGCATGGTGGCATGTCAAAGGGAAACTAGCACAAGTGGTCGATCACCTCACGTGCCTTGCGCGTAACACCCGTATCGTGGCCCATGAGGGGGAGGCAGTGTCACCTCAGCTGCAATCTCGATAAAATCTAAGAATTTGAGTTACCTTAATAAGACCTTAATAAGGTAGTAGGCATCCCTTTCCGTCTTTTCATATCACAGCAACCGCCAAAAGTTGAAGGTGGGAACGATTTGTCACTGCTGAGGTGGGCTTTCAGCTTCAAGGAATGGCAGCGGCTGAGAGGGCTGAGAACAAGTGTTGACAATGATTTGATTTCATTATACTCTAGCGACCTTGTGCTTGACGACAGCCATCTCCTGTCCTAGGTGCTCACACCCCTAGAGCGATTCAGAAGATTGCTTCTTCAACATCTTCGACATGGTCTTCTTCCATAAACGATTCCACCACTCCCAACATCTGGAATCTCTTCTTCACGCCCAACGCCTTGCGGGAATCATATAATCAATGCCAAATTGGCCCAGATTCGCTTTTTACTTTTTGGTGACCGCCCAACGCCGTATGAATGCATTTGATCTTCCTCCGCTCACTGAGCCGCTTCAGTCGTCATCTTCGTCTTCGCTGGCGGTAGCAGTGTCCTCCTCGACGTCCGTCTCCGGAACGTTCTCGTCGTCGTCGTCTTCGCTGTCACTATCGGCCGTCATGTTGAGACCCGGGATAGCCTGGTAGTGCACGTAATCGTTCTGAACCCATCGCTTGCTCACGGGCAGCTGGTAAGGGTCGAAAGGGAAGTAGGGATCGAGTTGGTATGCCTCCTCGTCTTGCGCTCCCGAGCCCGTATCTCGGAGAGCGCCGCCTGTGCCGTATGTGTCTGACACGAATTGTGACAGTCTAATCCGCTTGTTCTCCTCGACACGCGGGAAGATGTACATGAGACCGAGCTTGTGTGATAGTGTCGCAAACTCCTCGACAATAGCTGGTGCGCAGATCTTGAGAGGGTTCATCTTGCAGTACACGCTCGCAGAGAGCTCTTCTCTCATCCCTTGCATCCACTCCAACTCGTGGCCAAGATACGATGCGGGATCCTCTGCGTCGACAAACTCGGGTGTAGACACGATCAAGTCGCGCCAGCGGAAACAGAACATGTACAGCGCGGCCTGTACTTGTGCGTAGTAGATCTGGTGTCTTCTCAGATCCGGTCCTCGGGCGTCCGCGTCATGCTTGAGGCGGTAAATTTGCATCTGCTTGAGCAAGAGCGCAAAAACTGTGCGCACCAAGTCGGACGGCACGTGGGCTCCTCGCGCCATGAATCCGGCCAGGTATGTTGCCGCCGCTTGACGCACGAAGCTCGGTCGGTTTTGCGAACCAAAGATGTGCATTAAACTGCCGACAAAGGTGTCTCGCAGGCGAGCTGACATTTGGCCAAAGTGGAAAAGGAGGAATTGGGTATGACGGGACTTGTACGTTGGCAGCACAATTTTTCCAAATGACTGTACGAGCAAGGCGTACCGCTCCCATGCTTGATCCGAGTCGGGGTTCTCGAAGAGAGGTGTGTAGTGTGCGAATAGCGTATCGAGAATGGCATCCAGCTTTTCGACATTGCCTTTGACCACGCGAATCTTTTCTTCCTTATCGTCAAAGTCCGAATCATCGCTATCGACAGACTCGTCGTCGCTGTCATCGTCCGAAGCATCCTCGTCGCCCTCCCATGAGCCGGTGTCCAGGGACTTGCTAAGCGCGTAGGCAACCGATGCCGTGAGGTCGTCGTCAAGGTCGTCGAGATCCGTCTGCATCTGGACATCAATCTTGACCAGTCGTGACAGCAGCACGTCGACAATTTCGAGGTCCAAGTCTCCCGCGTATTCCTTTAGTCTTAGAAGGTTGTTGACGTACGCAACGAACATTTTTTTCGAATCGTCGTCAAAGGGGAACTTGGTATCGAGGAGGCCGCGGAGAACAGGTGTGGCGGCAGGGAACATTTGAAGAATGTACTGAAGACCGGTGTGTAGCCTTTCACGCATCGTTGTTCGGCTGACGGTAGGGAAGTCGGCGACGCTCCACTCCGATTGTCTGGAGTGGGAGAACTTCTCGACGATCATGGACAAGACATGCGTCAGGTAGGATCCCTGGGCACTGACGAGGGCGGCCAGGAACTGGATGTACACCTTGAAGAAGTCATCGTCTCGGCCCAACCACGAGACCTGCAAGACCGTCTTCACGAGGCCGTTGCAGGCCTTGTTCTTCAGTAGCGGCACGCAGCTGGTCAGCGCCAGAACATAGCCCTTGAGCTCCTGGGGCTTGAGCGTATCCTCGTCTTCTCCGGCGACGGGTGGCAGGTATCGCTGCTTGTCGTTGGCGAAAATCTCCTTGAGCATGTCGTAATCCTCGTCCTCGCCCATGAGGTGCTCCTCCAGCGCTTTCCTCACTTCCGAGTTCACCTCGTCCATGGAGCGACTGCCAAACTCGAAGACGCGGTTGTTCATTTCGTTGATGAGGACTTTCCGCCTCTTTGTCGGGCTCGAGGGTGGGTCATCGAACTCGATTTCGTCAGCCTTCCTCCGGCCGAGGACTGTAGACGTTTGACGCAAAATGCTTTTGATGGGCGTCGCGGTTCTCGGTGGCGGACCAGACCGATGTCTGGAAATGGGGGTGAAAGGACGCATGAGAATGGGTTGTTTGTGGTGGTCAAGGCTTCTGTGCTCTCTCCTCCGTCTTTTCTCTCTTTCTTTCAGCGGCTCGGGCTCGAGGTCAGATCTTCAGTGGTCGGCGTCTGGCAATTCTCATTGAAGGGTCAACGTGTTGCGCGAGGATCTGCAGGGAAAATCGTCATGCATGTCTCGGACTATTGCGACAATGTGGACTCGTTTCGATTTATTGTCGTCGAAATAATGAATTGATTTCTGGGCGTGGGTTGTGTCGGCCGACCGAGATTATTTCGTGGTACGGTGGCGGTTGGTTGCCTGGGAAAGTTTCCAGTTCGGCGTGAGCTGCCGCCGATACTTTTTTTTCTTTCGTAGAGTGGGCTGCCCGCCGTTCTGTTTGGCTGTGACGGAAAATTTTGAGACTGGAGGGGCTGCGCACGTGCCTCGTTCGACCTGGAAGACTTCCATCCATGCCACCATGGAGACTTTGGCTGGGGGGGGGGGGCTGCTCCAGGCTCACAGCACTCAAGACCCCTGGAATGAATCTTCTGGACCGTGCACACTCGGTAATGGAACAATGAGCTTGTTGAACCATTTTTAAGTGGCGGCCAAGATACTGGGGAACCTGGAAGCCTATGACGACGTCCTCTGAGCTTCTTATTGGACGTCTTTTTCAATATATCTTACGGCTGGCTACCTTACACACACGTTACCAAATATAGGTAGGCAGTTTGAGCTTGATAGTTATAGCAGTAGCCAGCAACTCGAACCCGTGACTACGCTGCCCAAGATCACCACGAGCAAAGACCAGACGCCATATACCTCATTTACGCGATGGAAGTGGAATAACAAGCTATCTGAAGTGCTGTAGCTACCAGTGCTTTGGAGATACGGCCCGGGCCCGTTTCCAAAAGCTTCGATGCTTGCTGAACTGCTCTCTGCCGATGCCTCGAAACCACGAATTGGTCGGGCATGGCTTACTGAATCGCAACGCCATAGGGGGGAATCTATCAAATAGACAAAGAGTCAAAGAAAAGACGAACCCCCTCCACTCCACACTTTTGGGTTAACCGTACCGCTCCCCTTCCCATAACTGACTCCTGAGGCCCTCATATACAACCATGTGCCCCGTTCCATCCGTGGTCAGGTAGTCTTGAGACCCCCTGCCTCCGTACTTATACAGACTTGAACCTATTTCCAGGCGTCCTTTATCGTCGGGCTTGGTCGTCGTCAAGTCGCAGCTAGTACATATATGTCGAGATGGAAGAAAAAAAATCGCCCTTTCAAAACACTATCCAGCCAACTCAGGTGTGAATCACATTACTGGTAGCCGTCGGCGCCACCGGTACCATTGTGCCCAGTTTGCGCGCCGTACATGTAGCCCTGAGCGTCGGCAGTGCCATCTCCTTGTTGACCTCCAAGGACGCTGTTTTGAGGCTCGGCTTGGAAGCTCCCCGCTCCTGTTGGCGGGTTGGCGCCATAGCCGCTGCTGCCTGGACGGTGGGAGGTTTCTCCCCTGTTGGATTGGGATTGCTGCTGGAATCGTCAGTTGAGCTCATTAGTCCTATTTAGAAGGGGGATACCAGCTGAATTTCGAGCCGATGTGTGGACTGTACATACTTCTCTGTATTTCGAGAGGTAGATCTTAAGGGCCTCGGCGTAGTTCTCGAATCCCAGAGAGGTCATGGCGAATAGAATGTCTTCTCCATTCACCGTCTTTCTCTTCTCCTGGTGGCACTTCTCCGAGGCTGTGATAGGTCAGATATCTACTCAATCAAGTTGCCCTTCAACTTGGGAAAAGCAGCTACGAGAAACTATACATACCTTCACTCGTAATGAACGAGATGAATTCGCTAACACATTCCTGCATGCATTCTTTCGCTTCCTTGGCGATCTTTGCATTTTCGGGAAGCGCGTTCTTCATGATGCGGGCGACTGGAGCAAAGTTTCGTATATTAGCGTCAAGTTCATCGAATTTCTCACCGCCAGAAGCACCTGTCGTTTCTGGCGACTTTGGTGACGATTCATGAGACATCGATTGCTTCTTTAGCCCTGCGCTGCCGTCTTTGGTGATGCTTTGGTTGAATGATTTCGCAACAATGTCAAAGAACAGCAAATGGAAGCGCAGAGCAAGCAAGCAGACTGGCCAATCCAGTTCATAGACCA